GACATCTGCTCGAAAATATAATACTTGCCCAGCACAACCGGTTGCCTGATGTTCTATGAGCAGATAGCAACTTTACTGATGATCACGAGATTGGTATTTGTGCCAAGTGTTTTAAGAGTTATCAGAATAGAAAACCACAACTTAAAAGGTCAAAACGTTGGTTTTGATGATGATACGTGGCAAAACATCCCACTATTATCCATAGAGGATCTATTTTTTGGCCAGTCTTCCCAAAATGCACACTATGTATGAAGAGTTTCAATAAAAACTCCACCATATTGCCCAAGCGCGCAAAACTCCAACTCATCTTTCACCAAAAGCTGTAGCGTCCTTGGGACGGTCCTCGCGTATTTGTTCACCTCATCTCATAGAGAAAACCCTAACCCTAACGTTGAAATTCTCATTGATGAAAGACAAATGTTGACTTCCCAGCTGCCTTCCAAATCAAAGGAAGTTGTTAGACCACAAGAGCGAGACACGAAGGATAAGGCACTGGCTGCCAAATTGAAAACGCGTCTTATTGTCCACATCAACTCAGATCAGCATATGGAAAATGAGCCAGCTCTTACCAGAAGTCACTATTTGTCACTATGAATGTCCAAAGTTAGACACGGAATATCTTCTGACAATATCCTGTGTCACATACCAAATATTATTAGCAGCATAGGACCCCGAATGATCCAGCATGCATTGGACAGAATGACAACTTCGCCGCCATTAACCTCAAAAACGATTATAATTATCAGTTTCCTACTATTTAGGATACGACGTGTATTTGGAAATCAGAGTCAAAGGGATTAAGAAAACTGCGGTTATTATAAGAATATAATGCATTTGCATAATCACATGATGATAATGATGATGATGATGATGATGATGATGATGATGCATTATCTTTTGATGATAGTGATGTGTAATGAAATGGATGGAAAGCATACTAAAAACTGTAAATTTCATGACCTCTTGGTCTTATATTTCCCCCAGGGGAGGGGGTAAAATTATTGGTTTTTATAGTAAAATCAAATTTCTGAATTATGTGTCAATTTTCTTTCTGAAATAATTCAAACCGAGTTAGAATTGTTATTATTACCATAAGCTGACAGTTTGATCAGATGCACATATTGAACTTCACTGACCTTCAGGGACTAACGGTAAGGCAAAATAAATTGGGTCAAATTGACTGAAATTACAATTCCTGGATGGAAGATTTTATACAGGAAAATTCAAATTGTGAGTGTAATTTCTTTTTAATTCCGTTTATTGGCTTGTAGCCTTAGCATGGGACAGCAGTCCAGGTATAAACAATTCATATTTGCATTATGTGCACAATATTGTTATATTACGGTTTTCAAAAGAAAAATCATTTCTATGACATGTTACAAAAGCATTGTGACTCAGGTGACCGTTCGGCCCCATGTCCATATTTATTTTTCTTAACACAAAATGACGAAAGTATATATCAACAGTTCCCCACAAAAAATATAAATTTCTTTTTCATTTTAGCACAAAAAGGGCGCTATGTTCTTGCGTTTGTACATGTTTGGACTTAAATGCTCACTTGTAAATGTACGCTTACACTGGCTACCAATAGCACATACAAGCAGTTTTATTTGCTTCTAAGGCCATTTTGAAACCCCACCTTTGAAGACCAATTAACCTAGGCCATGTAAATCTTAGCCAATCAAATTAAATATTATCTTCTTCTCAAAGGAGATGTATACAACAACGCAACAAACCGGCAAACTAATTAGCATCAAACATGTCCAGTTTCATATCGCACGAAGCACATAAAGCAACAGAATATTATTTAATTGTCACATGTTGGCATTTTCTGGGGTTTTTTTTTTCAAGACTTTGTTAACCATTTTTTAACAATTCTGTGCTGATGTAGTTACCCACAACACTTTGTTTACATGGTTACCTACAACACTTTGTTTACATGGTTACCCACTACACTTGGTTGATATAGTTATTCACAACGGTTTGTTTTTAGGAGTACGACTCTTTATTCATGAAGTCTGTTATTGCCGGAGTGTGAATACGTTACTTCCGGCTTATTTTAGCATCGTACGTCGATATTATTATTATTATTATTATGGGATTTACGTCCTCTATTATGGCCTTTCGGCCTTTCAGAGGACGAGAAAAGATGAAAAGATAGGAGAGAGTAGAATTGGGAAAAAGTATTTAGTGAAGGGAAGAGACTGGGATAGAAAAAAGGGGGGGGGGGGGGGGGGGGGGGGGGGGTGAGTCGCCTGTTTTAACAACTATCCTTATTATTGTGATCTATAATTTGGTAGGCGAATCGGTGGTCTAAATTGTTCCTAACTGACATCTTTTTCCTCTGGGAGGTTTGAGGATCCTCTTCCGGCTTTGTCCAATATTTGGATCTGCGTCCCGCGAAGGCACCATTAGCTGTTGCGAAGGGGGGGGGGGGAGTGGGAGGGGAGGAGTGTAGTGAGGATAGGGCGGGTCCAGTTTAGTATCGCTCCTACCTATTGTGATTGTTTATTTCCGAAAATTGTGCAATCTCTTAGCTCTGTCGTGTAACTAAAATGAGTTAAACGTGTGGGTCTTATTTGCTACCGTTAAGTGCTGGCCCAGGGGATTTTCATTCATGAGTATTAGGGGTCTATTTAATTGAGATGCAAGTTTTGACAAAATATACCTTAACCTGTCTCTAGTGTGTTTATACTAAACTATCTTACTATGTGCTTGTCCCTACAGTAATGTAAATATCGTGACACTTATGTATTGTAAATATCGTGACACTTATGTATTGTAAATATCGTGACACTTATGTATTGTAAACATCGTGACACTTGTGTATTGTAAATATCGTGACACTGATGAATTGTACATATCGTGACACTTATGTATTGTAAATATCGTGACACTTGTGTATTGTAAATATCGTGACACTTATGTAAACATCGTGACACTTGTGTATTGTAAATATCGTGACACTGATGAATTGTAAATATCGTGACACTTATGTATTGTAAATATCGTGACACTTATGTATTGTAAATATCGTGACACTTGTGTATTGTAAATACCGTGACACTTGTGTATTGTAAATATCGTGACATTTATGTATTGTAAATATCGTGACACTTATGTAAACATCGTGACACTTATGTATTGTAAATACCGTGACACTGATGAATTGTAAATATCGTAACACTTATGTAAATATCGTGACACTTATGTATTGTAAATATCGTGACACTTATGTATTGTAATTATTCCAGGAATATGAAAGAACTGTATATGAACTTGTGAAATAATATTGTGTACTTATTAGTTGTTACTGTAACCATTGTGTCATTCGATATCTCACTGTAAATTGCTTTTAGAGTTGATAGAGTTAACAGTATCAAGGTTGTGCAAGAGAAGTAACTCATGTCTTTTCCTAGTTTTTTTTTTTTTTTTTTAGGGGGGTGGGGGGAGGGGAGTATTTTATACATCTAGATGATATTTATAACCTTTTGTGATAAATGTTAAGCCAAAACCCGAAAATAAAGATAAATGTCCTGGTATAACCTGTGATAAGATATCAAGATATCCAATGTGGATCATCAAGTCGTAGAGAAATAGCATGGCTTATTTCAAATAACAGCTTAGGAGCGTTCATCAACTAGATAAGTTATTTTTAGCGTTCGCCGGTAGTTTTTCCTTTTCAATTTTTTTTTTCTGTTTTTGCTTTAACTGAATGCGTTGGTGACGAATTTTATGTAATTCTGTATTGAACTATATATTGTAATGTGTTTATATTCCATGTAATGTAAATAAAACTACCATTCCCGGAATATTTTATTTCGTGTCGCTCTGAATTTGTGGTACTACGTTCTATGAAGGAATGTAGCTTTTCAAACACATCCGCTACTGATGACTATCTGGGTTGATTTCCCTTTCATTTATCTTTCAATGGGTATCGGATATAAATTTCCTTCAAATTTTTCAACGTGTTTCAGGATTTTGAAAGCTATCATCAGACAATGAATGATTATCGGAGGTAACTTTCCTCTGTCAATCAATAGTTATCATAATTTGTGATTTTATCATTAATTCCGGGTATAATAGATCCGATTCCGGTTCTTAGTCAATCCCAAGATCCATTCGTACTCCTGATCATTACCCTGTACTTATATGTAGAGTATTGAGATGGTCCGAATAAAATTTAGTCCATGCTTGTTGACGCCATTTGTATGAGTTGTGTCGTCCGTCTGTAGGCTAATTAAAAACCTAGGCCGAGATGTTACAGTATCGAGGGCTTTTGTTCTTCTGTCTGTCCGCCAAACATAACAGAAATCAAATGTTCCTTCCTTACCCTATCAATAACAATCATGTAAATTGCTCTATCATAAAGCTATCGATATTTCGACGATAAGAATATGTTGTAGGTTTTGTAACAATATAAATTGGAGCTAACGGTTCTTTCTTATGTCATTTAACCAGTATATGATGTGATCATTCTGTAGAAGGCGTTTAGCATTGTAGGTCAATGAGTATCAGCGATTATAGTTCATCCGTCCGTCCGTTCAAGTTTTCATTGTTTTCCTGTAGTATTGTTAGAAGTCTAGGGTTTGGAGAATATTTAACTTAACATAGCATTATTGTATAATATGAGACCATCTTTTTGTTACCTGGTATACTTGATATAGAAGTCATAAACTGATTTTAAAAAGTGTCAAAAATACATTCTGTTATTAATACAATGTGCACAATCTAAATTTTATCACATCCCAGAAAAGAAATTTGCACAAAGAACCTTCTGTAATATGGGTACACTGTTTCATCTGGGGACAGACTAATGTGTTACAGTTTAAAATAGCCCATTATTTTACAACAATTGTTTAACAAGCTACAGACAAAACTCTTCAAATTCAAGAGACCATGGAAAATATTTCGACTTATCATATTTCAACTCAAAGTGTCCAAAATAAGGTTGGCATGGCTGTAAATAATTGAAACAAATTGATTTATACTTTCTCATTGAATTGTTTATTTATTTATTTATTTATTTATCAAAATAACAGCATATGTCATAACAATAGCACTCAATTACTCACTTGGTTTCATCTCACACACCTGTACACTCCCCTCATATACTTGATATATTTTACGAAATGAAAAAAAAAAAAAAATGAAATTAAAGACTCGCTGTTGATATCTGTGAAGTTACAGATCCTGTTGGTATGAGTATTCATAGGATAAACATATGAAATAGTCTGCAATGAAAATATTTATCACCGTCAACCTGTACATGTTACCATACTACCACCCCTAAAACACACCTTTGTTTTTGACCCGCCTTGAAAATGCTCACAACCTAGTCAAGTGTATATGTTTCAGGTCTAATAGCTGATTTTAAAACATGAGTCGTTTTCATGTCTTCTGTAAACAAGGTACTTGTTTAATGTACAGGTAAGTCATTGTTACACAACAGCTTATTATACTTTCAACCAGATCACATGTTTTGTTTTAACAATACAAATGTGCTCCATACCATTGAAATATCCACTATGTGCAATATCAAAAAGAAGACAAATAGGGAAATGGCAAAAATATATCAAAATGGCGAGAGGGAAAACAGTGCTACCTTATCCTGTCAAACATCAAATTCACAGCTCAGAGTTAAAAAACTGCCGGGATATTGGATTCTGTAGCATGTTGTTATATCAAGATGGACCACTCTGAAAATGGTACCGGCCTAAAGTGACATTGAATGTGAAATGATTTTACATATTGGAGCTGACATTATAGGAAGCTTACATAATTGCTATAATTTCCACATAAGGAATCAATGTGTTCTGTGTATCGAGTTAAAATCATTGTTGAAAAATAAATAAAAAATCACTAGACTTTGACATGGTACCAGGGTATTTAAATGGTAAAATATCATACAGCTTATACAAAAATAAATTATCAATGAATGCAAGAGTATTATTTTGTTTTTGATAAATCTAGTTATATCGTCGCATAAAGTTTCTCTGGATTACAATGAGAAAATGATAATTCTGCTTTACTCTGTTTCCTCTTTTTCAATAATCTATACAGAGACGTATATATCACTTCTCTGATCTATATAAGATACACATACATGTATCTAATGTTGATGACAATAGAAAATGACCATACAGAAACATCACCTCAGAGTAATATGTTTATCTGGCTTATCCATACCTTTTTGTACCTTTCCAGTACCTGTAAAAAGTTCTAACTTTTTTGCACCTTTTCAGTACCTGTAAAAAGTTCTACCTTTTTTGCAACTTTTCAGTACCTGTAAAAAGTTCTACATTTTTGTAACTTTTCAGTACCTGTAAAAAGTTCTAACTTTTTTGTAACTTTTCAGTACCTGTAAAAAGTTCTACATTTTTGTAACTTTTCAGTACCTGTAAAAAGTTCTACATTTTTGTAACTTTTCAGTACCTGTAAAAAGTTCTACATTTTTGTAACTTTTCAGTACCTTTAAAAAGTTCTACCTTTTTTGCACCTTTTCAGTACCTGTAAAAAGTTCTACATTTTTGTAACTTTTCAGTACCTGTAAAAAGTTCTAACTTTTTTGTAACTTTTCAGTACCTGTAAAAAGTTCTACCTTTGTGTACTTTTTCAGTACCTGTGAAAAGTTCTAACTTTTTGTACCTTTTCAGTACCTGTAAAAAGTTCTAACTTTTTGTACCTTTTCAGTACCTGTAAAACGTTCTAACTTTTTGCACCATTTCAGTACCTGTAAAAAGTTCTACCTTTGTGTACCTTTTCAGTACCTGTAAAAACTTCCATCTTTACTACCTTTGAAATCCACACTTACCAGTACACCGGGGTTGAAATCCATACCAACCAGTAGTGTGTACACCAGTGTTGAAACACACACCTAACAGTACACCAGGTACAAACACACACCTGGGTCCAAAAATTGACCACATTGTTTACACTAGCTCTATCTTTACATGTCCTTTTGATGTTCATGTCTAGTTGAGCACAATTACTGTTGGTAACAGTTTTAGTGAAAAATTTACCAGATATCAACAATTGATTCAGAGCTGAACTTGATCGAATAAAAACTGATATGTGTGTGAAAATTTCTAATGTAGATTTTAGGGACTAGTGAATTAATTTTCCAGACATACTTTTAAACAGGCCTCTAGTACTTATGAATTTTTTTGCAGTGCCCTCTGGTGAGGACACCAGTGATGAAACTTGCACTTATCAGCACACCAGAGTTGAAAGACACAACTACATGTACAGCAGGATTCAAACCTGCATCTTCTAGTTCAAATAAACACCAATTGTACAGATGCATTTTAATGAATGGTATCATGTATAAGTTTATAAGTTAATAAGATGAATAAGTTCTGATAAAACAAGGAGCCACAAAGTGTGGCATTATCCCCCGCATCCAGCTGTTGGGTATACCATACAGTATACCAAATTGTGACATCACGCGTTTATGAACTGATCTAATACAGTGAAAGCGCTAATACAAAATATAATGTCTTCTGTCAATTATCAATTAAATTTCCTTGCATCTCCTCAACTTCAACATTATATATATATTGAATCTTATATATCAAATTTATATTTAGAATTTATATCTTGATGTACATACTGTGTGTTTGAATGTTGATATTTGAAAAGAGCTTGGTATTGTCCAGGAACAAATTTATGCAACACTGTATAAGCTCTGGCGCAATATTAGAAAGTCTCAAGAAATTGAAAAATTCAATGGTAACAGAAAAAATATATGTAATGACATGTCCTCAATAAAAAAAAAGGGACAACTCGGGCACTAACCTAATATATGCAGAGAGTTTTGTGGAGTTGAGTGGAATGGTTTCAAATCTGTTGCCTGGTATGGAAAGTTGATACTAATTTGTTAGTTTTTTTACCATTTCTCCATGGTAACAGAAACAAAATAAAAAATGAAATAATGTCAACAGCAAAAGGCACAACTAGGGCACTAACCTAATATATACAGAAGTTTTGTGGAGTGTAGTGGAATGGTTTCGAAATAGTAGTAGCCTGGAAAGGAAAGGTAACACTAATTTACTATCACTAATCTTTCCATGGTAACAGAAAATTGTAAAAAATTAAATATTGTCAATAGGAAAAGCCACAATTAGGGCACTAACCTAATAAATACAGAAGTTTAGTTGAGCTGAGTGGAACGGTTTTGAAGTGTAGTTAGGAAAGGAAAGTAAACACTAATTTTGTGGTTTTTGGCTATATTTCCATGGTAACAGAAAAATATAAAAAATGAAAAATTGTCAATAGCAAAAGCCACAATTAAGGCACTAACTTAATACATACAGCAAGTTCTGTGAAGTTGAGTCAGAACGGTTTTGAAGTTATAGCCTGTAAAATCCCTTACACAGATGCACTCACAGATGCACGTACAAACAGAACCACAATTGATATCCCCAGAAAATGCGTTTCGCGGGGGATAATAATACCATTCTATCATAAATTTGGCACAGGAATGGACTGATTAAATTATTACACATTGGCTGATAAGTCCTCATATAATTCATTCAACGCCTTACTCAATAGGCTGTACATTTCTCAGAACACATCATTGCTGAGGTATAAACTTGCTCACAAACTGTCTATAATATTCATTAAAAGAAGACTTTCCCCTTGCTTTCTTATCTCAACAACTTCAGTTACAAGACCTTCCATTGGCTCTTGTGAAAGAGAAACTTGTCTTGTCAACTTCAGTCACAAGACTTTCCATTGGCTGTTGAGAAAGAGAAGCTCATCTTGACAACTTCAGTCACAAGACTTTCCATTGGCTGTTGAGAAAGAGAAGCTCATCTTGACAACTTCAGTCACAAGACTTTCCATTGGCTGTTGAGAAAGAGAAACTTGTCTTGTCAACTTCAGTCACAAGACTTTCCATTGGCTGTTGATGAAGAGAAACTTGTCTTGACAACTTCAGTGTTAATGACACCTTCCACTGGTTGTTCATCAAAACATCTCCTTAGTGCTGTGTTGGCTAGTGTCACATTGTAAGGCCATCTTAAATTACCTAGATCAACTTTGAAGCCAGTGTTGCTGAGAAGCACCACATCCTTTGTTACGGACAAGTTTCATCAACTGAAGAAGTACTCAGAATCAAGCACTTTTTCAAGTTCAAAATCCCCTGTAATGAGAAAATCAATAATTCATTACAAGATAACATGACAAATGAAAATAAGTCAATCTAAGTATTCTTACCAGAATTACTGATGAAACACTATCTAGAATTACATGTTTTGTAAATGAAACAGTAAAATTGCAAGGAAGGTAGGGTTCAGACAATCAACAAAATTCATAATATCATATCAGAATTTCTTATAATAGGTAGATCAAAATAACCATCAGTAAACCAAACATCAACGTACCAAGTTTGATTTTATCTGCTTTCAACACTTTCTCATACTTCTTCAGCATTGCTTTCTCTGTGGATGTCATGCCCTTACAACTGAAAATAACAAATGTTAACATAATAGCTTGAAATTTATTGATTTTACAACAATTGTGAAACAAGTATTTCTAACTTATGTTAATCGCTCTTTTTGGCCGTGATGGAAGCATGCAAGAGATCTTACTGTGGGAGGACAACCCGAGTACCCAGGGAAAACCCATGAGGGCAAACATACATTTTCACTTTCATTCTGGGATTTGAACCCCGGACGGCTAGATGAAAGGCAAGTGTGTTACACTGCACCACCTGACCATCCATGAGAACAAGCTACAAACCCTATATGAATACCCTTCTGGTCATTCACTACAAGTTGTTTGAAGACTTAAACATACTTGACCTTTGTCACCTTGAAAATATGTCATGAAATTGAGTCACCTTCAACATAGGATACTTTTGACAGATTTTAAAGAATTTTTTGGGGCCCTGCCCTTCAGGTTCCTGGGGGCCTAGACTCGCTATTTAAACAAAATTTGCTCCAATATCCCTAAGGGCACTGCTGACCAAATTTGGTAAAAATTCACTCCGTTGTTCATGCTTAGTGGGGACTTCTTGGAAAAGTCGCCACACATTGTAAAATGTGAAGACCATATAAATCACAATTTTATTTCACCGTTGGCCGTGGAGGGTTTCTACAAAATCTCTTTAAATGCAAGGGTTTTCCAGAAGTAGAAAATGTTACGACAAACAACATCAGACAAAAGGCAATTACAATAGGTGACAATGTTTCACAGAAGGATGACGGACGCTGTGGTATGACAATTTCACTTGGCACTTTGGGCAGGAGAAGCTATACTGATGTGGTGTGATATCATGATTGTACAGATTTGGCAGGAACAGTTTAATTTCTAATAGTCATCTTTACGTGAAAATAAGAAAAACACTTACGGCATCAACTCTTCTTTATGTGCTTCTAACATATAGTCTGATAGCTGTTGCAACAATGGCTGACTGTGAAGTGTGATAAACTGCTCTCTGCAAATCTGTAAAACACACAAATCTCTTAAAACATGAAGAATAGAAGACTCAAACCCCATTAAAGGATTTTAACCACAATTTTGGTTTTAAATACTTTTTCCTTTTTTATGATTTCATCTTATCAGTTTCAAACATATGAAATTGTTTCATAAAAGAGGTATTTACACACCATGACATGTGTAGTCAGTTCCATACAATACGGTCATGCATCATTAATCATGGCATATATATGAGAACAGTATGCAGATATCCATGACAACATGATAAATCAAAGCACTGAAATTACTGAAATGCTAAACATGTTGATCAAATAAATATATAATTAATTTTTTCTTAGTTTTCAGATTCGCTCAACTGATAATAATTGGAAGACAAATGGCAACATGCCACATTGTGCCTGGTCTGTATCCAAAGATGATTCCCCATATATAGTAATATACCCTCAACAAAAACAAAAATGCAAACATATATATGCAATCAATATCCTATGATATTTTCGAAAATTTGTACAAAATTTTATATCAATGTGAAGGAACAACTCTACTCTTTCCAATACTGTAGGAAAAAAGTTTGTGTGACGTCACGTGTGTCGTCAGTATTAAGTAAAAATGGTTTACTTGCGAAAAACAAAATAACACTTCAGTACCTCGTGTGGGCACCTCTTGCACGAATCCCTGCATGGATTCTCCTATGCATTGAATTCCTGAGAACATTAACTCGCCTTATGGGAATGTTGTTCCATTCTTGTGTTAATACTATGGCTAACTGGGCGTGGTTAGTTTGAGGGTTTTAACATTTCCTAATATGCCTGTCCAGCTCATCCCACAGATACTCAATGAGAGACATTTCGGGGCTTCACGCGGGCCATTCCAGAGGCTGGGCATTGTTTGCCGTGAGAAAATCACATAGTCTTGCTGGAAAGTTAGGTTATGACGTCTGAGAAGTGGAAGCACATGTGGTTGGAAGGTCTGGTCTCTGTATCAAATGGCATTGAGGTTTGGATCCAGGACAACTAAGAGGGATTTAACACCATGGGAGATGCCTTCCCAAAGCATTACAGGAGTCCAACCAAATCTATCATGTTCAACCTCGCATGCGTCTGCAAAACACTCACTCCGTTTGCAATATACCCTTTTTCTTTCGTCTGAGCAATACAGACAATTTAGACTCATCTGTGAACATTACACGCCTCCACCAATGCATCCCAAACCCAGTCAGGATGCACTTGCTACCTTTGTAGTGTAAGAGGTGGCCAGACATAAGGTTGGCGCCCAATGACTCTCTTGGCATGCAAGCAGTTCCTGGCAGTTTGAACACTAAAGGGTCTGCCATAAATACCAAATGTATGCAATGCAGTCTCTACAGCAGTCTTGAATCTGTTGCGAAAGTGCGACAATTGAATCACGCTGTCGTGTTGTGCAGTCATTACATGCGGACAACTGCTCCTTGGATGATCGGGAACTAACCCAGTAGCAAGGAAATGTGTATAGACAATTAATTATACACAGGGCAACAGCAGTTTGGCTATGACCATCAATCAACATTGCAATTGCTCTATCCCTCTGAATTTGCATTAAGCATTACATCTCGGTCAATGGCAAAATCAAAATGCAAACAGGGAAGATTGATGTGGCTGAAGTTACAGTAGCCATTAAAATTATTCGTTTGAAAAAATCCAGCTTGGCTTGATCACGCTGCATGATTTGGACTAAAGAAGCTCACAAAGTCTGACGATGACATTGTCACGCTTGGCTGATTTTAGGGTAGATTGTCAAGAAGGGAGATAATTCTTGATGAAATACCTGACCAAATATTCCATTATTTCCTTACTACTAAGGTGTACTGCAGGGGGGAACTTTGTGCGTTTCTTTTTTTGTTGAGTATATATAACTATAAATAGTAACAGTGACCTTGACGTTGACCTTAGCATGTTGAAGCACAAACTCAGTGTGGTGGTTGATCAAAATCGGTTGAGAAATATATTTGCTGGAGTAATGACAAGAAGTGACCATATATATGTAAGTACGGGAGGCTATTTACTCTCCTCAGTCGCTGCTTAGGGATAATAAATCATAAACCATATTGTACAATAATTTGTGTTTGTGTCGTTTCCTCTTATAACAACCCATAGGACACGAAACTGTGGCATGTCAATGTCATCATTACAAATGAATCCGTCTTTAAATTTATGTGAACACATATCGATACAAATCTTAAGATGCTAAAATAACTTATTTGAACTTCAAGTTTCACAAAATAAAGTCTTCATTAACAGTCAGGCCTAATTTAACATAGAAAATTATCACAAATGCCTCGAAAAAGTTTCAAGGGGCCGCTTAGGTCTTTGCCAATGTGGTAATCATTTTTCTCAAATGTCAGGGTAAACACTGTATTGTATGCAGTGAAGATTGACCACAATGTCAGAGCATCAACGTTTCAATCTTTCTTTAAATTATTTAATGCTTAAATTATCTTGAACACTGGTAAGGTGATAGTAAAATGTTCTGTAATCAGGTTTTCCCTATGCCATCTTTAATGACATCTGATTGGCCATTAAAAATAGCCACTGATATAACTGCCAATGAAATGTGGCGTTTCAAAGGAAATCCGTTCACTCTGTTGGCTATTTTTGTCTACAATGCTCCATAAATAATCTTCAGAACACATTTTAACAAAGTTGCAGAGATACCCACTGTTTATATATCAGCTTTGTGATGTTGCTCTATTATGAAGCCTATACAGCAATGAACAAATAAATTATACGGCGTAACATCAGATGATGATACTGTAGTGTCACATACAAATTTGACCACATGTAAACTGTAAATATGATAAATGATCATCTATGATAGTAGTGAGATATTTCAAAGAATGAACAAAAAAAAGTTTAGGAAAATCCTTGATCTAATTGGAAAAATAAATCAAATTACAAATTTCTTGTCTTCAAACAATTTGCGTCAGTTTTGCACTTCAGAAACTGAACTTTCCAGTTTAGACATCCAAAAAAAAGGTGTTGACTGTTGATGTCACAATACCCCCTGACAAATGGAACATGATATTAAGTGAATTCCACTGTATTATCACATCATTTCAAACTGAAAAGAGGAAAAATGAAAAAAATGTGGCTAAAACCCATTGATTTCACCAATTTATGATAAATCTAACACTGATCAACAACACAGTAATGTAAAGGTAATTTTGACAGGTGTGAGAATTATATTTACCTTGTTCATGGTATCAATATCACAGGCATGAGTCCAAAAGCAATCATGAATTGAGCTAAACACAATGCCTTCCCTGTGAACGAAAAAAAGAAACTGAATTTTACCATCATATCCAGTTTAACACAGAGTTCCAGGTTCTCAAAGTATGACATTCATTCTAATGTGACGACATTGGTTACACACCACTCCCCACAATGGTGGGGCATAGAAAAGACTGTAGTTTTTGTAATGACGAATTCCCCACAATGTATGGTGCATGTCGAATGAAAATTCTTGGTATAAATAATCATTTCCAGCTGAAATTAAAAAACTATTCAGTATAATTAGGACTATTCTTCATACAATTTTTTTTCAATACCAAGGCATCAAAAATTATAACAAATCCCTTCACTTCAATTTATAATGAAGTTGTGTTGCATTTAAGATTTTCTATAAATGGTAACAGTGAACTTATGGTTGACCCTGGCATGCTGAAACACGAATTCAATCAAGGTATTATGATATTTGATCAAATGTAAAGTTCGTTTAAAATCGGTTGAGAAATGAAATTGCCAGAGTGATGACAAAAGGTGAACCAATGCAGCTACATACATCCATATACGAATGGAATGGTATATCCCCTACAAGGTCACCTATCTTAAGTTTGTTTAATTGTTTGGTTTATTGCTCCCAACAGCTAAGATAAAGTCTTCTTACAGTAACTGATGGCAATCTCACTGAACAAAATAAAGGAGGCCCATCAATGAGCAATCAGATAAGTTAAGGAAAACTGTCTTGCTCGAGGACACAACTTCAACAGTAACAGACTGGTCTGTTTCTTAACATCCCAGGATGAGTAGAGATCAAACCACAAACATTTGATGTAAAACCACAAACATTTGATGTCAAACCACAAACATTTGATGTCAAACCACAAACATTTGATGTAAAACCACAAACATTTGATGTCAAACCACAAACATTTGATGTCAAACCATAAACATTTGATGTCAAACCATAAACATTTGATGTCAAACCACAAACATTTGATGTCAAACCATAAACATTTGATGTCAAACCATAAACATTTGATGTCAAACATCAAAAACATATGATGTCAAACTAAAAACATTTAATGTCAACTACAAACATTTGATGTCAAACCACAATCATTTGATGTCAAACTACAAACATTTGATGTCAAAACACAATCACTTGATGTCAAACCACATACATTTAATGTCAAACTACAAACATTTGATGTCAAACCATAAATATTTGATGTCAAACTACGAACATTTGATGTCAAACCACAAACATTTCATGTCAAAACACAATCACTTGATGTCAAACCACATACATTTGATTTCAAACCATTCACATTTGATGTCTAACAATACACATTTGATGTCAAACCACAAACATTTGATGTCAAACCACATTTGATGTCAAATCACAAACATTTGATGTCAACTACAAATATTTGATGTCAAACCATAAACATTTGATGTCAAACCACAAACATCTGATGTCAAACTACAAACATTTAATGTCAAACCACAAACATTTGATGTCAAACCACAAACATTTGATGTCAAAACACAATCACTTGATGCCAAACCACATACATTTGATGTCAAAACACAATCACTTGATGCCAAACCACATACATTTGATGTCAAACCACAAACATTTGATGTCAAACCATAAACATGTGATGTCAAACTACGAACATTTGATGTCAAACCATAAACATTTGATGTCAAACCACAAACATTTGATGTCACACCACAAACATTTGATGTCAAACCACAATCATTCGATGTCAAACCACAATCACTTGATGTTCACCTTATAGATTTACCATTAATGCTCTACAAACTGATCTGTGGAAATTTCTCATTCAGCTTCAGGGAACAAGTTTACAGAAATCTTGTGACAGTGAAACATATCCGTTAGATACAATGAAATTCTACAGAGGATGTTAATAAAACTGATGGCTTGGGAGACAGAGGGGAGATTTAATTACTGATCAAATTTCTTATTATCAACAACATATACCTACTTCATACAGTGAAGAGCTGTCAGCATCATATGGACAGAGTCCAGGCTGTGGATGTAGTTAGGCGAGAAACTATTTTTTTGTTTGCAGGTGTCTGGCCGGCTTATTTTCCTGTTGTAAAGATAATGACACATTTAGGTCACACTAAGTATGTAGACATTTCAGGAACACATACATAGTGTAAAAAACCTTGTTTGTTACTCCAGGAGTAAAATAGATGTTCATATGATACATGATTAAAACTGGCTGAGAAACTAATGGATCTAACAAAACTGAAAACAGATTCTAAACTGGAGATTTTCATTACAATATGTAAATGTTAAAATCTGAGATTCCATGTATAAAAATTAACTTTTTACGTACTATGGCACAACATTATAAGATTTATCATTATTGTATTAAGTATAGGACTGCATTCTTAGATTTATCATTACTTTATGTACTATAGGACTACATCCTAATGTTTATCATTATCTTATCTCTTTGATCCCCTTCACACAAGAATGCTTCAGACAAATGTTTCCAACAGACCTTCAGACCAGGTGAGCTAAAAATATCAGGGCCCGTATTCATGTAACCGTTCTCATGCTCAAGCATGAATTTTGTGCTCACGCCTTATGTCTTTTCCAAGTTAAAAAATTAATAAATAAGTCTGATTTTGCTAAAGATTTTTAAAAAAAATTGAAAGGACTTCAAATCAAAGTTATTTTCAATGTTTATATTTGATATTTGTATTATTTTATATAATTTAGGCGAATTATGATAAAGTTTCCCTGAGCACAAAATCTATGCTTGAGCATGAGAATGGTTTCATGAATACACACCCAGGTTACAAATACTTTGTTTTACGCCCTTACTTTCCAAACACTTATTGATATACGTCTATTGTGTTAATACCTCCTCAGATAGTGTGGTCATCAATATTACCTGGTCTCCTTGGTAACTGGATTCTTTTTAAGGAAGGTTTTATTGAAGACCTGAACAACTAGCAGTCCAAGCGGGGTTTTCCACTCTACATGTTTCTTAAGGCCAGAACCAATGGTCATTGCAACTGCATTAAACCAATCCTGCAACAATATTTTATTCTTATCATGTGTCTTGTTACAAATGTTGAGTGAAATCATTCATATTGAAAATTATGTATACCTGTTTTTCTTCACATTTGTTACCACCACTGTACACTGTATTAGCCCCTAGGCATCAGCTAGGATCAATATGGGCATTCCATCAAGCTGTCATCTTTCGCTCATAATTCTAACCAAAGTTTGAAATACTTTCAATGGTTATAATTAAACAAATTATGCTCAAAACTCTATTTTTCCTATATGGGCTATAGCACACTTTACCCCCTCCCTACGGGGAAATGTGAGATCCTGGGGCCATGAAATTCACAATTTGATACAGCACTTTAGATGCTTCCAACTATGAAGAGTATTTGGTTCTACCATATCTGGGTGTTGAGAAGAAGATTTTTGAAATCGGAGTCAATTTGACCCTTTCTGGCACTGCCCCTCAGGCCCCTTTGGTGTGTAATTGTATAATTCACTATTTAGGTTCATCTTGGGCCAGGAAAGATTTCTGTAAAATTTCACTGAAATTGGCTCAGGGGTTTTGGAGGAAAAGTTGAATGTTATAAATTGTTTACAGATGCACAACGCCAGATAAAGGTGATTGCAAGAGGTCACCATGAGACTTAAGTTTCAACTGACATAAAATTGACTGAATGACAATGGACAATGCAGTAACTCATGTGATCCTTCAAACCTTGTGAGCTAAATATTTCATCTCTTATGATGAATACTTTTACATTTTAACTTAGGCTAAGTGAATTTTTGAAAAATATGAAAGTTTCAATAAACCTCGATGAAATGTAGAGAAATAAAGAATACCCTCCATTACAGTAGCTAAACAGCACTATGTCACAAAAACTGTTGGTCACATTAATATGTTATTGTTCATACTTATACCTAAAGATTAAACCAAGAAAGGAAATATACAGTATTCTGTCACTTCCTACCTGTATTATCCCTGCATTTTCAAAACTTTTCTTGAGATTAGACAAAATTATCTTTGAAATATAAGCTGAGGCTTCTTTCAGATGTTCCTCCGGAAAGTCAGGCATTTCCTTTAGCACCTGTAGAACCTGAAGGTTGGCACCGTGTGACGTAACGCCATATACAGACGTCATTATTGGTCTTTTCACCACCTGAAACAAACAGACTTGATTAACAAACAACCAATGACAAATTATATTTGGCTTTATTAAAACATTGAAAAAAATAATAGAAGTTTAGAAAAGAAATTACATTCGCTATGAGTGAATTTTTGGGACTTCTTTGATATTGTTTCTCTTTTACAGAATTTTCTGATGCATTTGATATATGGACAAAAGCTTTTCCCAGCATTTTCAGCAAGAACCGGACCAGGTGAGCTAATAATCCTGGAGTCCAAGGGTGGGATAGATGCTGTACTGGAATAGCTCTATAATTCAGAGTTCTGGGGTGAGATAGAAGTTTTTCATTTCAGAATACTTTATTGTCATGATTTTACCGACAAAAGGAATTGAGCAACAGGTATAGCCTCTGAAACCCCTCTCCTTGCTATCATAAATAAATATACACATCAGTCAAATAACAAATACAGTAATACTTGGGTATAGTTCATTCCCAAAACTAGGTTATCTCCCTTATCACGGAACTCTTCAAGTAGATAAAGGCACTTCCGGGGGCTGCCATTTTTTGTGGTAAGGATATCACTAAATAATTGGGACAAGAATCAGTCTGAAAATCAACTTAAAATGGCAGAGAAAGCAAATGTCCATACATATTCAACCTCCTTTGCTGTATTCCCTACAGATAACAAGCAGACGAAAACCTGACACAACAATGTATGAATGAAATACTTAATCAAATAACACTTCTGGCCCCACTTGTATAAAACATCTCAACCTGAGATTTCCTCAAGTCGAGATTTTCCTCAGCTGATATGTCCTCAAAAACGGCTTGTATAAAATTTTCTCAAGGAACAGGAGGAAGGCATCAGCTAGGATGTCCTGAAATTCCTTGAGGAATTTTCATACAAGATATTTTCAAGGAGATATTAGCTGAGGAAAATCACTGAGGAAAATCTGGGCTTGAGGAAATCTAAAGTTGAGATGTTTTATACAAGTGGGGCCAGATGTTTTATACAAGTGGAGCCTGGTTTCAGTAATGAAGTGCTTTCTTGAATAGCCTAAAACAATATAGAAGTCCTGGGGAGGAATAGACACTTTCTAGAAGAGCCTAAAAAATCCTGGAGTCTGAGGTTGGTATGGATGTTTTACAGGGATAGTCTTAAATAATCCAGGAATCTGGGAGTGGTATGGATGTTTTACAGGGATAGTCTTAAATAATCCAGGAATCTGGGAGTGGTATGGATGTTTTACAGGGATAGTCCTAAATAATCCAGGAATCTGGGGGTGGTATGGATGTTTTACAGGGATAGTCTTAAATAATCCAGGAATCTGGGGGTGGTATGGATGTTTTACAGGGATAGTCCTAAATAATCCAGGAATCTGGGGGTGGTATGGATGTTTTACAGGGATAGTCCTAAATAATCCAGGAGTCTGGGGGTGGTATGGATGTTTTACAGGGATAGTCCTAAATAATCCAGGAATCTGGGGGTGGTATGGATGTTTTACAGGGATAGTCCTAAATAATCCAGGAATCTGGGGGTGGTATGGATGTTTTACAGGGATAGCCCTAAATAATCCAGGAATCTGGGAGTGGTATGGATGTTTTACAGGGATAGTCCTAAATAATCCAGGAATCTGGGGGTGGTATGGATGTTTTACAGGGATAGCCCTAAATAATCCAGGAATCTGGGAGTGGTATGGATGTTTTACAGGGATAGTCCTAAATAATCCAGGAATCTGGGGGTGGTATGGATGTTTTACAGGGATAGTCCTAAATAATCCAGGAATCTGGGGGTGGTATGGATGTTTTACAGGGATAGTCTTAAATAATCCAGGAATCTGGGGGTGGTATGGATGTTTTACAGGGATAGTCCTAAATAATCCAGGAATCTGGGGGTGGTATGGATGTTTTACAGGGATAGTCTTAAATAATCCAGGAATCTGGGGGTGGTATGGATGTTTTACAGGGATAGTCCTAAATAATCCAGGAGTCTGGGGGTGGTATGGATGTTTTACAGGGATAGCCCTAAATAATCCAGGAATCTGGGGGTGGTATGGATGTTTTACAGGGATAGCCCTAAATAATCCAGGAATCTGGGGTTGGTATGGATGTTTTACAGGGATAGCCCTAAATAATCCAGGAATCTGGGGTTGGTATGGATGTTTTACAGGGATAGCCCTAAATAATCCAGGAATCTGGGGTTGGTATGGATGTTTTACAGGGATAGCCCTAAATAATCCAGGAATCTGGGGGTGGTATGGATGTTTTACAGGGATAGCCCTAAATAATCCAGGAATCTGGGGGTGGTATGGATGTTTTACAGGGATAGTCCTAAATAATCCAGGAATCTGGGGTTGGTATGGATGTTTTACAGATACAGCCCTTACTATATGTTTTTTTTTATGTTTTACCTTCCTTGTAATGTAAGGTGCCACAAGCTTTGCAATTTTGCTACCATCTCTTTCATCTTCTTTTATTTGTAGTTCCACCTGTAAAAAATGCCACAATTTACCACTAATTTAGTTATTTGGTATATTCTGGAAAATACATTTTACCACTAATTCAGTTAACTGGCCAATCAGTTGTGACGTAACAATAATTTTTGCTATTGGGTGAAAAATATGGCAAATGAAAATATTTGTTTCATGGAGGGTTAAATTACTCTCTACTATTGTCAATTTCACCAAAGTTTCAATTGAGACTAAAATGTATCAGATTTACCATTTCCATGATGTCACTGTAAACATCGTTGGGTACATCTGAAGGTTCCAAATTGACAGATTCAGCACCAGATTTATCTCTCCCTAAGGCAGCATAATGCTGAAGTCCATTACATGAACCATCCTACAAATACACAGGTCAACATCAATAATGACATGCACAACAAATTCTGTGTGTACAAGTACACAGGTCAACATCAATAATGACAGGCAAAATAAATTCTGTGTGTACAAGTACACAGGTCAACATCAATAATGACATGCACAACAAATTCTGTTTGTACAAGTACACAGGTCAACATCAATAATGACAGGCAAAATAAATTCTGTGTGTACAAGTACACAGGTCAACATCAATAATGACATGCACAACAAATTCTGCGTGTACAAGTACACAGGTCAACATCAATAATGACAGACAAAACAAATTCTGTGTGTACAAGTACACAGGTCAACATCAATGATGACATGCACAACAAATTCTGTGTGTACAAGTACACAGGTCAACATCAATAATGACAGGCAAAATAAATTCTGTGTGTACAAGTGATATTTACCTGGTGTACTGGGTAGTGGCTCACAAATTTTGTGTAAGATTTACCTGGTGTGTATCGAGTGGCTGACAAACTTTGTGTGATATTTACCTGGTGTACTGGGAAGTGGCTGACAAATTTTGTGTGGTATTTACCTGGTGTGTATCGAGTGGCTGACAAATTTTGTGTGATATTTCCTTGGTGTACAGGGTAGTGGCTGACAAATTTTGTGTGATATTAACCTGGTGTACAGGGTAGTGACTGACAAACTTTGTGGGATATTTACCTGGTGTACAGGGTAGTGGCTGACAAATTTTGTGTGATATTAACCTGGTGTACAGGGTAGTGACTGAAAAACTTTGTGGGATATTTACCTGGTGTACAGGGTAGTGGCTGACAAATTTTGTGTGATATTTACCTGGTATACAGGGTAGTGATTGACAAACTTTGTGGGATATTTACCTGGTGTACAGGGTAGTGGCTGACAAATTTTGTGTGATATTTACTTGGTGTACAGGGTAGTGGCTGACAAATTTTGTGGGATATTTACCTGGTGTACAGGGTAGTGGCTCACAAATTTTGTGTGATATTTACCTGGTGTGTATCAAGTGGCTGACAAATTTTGTGTAATATTTACCTGGTGTACTGGGAAGTGGCTGACAAACTTTGTGTGGTCCTTACTATGGAATGCTGCTGCTATCTCTTTACAACAGGCTAAAGCTTGCCAGGGATTCTCATCCTCCAACCACCACATACGGCCCTGAAAATCACCAAAGTTTGTTTCTCAAAGCTACTAAAGATGTTTGGCCAGTAGCAATGTTTCAAATTAAATGTAGCTCAATTTCACTATACGTAAAAAGGCTTTTTTCAATCCTTATTGTTTGTTGAGTATTGACCTGAACAATGACCATGGACAAAGGTTGATGAAAGGGTCTAGCTAAAGTCCCAGGGGCAACAGTAAAACCAATAATTTTAAACTCACTTCCAAAGGATTTTCTGCAGAGTCCAAGATCTCTTCCATCATCTCATTAGCGTAGGCAAGTCGGTCTTTGTTGGAATGTCTAAAATAAAGGCAACAGTACTTTAAAATGTAAATTTGTACATGTGTTCAATGCCACACAAATTATGTAAAGCTGAAACGTCCACCTGATCCGGTAACTGTTGCTCTTACAAAGCAAAATACATTACATGAGATATTTTAAATATCCTTTAATCAACTTTATGAAGTATTTCAATATATTGTCTGATAAAATAATGCAGATATTTGGAGGGGGCCTTAACCTACAAAATCAACTCACAATCATTCTTATATCAATTAGTGCTGCTGAACACAATTAAATATAAATTTCATATAATGCATGTCTTTGTAACGTCACTTCTAGTTATCACAGCACTGATATTACAGTTGCTAACTATATTAATTATGTTAAGGTATATCTTCTGGAGAGTCTTCACAACTCTTACTGTCACTGATTATCACTTACAGCTGACTTTTAGATACACTGCTAAGAATAAATTTCAATGATCCCATAATTCTGTGCATTATGCCATATTGTGCTGCCTCGAAGAAATCTCTTCAAACCACAGCAATGCTAGTTCGTGATTGACACAAATGTCAATTTGAATATTTTCATGAACAACTAGTACGTCAATTTTGATAAGTTTTTAATATAATACTTGATTTTCTCACAACAGGTTGAAACATGTGTTATGTTTCGCCTAAAACTAAAAACTGAGTACAGTTTATTGTCAAATCAAACTTGTGCACAATACGAAAAAAAAGGTTACAAAGCCATGTGTTATGCACAAAGGACAGGCCTAAAAGTCACTTCTGGTCGCAAATGAAAAATTTGAATTGAGTATAGAAAGAGTTAGACCTTGTCCATCTGCCACCAGGAGACCATAACCTGTTGTGTTTTATTTGGATTTGTCCCCCTGCATGTCCCTAGGGGAGGTAATTCTAAAATTCCAATTCTGTTTCAATACATGTATATTACTACTAACCTTTTCTTTATTCCTTTCAAGTTGATGAGATGAATTTTGAGCCAGTCCAACCCCTTCTCTCCAAGAGGTTTTCCCTTGGCAAATAAAAAAAGGCTTCTAGTCATATCATCAGCTACAAAGTAAAAATTGGAACAATTACATTGGTTGTAACAAGCATAAGTCAATTTAATCTTTAATTATAGAAACATGTATCTATTTTCAAATGATGAACACTTAATGACACATTATGTCAAACTGTCACATGTATATATAGAGATTATAAACTTAAAGAAATCTATTTAATTCTTATATTCCTAACGCTGCATGAACAAGAGAGATTTTAAAAAGTTTGCCCTATTTACCTTTCTGAGCCCTGTTCCTCCAACCACAGGTGGTAGAGAGGCACTTCCCCTAAGGATGCTTCTGAACATAATCCCCTTAGTCATTGATCACTATATGACAAAGTGATTTTTGCTAAGTTGATGGGAGACGGATGCAGTTAATATGACATAAGCTCACCAGTCCTTCTGACCAGGTGACCAGGTGACCAGTCCTTCTGACCAGGTGACCAGGTGACCAGTCCTTCTGCCCAGGTGACCAGGTGACAAGGTGACCAGTCCTTCTGACCAGGTGACCAGGTGACCAGTCCTTCTGACCAGGTGACCAGGTGACCAGTCCTTCTGACCAGGTGAGCTAATATGTTCTAGTTATGGCTACAGAAATTACATTGCATGAAAGAAATTTCAACCACTACATAGACTTACATTGGTATTGAAGGATGGTAGAATAACAATACACTCGGCCACGATAGTCCATGTTGGTCGGCAGCCAAAACACTTGGTCTCTGAACTGTTAACAAAAATATTGATTTTGTCTTATCATCAAAGGTTTTGGGGTAGGAAATACGCCTTCTCTCAAAATTATGAACACAAATACTGAACTTGGTTCTTGGCAGGAAATACACCTCCTCATAGAACTGTTTATTTTATTCAAAGATATCCCTCGGAAAAAATTGGGTATGTATACCTTGAAATTTTTGTTATAATGTACACTAGGTTAATTCCCTTTATCTAATATTTCACAGTTGCACAGTTTGGGCTAGTTCACAGAGATGAAATGTCACACATGTTGTCCATTGGTATCCATGTATAAAGGCAAAAAACATACACTTTCCAAGAATTTTTTATTATTTCAAGAAAGTTTGTTGGGTATTTTATTCAAAACTATCATTGAAAGTCTTATTTATAGCAGAATTTAAACACCTACTGTACAACCTTATTCACAGTATATGTTCGTTTCTTTATTTTCCATACAAGAATGAAACGGCACTTATAGAAACGAGAGAGAAATTTACAAAGAGTAATAACAATCATCAACAAGAAATCAGAAGAATTGGATGTGTCGCCTGTCCAGTAAGGTTTCTGGAAAAAAGTTTTGTGGAACAAAAGCCATAGATATTCATTGTATTTATTCCATTTATATAATTGGTCCATTTGTTTGAGATGTGGTAAGTAAACTTGCAGATTAGATGTATAGTGTCAAAGAGAACTGAATTCGGAGGAGAGATTTTTCTTATTAATACAACATAATATTTTCATTTTAATTCTATAGATAGTTAAAGATATGCAAATGTTAATTTGAAATAATTTCCATGTACAGTATATATGTGTAATGTGAAGATGAGCATTTGCTATACACGTTAAAATAGATGTAAAACCAAGGAAGTAAATGTCATTTGCTGTACATCGTGTTATCTTGCAATTTCTGTGATATACAATAAAGAGTTTGGAAACAGCATAAGTTCTACTTAAATGGAGAAAGTTAATACTATTAATAAAACTCTATATATTGTCTAAACGCTGTATTTAAACTACATACTATGTTATATTAAAAAAAAACATTTTCAGGATTTGATTTTTATATTTATAAAATGCAGAACATTACTATATTTAGATAAGAATAATTAAGGTATAGATTAAAACCAAATAAGAACTTTGCACCAAACTGTTGGCAAGATCACTACCATTCCAGTGAGTACTCATTAACCAGGGATATAAATTTACAGGTAAATGTTACTGTATTCAGTTTTTGTTCCATGCAGACTTATCTGATGGTTACTGGTTAACAAGAGTCCTAATTTACAGACTGTACTTATTTCTTGAGTCTTTTAGACAGTGCATCAATAACATTTATAGTAATGGTGGCCTTGACCTTTGACCTTTGGATCTAAAAAAAGCAATCCTAAACAGGCACTTTTGGTAAGGAAACACTGTATGAAGATTGAGCTTGATCGGCCTTAGTGAACTCAAGTTATTGCGAAAAAACCTGTGTTCGGACAAAGATGCCGATGGTAACATAATGATACCTATAAGTTGCCTTTTGCAGGCGACACAAAAATGAAGCTCAATATGTGAATGTAGAGGCCATTTTCTAAGATTTACCTACCTCATTGGCTAATGTTAGCATCCATAAGCAACTGTACCAAAGAGAATTCATTTCTAAGGACTTTTTCTGCCACTTGTACTTGTCTATCAAGGTTTGTCTGTTCTTCTTTTTATCACCTTTCCTGAAACATTAAACGAAAGTGTTGTTTAACAGACAAACAAATGCAATCCTGCTTAAGTTCGAACCGGGTTTCCAATCAATGATGCCATCATTACAAGCAACAGTTCTACCAACTGAGTCAACGATTTAAATCCAACCTGTATCACCTGTTCCATGTGAGAAACATGATAGTCAACACTTAAATAAGTGAAGCATTCACCATTCAGCTGAGTGTAATTTTATATGGTCTCTGTCACTCAGAGACTGTACATAATTACATCCATCTGAATGAAAGGGATAGCTGAGTGGCAGGGACAGCATGTAATTACACTCAGCTGAGTGACAGTGACGGCATGTAATTACACTCAGCTGATGACAGTGATGGCATGTAATTACACTCAGCTGAGTGACAGTGACGGCATGTAATTACACTCAGCTGAGTGGCAGTGATGGCATGTAATTACACTCAGCTGAGTGACAGTGACGGCATGTAATTACACTCAGCTGAGTGACAGTGACAGCATGTAATTGCACTCAGCTGAGTGAGAGTGACATGTAATTATACTCAGCTGAGTGACAGTGACGTCATGTAATTAAACTCAGCTGAGTGACACGGAATGTATATAATTACACTCAGCTGAGTGACACGGACTGTATATAATTACACTCAGCTGAGTGACATTGGCTGTATGTAATTGCACTCAGCTGAGTGACACGGGCTGTACATAATTACACTCAGCTAAGTGACACAGGCTGTACATATTTACACTCAGCTGAGTGACACGGACTGTATATAATTACACTCAGCTGATGACAGTGACAGCATGTAATTATACTCAGCTGATTTACAGGGACAGTGTACAATAACACTTAGCTTTGTGATAGGGATGGCATATGATTACACTCAGCTGAGTGACAATGGCTGTATATAATTACACTCAGCTGAGTGACATTGGCTGTATATAATTACACTCAGTTGAGTGACATGGACTGTACATAATTACACTCAGCTGAGTGACACGGGCTGTATATAATTACACTCAGTTGAGTGACATGGACTGTACATAATTACACTCAGCTGAGTGACATGGACTGTACATAATTACACTCAGCTGAGTGACACACGTTGTATATAATTACACTCAGTTGAGTGACATGGACTGTACATAATTACACTCAGCTGAGTGACACGGGCTGTATATAATTACACTCAGCTGAGTGACACAGGTTGTATATAATTACACTCAGTTGAGTGACATGGACTGTACATAATTACACTCAGCTGAGTGACACGGGCTGTATATAATTACACTCAGTTGAGTGACATGGACTGTACATAATTACACTCAGCTGAGTGACATGGGCTGTATATAATTACACTCAACTTAATGACAGAGACCATATATATAATTATATTCAGCTGAATTAAAGGGATGGCATATGATCACAGTCTGCTGAGTGACAGAGGCCATCTTAAATAAGTACTTATTTCAACAGGACCATTACAAATTTCTCCCAAGCACTAATGCAGCGGTAATGGATGTACCAGGTATTGAAACAAGATTGATAAGAAGTGTTACAGACATATAAACAGTTTTAATTTTACTGGCACCCGACGAACAACAGTATGTAATCTTATTAAAATCTAGATAATAAGTTATAGTATTATATCTTTGAGATCACAAACATCAACAGCCTACTTGTGACCCATCCTTTTTTTGTCGATTCACCGACACTGACACTGAAATTCTTCTTTCCATTTGTTTGACCTGGACATCAAAACCTTAATCTCATTTTTCAGATTCACCAGCATCAACACTATAATTTGACTCACCTCATACGCTTGAGAGAGGCAGGCATAGGTGGAGCAGGCAATGGTACATTCATCTGTTTGTTTCCATTGTTATGAAAAACTTTTGTCTGGATATCCAGTACCTGGTTGAATCACACATAATACCACACATATTACACAAACCTTAACAGTTAAAGTATAAAAATACATTATTTGCTAGTTTTATATTTCAATGAACTGTGTACCTACTGTTGGCCCTATCTCATCCTTTCAATCACATCTGATAATTTTGTTGTCTAGAAACTCATTACCCACTGTGTACCTGATGTTGGCCCTATCTCATCCTTTCAATCACATCTGATAATTTTAGGGCCTAGAAACTCATTACCCATTGTGTACCTGATGTTTGCTCTATCTCATTCTTTCAATCACATCTGATAATTTTGTTGCCTAGAGACTCATTACCCAACCCAATGTTGGCTCTTTCTCTTCTTAATTCTATATCTGTTCATAGATTTTTTTTCAATTCGACAATAAAGGAAAGCAAAACAACATCAAGAATATTATACCACAATTTGTAACTGACTTTAGTAAGTCCTGTTTTATGAATTTCGGAGATTTGTTGACTGACTGCATAATAAGCTATATCTGGAACTGAAATAGACTTGAACCCAGAGCATGAGACATACCAGACTTAAGATACAGCCTCTGTCTCGCGAAATGTTAACAAGCTATTTGAATACAAAGTATGCTTTCAAGAGTAAAATCAAAGCTACTTCTTCCGCCATTTTCTACCGTATTCTAAACACAGACAATGTGGTTTATTCAAAGTACAGTAATTCTGTGTATATGCACTGCTAGATCAATCAAGTCATGATTTCAACCATCAAATTATACGACTGTTGGCCTTACTGGCTGATTTATTTTCCATGGACAGGAACCCATGTAGTTGAGTACATCAAATATTGGCAGAATGTCAGAAGAGGACATCTTATCCATAGCAAGTTTCGTGTACAGCTCCTGATCACGATACGGTTTACGAATGAGTTCCCCTAGAATGGAAAAGCTACAATTAAAACAATTACATAATATTTCTACCACAAACTAAAGACCCACAGGCCCTAGGGTCAATAAACTTTCTGAATTTAAGAAATCCACTCAAGTAAATTCAGGCCATTTCCGTCTTTCCAGAGTAAACAAAGAAGTTTCTGAATTAAAGAAATGATTGCTAACCACTTAAAATATTTTGCACCAAATTTGGCTGAAATATCACTCACCTGGCTTTGTTTGGCTGAAATTGCTTCATCCAAACTTACAAGGAAAAGGAAGTTTATGTTTCCAAGTATACAACACACTATATCTATTTCCCTAATGATCTGCAACTCAACATTCTTAGGGGGTTAGCCAAAAACTTCATGCATCATACCAAATTGGGATGTAAATGAATCCTGTCATTTCTACAGAAGAATTTTTAAAAATTTGCTCTATTTCCCCTATTGGGCCCCTCCCATTGCAGTGGTCTGAAAGTTACAGTTAATACAAAATTGATTCCTGGCTTCAACCCAGAATGCTTCTGACCAAATTTTGGCAAGATTCCTACAAGGTGAGTAGGATTTCAAAGAATTTGCTCCATTTAATCTATTTGGCCCCACTTCTCTGGCCTTAGGAGGCTAAAACCCTAAGTCTATACAAAAGTGATTCCCTTTCACCAAAGAATGCTTCCCATTCACCCAAGAATGCCTCAGACCAACTTTGGGCAAGAGGAGTACAAGTTTAAATAGTTGTTTTTGCCAAAATCTGCTCAGTTGTTCATCAGTTGCGATTTGAAGAAAGAATTGATGATTGTACTGATGATGGATGCATGCAGTTTGGCATAAGCTCACCAGTCCTTTGGACCGAGTGAGATAAAAACCAATATCAACATTTTGGAGCTTTGGGTTACCAAGAAGAAGAGGTTTGAAAATTTCAACATTTTTGACCCTGTGATCTTGAAAGTAAGTCAATATCATTCATCTGAACAAACTTGAAAGCCCTTAATCCCAGCCTGGTACAGGCCACAATATCAGCAAATTTGGAATTATCGTTATTGAGTACACACAGCAGACACATACAAACAGCAGACTCATACAGACAGCAGACTCACAGAGACAGACAGCAGACTCATACAGACAGCAGACTCACAGAGACAGACAGCAGACTCATACAAACAGCAGACACATACAGACAGCTGACTCATACAGACAGCAGACTCATACAGACAGCTGACTCATACAGACAGCACACTCATACAGACAGCAGACTCATACAGACAGCAGACTCATTCAGACAGCTGACTCATACAGACAGCAGATACATACAGACAGCAGACTCATACAGACAACAGACTCATACAGACAGCTGACTCATACGGACAGACAGCAGACTCATACAGACAGCTGACTCAAACAGACAGACAGCAGAGACTGCTACATCAAACACAATGTCATTGTTACGTACCATCTCCCATTAAGTGTACACCATGGTATAATGAGGTCCAGGGAACTGGGGGAATGGTGAACGGCATCTCTAACAGCTGAAATCCCACTGATCGGCCTTTTTTAGCATACAACTTCAATAACTGTGGATGTGGCTGTAATACACATTAGCATAAAATGTTATTACTACAGATATATTTTGGAGACATTGAGCAATATTATCCTAAATTATTTACAGAAAAAAGAAAGATTTCAAATATCAGCAAATATGATATCACTAATCCCAAAAGAAATCCGTTGGGATGAGCAGAAAGGAATGGGATACTTGAAGAGGCCTAGAAACCTTGACAATCACTTGAGGTAAGAGGTATCAAAACAGACAACAGACAAACAGACTTCAGCATAAACTGATTTACCCCCTCCCTAGTGGGAAATGTTAGAAACTGCGGTCATGACTTTAACAATTTCGGAAAACATAAGACCCTTCTATCTAAGAAGAGTTTTTAGAAGTACATTGTAGTCTACCTGGGTCTAGAGAAGAATATTTTTTTTAAACATTCAATCAATTTGACCCTTTTTTGACTACCCCCATTGAGTTTCAATCAATTTGACCCTTTTTTGACTACCCCCATTGAGTTTCAATCCCCATTGAGTTTCAATCAATTTGACCCTTTTTTGACTACCCCCATTGAGTTTCAATCAATTTGACCCTTTTTTGACTACCCCCATTGAGTTTCAATCAATTTGACCCTTTTTTGACTACCCCCATTGAGTTTCAATCAATTTGACCCTTTTTTGACCATACCCATTGAGTTTCAATGAAGTCGATAATGTTAAAAATCACAACACACAACACTGAAATAAAAGGGCATCGCAACAGGTCACCCTGAGACTTTGACTCATGTGACCTAAAAATTCGCTGATGCATGATGTCGACCTATGCTAATAATACTAAGCTATTTCCAGTGGGAAATAACACTATGCTCAAAAATGCACATTTCTCTATGAAAGTCACAGTAAAATTTCAGTAAAGCACTTTAAGACACTTCCATTGATGAAAAGCATTTGATGCTATCATACCTGGGGGTTAAATAGAAGATTTTTCAAATCAAAGTCAATTTGACCCCTTTTACCCCCCGCCCATTAGGTTCTCTAAAAGAAGGGAGTGACTTTCCATTTTCATTATTTAAGTATCGTAGCTCTGAAAATACTGACAGATTTCTAACTTATCTGACAGAAACACTAAAACAGACAAACAGCAACAGACCATGGTCGATATGTCCCAAATCTTCAATATAAGAGGCATAAAAAGCAGAACTACACTTAACTTGTGGAAAGTACTTCGGGCAAGTAAGTTTAGATGATTTTTAGTGCGACTGGTTAATGTGGAACACTGGTATTATCTGGACAGTACTACTATCATTATGACAAAACAAACACTTACCATGTTGCAGGGGAAACATTTTCCAATAACATTTCTATTTAGGGTTTCAAACAATGCTGGTTCCTGTTTCCTGAAATGATAGAAAAAACATTGTATATATTATCTAAATCATACAAACAGGTTTTGTATCAACAATCTACAACATACTGACCTGTCTTCTATGAACAATCTACATCACATGGACCTGTTTTCTAACTGAAATCAACATCACATGGACCAGTTTTCTGTCAACAATCTACATCACATGGACCTGTTTTCTAACTGAGATCAACATCACATGGACCAGTTTTCTGTCAACAGTCTACATCATACGGACCTGTTTTCCAACTGAAATCTACATCACATGGACCAGTTTTCTGTCAACAATCTACATCATACGGACCTGTTTTCTAACTGAAATCTACATCACATGGACCTGTTTTCTGTCAACAATCTACATCATACGGACCTGTTTTCTAACTGAAATCTTCATCACATGGTCAACAATCTACATCATACGGACCTGTTTTCTGTCAACAATCTACATCATACGGACCTGTTTTCTAACTGAAATCTACATCACATGGACCAGTTTTCTGTCAACAATCTACATCATACAGACCTGTTTTCTGTCAACAATCTACATCATACGGACCTGTTTTCTGTCAACAATCTACATCATACGGACCTGTTTTCTAACTGAAATCTACATCACATGGACCTGTTTTCTGTCAACAATCTACATCATACGGACCTGTTTTCTGTCAACAATCTACATCATACGGACCTGTTTTCTAACTGAAATCTACATCACATGGACCTGTTTTCTGTCAACAATCTACATCATATGGACCTGTTTTCTAACTGAAATCTTCATCACATGGACCTGTTTTCTAACTGAAATCTTCATCACATGGACCTGTTTTCTGTCAACAATCTACATCATACGGACCTGTTTTCTGTCAACAATCTACATCATACGGACCTGTTTTCTAACTGAAATCTACATCACATGGACCTGTTTTCTGTCAACAATCTACATCATACGGACCTGTTTTCTAACTGAAATCTTCATCACATGGACATGTTTTCTGTCAACAATCTACATCATACGGACCTGTTTTCTAACTGAAATCTACATCACATGGACCAGTTTTCTGTCAACAATTTACATCATACGGAAATGTTTTCTGTCAACAATCTACATCATACAGACCTGTTTTCTAACTGAAATCTTCATCACATGGACCTGTTTTCTGTCAACAATCTACATCATACGGACCTGTTTTCTAACTGAAATCTACATCACATGGACCTGTTTTCTGTCAACAATCTACATCATACGGACCTGTTTTCTAACTGAAATCTTCATCACATGGACATGTTTTCTGTCAACAATCTACATCATACGGACCTGTTTTCTAACTGAAATCTTCATCACATGGACATGTTTTCTGTCAACAATCTACATCATACGGACCTGTTTTCTAACTGAAATCTTCATCACATGGACATGTTTTCTGTCAACAATCTACATCATACGGACCTGTTTTCTAACTGAAATCTTCATCACATGGACATGTTTTCTGTCAACAATCTACATCATACGGACCTGTTTTCTAACTGAAATCTTCATCACATGGACATGTTTTCTGTCAACAATCTACATCATACGGACCTGTTTTCTAACTGAAATCTTCATCACATGGACCTGCTGTCTGTCAAAAATTTACATCATAAAGACTTGTTTTCTTTCAACAATCTGCATCATACGATTGGGTTTTCTGAAAACAATTTACATCATACTAACCTGAACAATCTAGTATCAAATTACAACATTGTATAACAATTACCTGATCTTTTTGCCATCCACTTTCTCTTCCACGGAAATCGTCATTGTATTCTTTATCTGATCCAGGATCCGATAACCAACCTTAACAAAAAAAATCAGGTTAGCATATCAGAAATCATCCTCAATACATCAGGGGTTACAATCAATTTCTTTCTCAGTGCCCCTGGAATGTGTCACAGCAAAACTTCAGGTTCAGCGATAGACATCATGTGGACAAAACAAAAAGTTTTAAACAGTCTTTTGTTGTAAATTAAACGAATCTCAAGGTCACTTAACGGTATATTGTTATGACTTTGAAGTTGGATGTCACTTCAACAGGAGCGTATCAGGATGTGTTTGGTAATCTTTTTTTCCCTAGAACCAATCAAATTTCTTTATTTGCGCCTTCAATTTGCCATGACATGTTCCAGGGGTGCAGAGAGCGAAAGTGGTCGTAACCCATGGAGTGTCGAGGATGGTTCCAGGGGTGCAGAGAGCGAAAGTGATTACAACCCATGGAGTATCAAGGATGATTCCAGGGGTGAAGAGAGCGAAAGTGATCGGAACCCATGGAGTGTCGAGGATGGTTCCAGGGGTGCAGAGAGCGAAAGTGATCGTAACCCATGGAGTGTCGAGGATGGTTCCAGGGGTGCAGAAAACGAAAGTGATCATAACCCATGGAGTATCGAGGATAGTTCCAGGGGTGCAGAGAGCGAAAGTGATCGTAACCCATGGAGTATCAAGGATGGTTCCAGGGGTGCAGAGAGCGAAAGTGATTGTAACCCATGGAGTATCAAGGATGGTTCCAGTTGTGCAGAGAGCTAAAGTGATTGTAACCCATGGAGTATCAAGGATGGTTCCAGGGATGCAGAGAGCGAAAGTGATCCTAACCCATGGAGTGTCGAGGATGGTTCCAGGGATGCAGAAAGCGAAAGTGTTTATAACCCATGGAGTAACAAGGATGGTTCCAGTTGTGCAGAGAGCTAAAGTGATTATAACCCATGGAGTATCAGGGATGGTTCCAGGGGTGCAGAGAGTGAAAGTGGTCGTTACCCATGGAGTGTCGAGGATGGTCAGAACTGCAAGAAACTTTAATAACTTTAACATATAGTTCATTGCACATAATTTTCACACGATAAGAGTAATATTGATACATCCTTGTCATACTTAAACCTCCTTGGCCCAGATCATCTATATAATGATAATTTTGAAAACACTGAAAGGTTGCTATTTAAATAAATAATTACTCAATAGATATATGAAATGTCATTAGAAAAAAGTGAATGATTGAATTTGACAATTCACCAATAGATATTTTAAACAAGAGATCTCAGAGGGATCTTGGCACCCACCATTTGAGGATCTGTTTTCAGTTCTTGAAGATTTGTTTATTTTTTTTTTGTTTGTTACAGGTGTTGCAAATGTTCATGAACTGGTCTTCATTGAATGTACTCAATGATGGCACAAGATATTTTTATTAAGCACCTGTTAGCAAATATCATTTGAAAAAGATCCCAAAGTATTATTAGATAGCAGTCAGTTACAGGTGGATAATGGACAATATGCTTGTGCTGTATTACTGTCGACATCCAAGATGGCTGCCTGTGGGCCACCTTGATTTCAAATCAGTCCAAAAAAGGTAAAATGCACAACTAGGGACCAAGGGAAACCAATATATATGAAATATCAGAAGGATCCATCAAGTACTTCCTCAGATATAGCAGTAACAAGATTTTACATTCAAAATCCAAGATGGCCACCTGTCTGCCATCTTGAATTCGAATCAGTCCAAAAAAGGTACAATGCACAACTAGGGACCAAGGGGAACCTGCATATGAAATTTGAGAAAGATCCATCCAGTACTTTTCCAGAAATAGCGGTAACAAGAATTGTTTACATACGGACGACAGACGACGGACGCACGGACCACGGACCACGGACGCAGGGTGATTTGAATAATAGATGGTGGGCTAAAAATCATATTCGATGATTAAGCACTTTACAACAAAGTTTATTCTAAGGTAAAAAATTCAAATGAGAAACAGTATATAATTGACTTTTGTACAGTTGTGTACTAGGAGACCAGGGTCTGTGTGAAACACCCTGATGGTACTTCAAACTTACCCACAGTTGTGTACTAGGAGACCAGGGTCTCAGTAAAACACCCTGATGGTACTTCAAACTTACCCACAGTTGTGTACTAGGAGACTAGGATTTCTGTAAAACACCCTTAGGGTACTTCAAACTTACCCACAGTTGTGTACTAGGAGACCAGGGTCTCAGTAAAACACCCTGATGGTACTTCAAACTTACCCACAGTTGTGTACTAGGAGACCAGGGTCTCAGTAAAACACCCTGATGGTACTTCAAACTTACCCACAGTTGTGTACTAGGAGACCAGGGTCTCAGTAAAACATGCTGATGGTACTTCAAACTTACCCACAGTTGTGTACTAGGAGACCAGGATTTCTGTAAAACGCCCTGCCAATATGAACGTATGATTATTTAGACTCCTGCCAGTGACTTAATTCAGGAAAATTCACCAAGAATATTTGGGAAACTGGGTATGGTGTATTTTAGATGGAATGTATTGCAAAACATTGCATGAAAATTTTTCAGCATTCAGCGACATCATGCTTTAAGTCCTTTGTTATATATACGTTTTAGCATCAATTTGCATACAAATACATTGATTAATGATCACACTAATAAATAGCACTAAACGTCCATTCAAGTATTTATTTTTCAACTTGACAATATGATATCAATATTACACCATCAAGCAAGAGGCCCATAGGGCCTCTATCACTGAACTTAATCAATTTACTGAAATTGGTTTATTTTAACGAATGAATATAAAGTATTTAAAATACTTGTATTTAATTCAAAAAGGGGATTATATGCAGTGTCTGCAAAAAACTAAGTTCTCTCAACCACCAATGTGTGCAGTTCCAACATTTTTTTTATTTCCACTATCTAGCCCTGCCTCTTAAAGATTTGCCCTATTTCCTCTACTGGGCTCCACCTAGCTATCCATTGTTTATACAAAATAGGTTTCCCCCCTTTTCCCAAGGATGCTTCAGATCAAATTTGATTTAAATTGCCTCAATTGTTCATGACAAGTTGCAATTTATAATTGGAAAAGTTGATAGAAGGACGCCAGATGCAGCAGTATCCCTATAGCTCAACTTGGCCATTTGGGCCAAGGGCACTAAAAACAGCATGGGCCTTAAACGTCATCTGACAATAAAGACTAATACATGACGCACTGGTAACAGTAGTAGCAGTTGTATTGGAAACAATTATTAACTGATTTCAACTGGACCATAGTGCCTATATCACTCACTTGGGTTTGCTAAGCTGAAATTACTTCATCCAAACTAAAGGATAAGGAGTACTAAATATCCAAGGACACAACACATATTATATTCATTTCCCCTTTAGGGCCCCTCCCCTCTGTCCTTTGGGGGTCAACCAAACCAACTTGGGACAGATTCCTACAACTATTAAAGAAAAAGGTTTTTAAATTTGCTCTATTTACCCTATAAGGGATACTGTCTCTCCCATATCATGCCAAATTGGGACAGAATTAATACATTATCACAGAGAAAGTAGGATTATACACGATTTGCTCTATTTCTCCAATTGTGCCCCACCCCTCTTAATACAATATTGAAACCCCTTCACACTAGCATGCTTTAGACCAAATTGGAACAGAATCCTGAAATTCCAACAGAGGAAGTAGGGCTTTAAAAGATGAGCTCTAATTTTCCTGTAAGAGGATTTTCAAGAACTAGATCTATTTTCCCTTTAAGGCCCTGTCCTTTCCATTCTGACCTTTAGTCACACTGCTTATACTCAATTCAGTTCTCTTCACCCAAAGATGCTTCAGACCAAATTTTGCCAAAATCCAATCATTCCTATAGGAGGAGTGTGATTTTTAAGAATTTGCTATATTTCCCCTATTAGGCCTCTCCCCTCCTGCCCCAAGGGGCAGAGTCCAATCGTTTATAGAAAAATAAGTCCCCTTCATCTATAGATACTTAAAAATCCAATCATGCATATGGGCCAGGATTTTAAAGAATTTGCTCTATGTCTCCTTTTCAATCCTGTCCCTTGGGTCCATGGAATCTGGGACCCACCATTTACACAATTTTTCTTTCCCTTTCCCAAAAAATGACTCAGGCTATATATGTTCAAAACCTGTTCAGTCCTTTCCGACAAGAAGCAATTTTCGATAAAAAGGCGACAGGTGACACACCACGGCATAGATACTAAACTGTTAATGTGAATACATCTCATTTTTCAGGACTGCTCAAATCTTCAACCAATTTGGAAGCAAGATCTTAACACAAGGGTTAAGATTATTAAGTTTTACACATGGCTTAGCAATGGTTTGTGACTTAACTACAGTGTGAGACAGATTGAGGTACCGGTATTCCCAAATTGGTAAAATAGAAAAGATGTCGAACTGTTATACTTACCAATGTAGGTCCATCCATGTGTTTGTTACAGAGTGACTCCCACATCTCTCGGTGGTTACAACTTAACTCGCTCTCATCTAGCAATAGCTGGGCATACTCCTTATACACTTTATCAACCTAGATCAAATTAACGGAAACTTCAAAGCTTTTACTTGATATTAACAAAACAGTATTTATAGTACACAAGTTGTGGTATATTACATATAAAAACTAAATACAAACTGGGTTAACTTGAATTCGCAGGGTTTGTGAAAAAAAATTGCGTTGTACAAGTATTCAAAGAAGATGAGTTTCAACATTTGCTACAAAATTTTGTTTTATAGTTTTATAGCCTTAAGAAACAACAAAAAGTGAGGATATTTGAAGCCTTGATTCACCGATAAACATGCCAATTTCTATTTACCGAAACATGATAATAATAATACACAATTTCAACAAATTTATTCAAAAGTCATTTAAAGTTTTATAGTGGTAATACAAGACATCATAAACAATGAAAATAAAAAACAGATAATATCACAACTTGTGTTCTCTTAAACCTCCCTGGAAACAGATGGAACAAGTACACATCCGACACATCTATACTGCACTGGAGTATCCATGTTGTTAAAAATATTTAATGAGAACTGTAAATTTTTTTACAAAAGCAATAAACATCATTGGTAAAAAGAGACACTTCGAAAAGTAACACTTAGCTTGATACCTACTTTATATCACCTAAAGTAATGTTCTAATTTTTGAAGAATCTTCTATATATCCCCTATTGGGCCCACCCCTCTGGCCTCATACTTTCATCCAAACAGAAGAGGGATTTTAAAGAATTTGCTAAATTCTTCATTCTTGAATTGAAACAAAATCATATTATTCCTAGAGAAGAAGAGTTTTGAAGAATATTCTATATATCTTTATTGGGCCCTGCCCCTCAGACCTCAAAAAGTCATGACACTCCATCTATACAAAATCTGCCAAACAGTGAAACCTATATATCTTATATTTTTATGATAAGAAATGAAACATTTTGTTGCGATCAGCCTAAAAATGTTAGTAAAAGCAAAAGATCACCTTGTTCCGGATTCCATATTTCTCCATGTAAAAGTATTGGGATTTCCGCATTAATCGTGATCCAAGACTCCACGCAAACTTTCTGTTTGTCCAGTGTTGTGATTTAAGGGAATCTTGTAACAGGAGTTCTACCACCTGACAAAACAGCATTTAATTACTAAATCAGAATCAGTTAGTGCTGATGCCTCCTCTTGAAGCATAGAAAATTGAAAGGGGCCCCGCATATTTAAAACAAAAGTCCTTTCCAGTTATACAGAAAGCCCTAAATTAATGCAAATAAGAGGCTCCATGGGCATGCATCGCTAATCTGGTATTCAATGTTCATCTAAAATAGAATTGGTGTTAATATCACAAATATATGAACATGTACACCATTGACATTCAAAGTGGGTACATCCAATCGCTATTAAACAATTTCCATAACAAACAGCTTCTAATACTCATCTCTTAACAGTGATGTTGCAGGATTGTTAAGTAAATGTCATTTCTTTTTTTCTTGAAAAAGTTCCAGACTTCGAGCCAAATACAATAATTCTATGCCTAATGGTTAGTCTGTTTAAGTTGTTTTTTAAGGTTTTAAGAAATTTGACCTCTGTGACCTTGAATAAGGGTCAAGGTCATTTTTCCCCAAACTTTGTCGGGCTTCATCCTGGGAACAAATTAGTCAAGTATCATCATTCCTTGTCTTTGATAAGTTAGAAGAATTTGTTTACATCTTTTTAACAACATGACTACTGTGACCTTGAATAAGGGTCAAGGAAATTTCTTTAAACAAAATTTGTCAAGCTTCATCCTAGGAACCTATCAGCCATAAAACATGTTTCTACACTTCTTGGCTAGTCAGAGGAAGTTGTTCACAGGTTTTAACAAATTCAACCCCTGTGACTTTGAAAATGGTTCAAGGTCATTAATTTCTGCAAACTTTGTTGGGATTTGTCCCAGCAAAGTACTAACCAAATACCATGACATTTGGTCTGCTGGTTATTGATAAGTTGTTCAAATGGAATAGTTGATGTCGGTCGATCAGACAACAGATGACTGACGAACAAACGCAAGGATAGACTGACCACAGACACTGCACCCTGGCATAAATAAGATCATTTAGCCTTTCAGGCCAGGTGAGCTAAAAAGAAAAGACTCCAATTATGAAATATTCAGCACAAACCCTAACCAAGCACAGTGATACAGTTGGTTGTCATGAGATGCTTATCACTCCTACTCTGTTCATATACCACAGATGGCAACCTAACATTAAATTCATTACAAATTTCTAACATTTAATTCTTGTTGAAGTTTTAAGGACAAGAAGCCCACAGGCCTAAACAGTCATCTGACTATAAAGATCTATATATGAAAGAGGCCAGACAGGCCTAAAATAAATTGCACAACAAGAAGTTTTTCTAAGATTTTAACATTTTTGACCCCTGTGACATTGAAAGTAATTCAAGGTCATTCATTCTAACAACCTTGGTTAGCTTTTTATCCCATCACGCTACAGGCCAAATATCAGCACCCTGGACCTTTTGGTTATTGATGAGAAACTTTTTAAAGATTTTAACATTTTTGACCCCTGTGACATTGAAAGTATATCAAGGTCATTCATTTTGAACAAACTTGGCAGCCCTTCATCCCACCATGCTTCAGGCTTAATATCAGCACCATGGGCCTTTTGGTTATTGCAGCGAAGCTATTTGAATGGGAAGTTTAAGCCCGATGGATGGCACAGAGAGCATGACAGCAGACAAAGCACAATGACCATAGGTCATCCTGACTATTCTGGTCAGATAACCTAATAACGACAAAAACAGATTTGCTAGACTAATAGAAATTTCAATACCACTATAAACTTATCTGTAAACCTTTGATTCATTTAATCTTTAAATCCTCCATCCCTCATAAACAGCCAGGGTCATTGTCAGAGAGCAGACCAAATGACCTTGACCTTTAATCACATCAATTCCTTGCTTAATTCCCACCAACTTTGCTTCATAACATCAGAACAAGATGTTTATGGTCAAAAAGATATAAAACATGTTTTTTAATTTTGGACTTACTGACCTTGACATTTACTTTGTAACCTTGACTTTTGGTCAGTTGACTTGTTGTTGAATTCTCACCAACATTGCTTCATAACAAAACATTACAAAATTATCATCATTAAAAAAAAATTGCCTTTGGCCTTTGCTTTTTTACCTTAAAATGTGTTTTTTACTTCACTGTATATCACCATTAAATGATTCACATGAAATTTGTTTTGATGTTCAATATTACATGGACTTATATTTTCAACACAGTACCCAATAATAGCTAAAAACAATTATCTGATCGGGTGGTTGCGTGGTGCAGTGGTAATGCACTCGCCTTTCACCTAGCTGTGCGGGGTTCGATTCCCGGAATGGATGTGAAAAGGTATGGGGTCAGCTGCCCGACCACGTGGGTTTTCCCCGGGTACTCCGGTTTCTTCCCACACTAAGACCCCTCACGTGCTTCCATCCGAGCCAACAAGAGTGATTTATATAAGTTGGAAAAACTTGCTTCGCAATTGTTGCAAAATAAATAAAAGTTTATTATTATAATTATCTGATCGCAGATTTACCTCCAAAACAGTATCAGCAAATTCTTTGGGTTTCAGAACTCCTAGGTAGCCTGTAAACAGTGGATTTTCAAGGTTAACATAAATGATAAGGACCATCTGTATCTAGTAAACATCTAGGCCTGAGTATTGCCAGAGATTCTGCGATACAATATATCATAATACTAAGCTCCAATACAGTGGTATCGCAGTGTCAAAAAAGAATTCAACAAAACAATAATAAATTTCATTGTCAGATTTGAATTTTAAGATATTTCAATGAATCAATAATTGTATATATCTTTATCTCAAATGATCGAAAATCAATAATCAATCGACGGTGTTTTAAGAATCTGTCAATAACTTCTGGAAGATTTTCTGTTCAGAAACAAGCATAATGTTGCACATCTTTTCTCAAAAGGAAAACCTCCACTATTCATATGGTTCATATGGTGAAGACATGATTGTATTCTTAAAGTAAATAATTATACTATCTTAGTATGAATTTATCATTATCATAGTAAACAATACGCCATGTTGCTGAAGATCTGCCATGACACTGAATGGGAGAACATTGTTGAAAACATAAAAAAAACAACTAGAAAATGATGCGCTGACATTAATCTAGAAGGTTCACATGTGAGGACATCTGAATGGCATGGCACTCTAACCTGCTATTTCTTACCAGTGGATTTTATCATTCTTCAATTCTTACATTAGTAGAAATATATTGAGATGGGTGATAACTCAATATATAATATATGAAATTGATATTCAGACCTGCAAAAGTGTGTCCATTCCAGTCCTTTAAAGACAAATGGTAAACCCTTGCAAAACATTGGGCCCAGTGATTCTTCATCTCTCTGATCTTGTTCTATAAACAAACAAACATATTGTAACATATAATTGCACACATCGCATTGCAACAGAAAGCTGACAGACAGGAAAGCAGCTACTACATGGGGGGGGGGGGATAACATCTGATAACAAATATCAAGGAGTAATGTTATGTTTGGCCCTGATTTATCTCCTCTTTATCTTAGTAAATTAAACACGGAGGAATTTAACACTACTGAGTCAAATACTTGTGTCAGTGTATTTTCTGGTGCATTCCTAAATTCTACCAAAATTTCCTGTGTTTGTGTCGAACATTCAGGCATCACCTTGTCTCGGTACAGACTGAGTCTGATCTGTCAGCCTTATCTGTATAAACAAGCCCTGTTGTAATTTTTGATCAAACATTAATCCATGCCTTTACACAGGTACACAGATGAAAAGTAGAATTTGTACAGAATTAGACAACCAAAGTTTAAAAACAAAAATACACTTCAGTCTGTTATCTGCATATCTACTGTTTTGTTTACTTTTTTATGCGCATGGCTTTGGGAAACCAACAGGAAAAAACAAGCAATAATTACCGTGCCGATACAGATCAATACATCAACACAATTGTTTATGATTTTAAATACATTAATTGGATATATATGTAAATATACAAAGTGTAAGTTTTATTTCTATTTTACAGTCACGCTCTTACGATGCTGTAGGCGTAAAGTTATGCTTCAGTGACATTGCCACAACCTCCATCTTTTTGTAACCCAGCTCAGTTCTGTTCATGAGCCTATATTTTTTTAGTTTTATTTTAAGATATTGTTGATGGGACTTGTTACTCTTTGGGATTATTGTATTACTTTGGGTCTCCATTTCAGTAAGTCATAAGAGTGCTGGAATTCAATGACGAGTGTTTCACGGTAATATATCTTGTTTTATATTTGAACTTGTAACTGTTTATTTAAATTAAAAATGTTGTTAGTGTGTAAGATTACAAATATTTTCCATTTATTTATTTCTTATACGTTACCATCACGACATGCTATGAGAAACGTATCAGGAAAACAACCGATGAAAATAGGGTCATTCTTGGATGGACAACGTCTCCTTTCATAAAAACACGGCTAAGTCGAACCATCGGATAAGTAAAATATTTCATTTGATCCCGTTGACTTCGACTTATCCACATTTTATTGTAATTCTCTGCATTTTGAAGTAAATATCAAATGGACTTGTATCACCCGATAAAAAATAATTACCTGTGCATCCTTCGAACTTGCACCTTTCTTCAATTGCGAAATGGGCATCAGGGAAATAAATTCATCTTTTTCCAATCTTAATCTTTTCTGGAATTTACGTGACAGCTGCTTCCCTTTCATGATATCTTTATTTGGGTTGAATATCTTTTTCTACAACAGATAGTAAGATTAGAAGAATTTCAAACCTATATCAACCATGCATATATTTTTCATACAAGCAAATTTCTGTGTTAAACAGTTCTGATATAATGTTTGAATTTGGTATTTCCAACAACAAGAAAACATACATACGAAATTATGGAAGAAAGAATTCATCATTAATACTGTCGTCAGCCTTCTTTGATTGAATATAAATCCCAACTCTTTACATCAACACAACTGCCAGTGAAACACTATGCAGAGTTATAACAAAGTGAATCAAAATTTCATATCGTAAAAATCCACATAATGTGTGCAGGTAAACTTGCACACCCAAAAATTCAGTACATATTTTGATAAGATAATCGTGCCATAATTAATCCTATCTATTATGACAAATAAGTTATTGTTAGATCTGCTTCAAAAACACCAATAACAACAATTGTATTAACCAATAATTAAATCTGAAGTCTAAATCACCACCCCCGATACTAATAAGTCAATGCCAACTTCCACTGATACACATGAAAACAGACATGTGCTCATGTTTTTTTTGCTGTGATAACCAACATGAAGGATAAGAGACCCAATAGGCCTGCATGGCTCACCTGTTTGTTAATTGATATTAAGCTGTGTAACATTAAAAGGTGACTGAACAGGTTTCAACAATCTGTTAAGAATTTTAAAGTTCACCTCATGATGTTGAAAGTTTAACAAGGTTGTACAGTTGAACAAACTTGGAAGTCATCATATCTGCATGTTATTGGTGAAATTTCAATATCTAAGGTTTTGGGTCAAGGTCATTCATTAAAAGATTTTCAAATATTTGACCTTGAAAGTGAGTCAAGGTCATTCATTTGAACATACTTGGTAGCCCTTTTTCTCAGCAATCTAGGGGACAATTATGTTACAGGTCCAATATCAGTACCGTGGGCCTTTCTGTTACTGATGAGAAGTTGTTTGAAGTGAAAAGTTGATGCCGAATGGATACCGCATGGACGCTGGATGATATGGATGGACGCTGGATGATATGGATGGACGCTGGATGATATGGAAGGACGGAAAAAGCAAGAACTATATGCTCTTCCTTTAGAGAGCATAAAAAACCATGAACAATATCATACTATTAAAACAAAGAGCGTATCATCCATACCTTTTTAGCTTCTGCTGTGTCCAGGTGAGACAGTAGAGGATTGTTATAAGGACGCTTCTCAGGAATTAGGCGGGGTTTAAAGTTTGGTATCACAGTTTCTACTGCCTGAAAAAACATATCATAACAATGACTTTAGTTCTGATCTCTACACAAGAATCAAAACTTACATACAATTTCAATAAGTATTTTAACAAATTTAAATTTTTCAACTTAGTCAATAGATGCAGTGGCAATGCACTCGCCATTTACTCTTGATCCTTGGTTCGATTCCAGGAACCAACACAAAAAGAAAAGGGTCACCTGTCTGACCACATGGGTTACTTTAGTTTTCTCCCACAGAAAGACCCTCATGTGCTTACATGCAAGCCAATCAGAGAGATTAGTGTAAGTTGAAATAACTTGTTTTGCAGTTGTTGTAAAATTTAAACAAGAGGTCCCAGAAGGATCTTGGCAACCACCATTATTGGATATTTATTTGTTCTTTAAAAGTTGGAATTCTTCTCTTCTCTCTTCTGGTTTTGCTCTTAACTTTTTATGAAATTTTAACATTCCATTGAAGATATTGCAATAACAAACTTTCATTGTTGAAATCCAAGATGGCCGTCTGTCACCCATTTGTTTTTCTGATCAGTCTCAAAATCAAAAAGGTACAATGAACGACCAAAGGGAACCTACATATGAACTTCAAGAGGGATCCATGCAGTACCTCTCAAAAAATAGTGATCATAAATTTTATTGGGCAAGATCTAAGATGTGGCCTCTTGGCCATTTTGTTGTTCTACTCATTTTCAAAATCTAAAAGGCAGAACAAGGGACAAATGGGAACTAACTTATGAAATTTGAGAAAGTTCCATCCAATTATTCTCAAAAAATAGCAATAACAAACTTTTATTCTTAAAATCCAAGATGGCCGTCTGTCACCCATTTCTTTTTCTGATCAGTCTCAAAATCAAAAAGGTACAATGAACGACCAAAGGGAACCTACATATGAAATTTGAGAAAGATCCATCATGTGATTACAATAGACAAACCGTTAATTAGAGATTTCTTTGATAAGCAATAGAATTATGCCATACAAGACTTAATATCATACTATCCATATATTATTGAATAATGATAACAATTACGCTATCTATATATGAAATATTTTTTGGTCTAGGGAGATGAAATGAGCACATGAATCAGTTACATGTGACAAACCTCCTCACCTTTCTGACATAGGTCCACTCATCCGATATGTAAGTGCAGTTGTTATATAAGTCTTCCAATACAAGACCCTACAATACAATAAAACAAATCAGTATGAAATGTCATTTTATTCAACATTGAGGGAACATCAATCACTTATTCCACCTACAAATCAAATGTTTCCGTAAACATATACATAATAACAGACTGTGATTGCTTTTATGACATAAACCTAATCAGTTGAGAAGATCCCAAGACAAGATCAAGTTTAAGCTGTGTCCTGATCGGCATGCCACAAAGGGATATGTGTAACACTATAATATAGAATGCTTATAATGAACAAAAATACAGCAAAATTATGTTTAGGTTGAAGTGATGGACCTGAAAAATGACAATTAATTTGTACTATTTTTGTTGGGTTTATCAAAAATTTGGATATTACAAAAACTTTATTAATTTTGTGATTTTGCGAGCTGCTAATTTGTCACTTTTTTTCTTTTGATATGGTGATGACTGTCGATCTAGGTTGATCAACACCAAGTATCTATATATCTTTCAGATCATAAATTGCACTAGTATAAATGCAGCAAAGTCCTTTTTAACTATCAATGTTTTCCATGTGATCCACGTATTAGTTGCACCCTTTTCTTTTGATATGGTGATGACTATGTCGATCTAGGTTGTTTGTGACAGAATATTGAGATATACTAAGGCATTACACTGCCTCAAATTTGTATGACAGGGTAAAAGTATGGAAACGTGTGATAGTTCATAAACATCACCTCTTGTAAGAGTTCTTTTTTGTGTCTTTTGCAGTGCAAATATAGGTCACAGATACTATAAATAAGTAAAATTTATCTAAGTTTGCATAAATGGCAATGTTGCCTGTGTAATACTTAAAGATGGTGCCCGATTTTAGGAGGTGAATGTCTCTGTTGTGGAAATTGTCTAAATAACTACAAATGATGGAAAGGTGACTTGATATACTGCTGGTTAGTGTACTTTATGAATGACAATGCATTTGGTAATCTATTATTGTCACAATTGAAGTCTCCCATTAAGATGATGCTGCAAAATATTCAATAAATTAAAGTTTAAATCACTGAGTGATTCATATCAATGTCTCACCTCTGCTTGTAACTGGTGGATAATGTCGAGTATCTTGCTATGATGGGCATCATCTTCTGAACTGCGTCCATAACACTCGAGAAAGTGTGCATATGTTTGTAAGGTAGGAGTTACAGTCTGGTCTGTCATCCAAGTCAGAATCTGTTCCATCCACATAATGTTTCCCTGAAACAATAGTCATAAGGCTGCACACAGGTAGGTGTTAATGTAGTAATATGGTCTGAATGTCAAAAACGAACGACCACAGAACATAACTTCCTTCAGTGAGACAAAATCTAACAGCAGTAACTAGCACTGACATAAGTATTACAAGAGATGGTAAGGAATCGATCCTCTTTTTCAGATAAAAAATACACTATGTACATCAGTGCTAGTACACTCCACACTATTTACTATAGAAAACAATAGAAAGTAAAGATATAACAACACTTTTTGGTTAATATCCTTATGAAAAATATTGTCACTATCCTACAAGCCAGCTTTTGATGCCATTTGTTCCCCGAACAATAGATTGTCCCAATTTCCTGTATGGACCAGTGAGTTCCAAGCAAGTATGGTGCATTTGTTTTTTAATTAGCAAGTGCAATCCAAGCTTTGAAACTGGTTTTAAACACTTTGTCATAACTATATCTATAAAACACTGTCATATGACAGCCACAAACATCAACTAGATCTATAGAACACAGCAAATGTGACAGCCACAAACATCAACTAGATCTATAGAACACAGCAAATGTGACAGCCACAAACATCAACCAGATCTATAGAACACAGCAAAGTGACAGCCACAAACATCGACCAGATCTATAGAACACAGCAAATGTGACAGCCACAAACATCAACCAGATCTATAGAACACAGCAAATGTGACAGCCACAAACATCAACTAGATCTATAGAACACAGCAAATGTGACAGCCACAAACATCAACTAGATCTATAGAACACAGCAAATGTGACAGCCTCAAACATCAACCAGATCTATAGAACACAGCAAATGTGACTGTTACAGGTTGAAACCCTGAATTGGTACACTGCACATTCTGTTAATATGACCAATGTATACATCAAGTTTCATGATCCTTGTTTTAATGCAAGCAAAAACATGTTCATGACACAAAATTTTAACAAAATCACAAGGCATCTTATTTTGTCAGACCTATATATATAAATACTAACCTCTTTGGCAAGAGCACGGTGAATACAGTTGAATATATCAACATCATAAAGTTGCTCTGGCTTTTGTGCATCGTCTAACTTGTTACAGATGTGGAGATAATTGAACAAGATGTCTACAGCTTCAAGTGTCTGGAACAAGACAACATAAATGTATATTAGAATTTTTACAAGTAGTACAGGTAAAGAAACACTCCTCATTTCACTTTCTATACATTCTCACAAAATTCATCTAAATCTCTCCAGTGGAACTTGAGAAGAAGTTTTTAAAAAAATTTCATCAAAACGAATGCCTTGCAGACATTGGATTATAAAAGGAACTGAAAAATAACAACCCTTAGCCAGAACTGCCTGGTCAACATTTCATGTAAGCTTCAGCTCAATCTCTCCGGTGGAACTTCATAGAAAGTTTAAAATGAATATTGTTCTGTGAAACCATGCTCGCCCAATTACATTACAAAATACATGCCATAGCAGAATATTAAACATAGTTGGTTTGCCTTTTTTAAGATTCCCACCAATTTTTAGTTCAATGGAACCAGGAGAAATTGAGAAGTTTTAAATGTGTTTTTCATGATGGCGGCCAGAGCAGACATACTGGATTTCAGACTATCCTGAAAACAACAAAACTTGGTCACAACCATCTCATTATCATTTCAAGCCAGTTACAGCCCAATACCACTGGTAGAACTTGAGAAGAAGTTTAAAATGTAAACGATACAGTTCAGAGACACCATAATTGCACAACACTGTTGCAAAAGCTTATATGTTTATATGCCAACATTTCTCTTGCAATAAGCCCAAGAGACCAAGGAAAAGCCAATAATTAGAGAGGAAGGTTCATCAAAACATATAGCATTTGTTGGGTGTTTCTTCTGAAATGGCAGAAGATGCGGGTGGGTTATTATCAAACAAGGGCTGAATGCAAGAAAATAAATTGTGTTTATGAAACACTATGACCTAGTTGCAACAAAATTCTGAAGTGGGACATTAAAACTGTACATGCCTTACATGTGCTAATTGCATTTACACTTTTGTGAAATACTTATATCTTCATTGTGGTAACAATTTTTTTTTACTTATGGCCGATATTTAAATTTTTCAAATGTAGATATGAGGTCACCTTCAATGTGGTGAAAATGTTTGTAAAACTGGCAAGGTTTGATCACAACGAAAACACATGTCAAATATGAAAGCCTACCTCTTACAGTGCAATAGTAATGGGCAAAGTTAAAGTTGACAACAGACAGACAGACAGACAAACAAACAAGCAGACAACACAAAAACAATATGTCGTGATCTTTAGATCTCGGGGCATAAAAAGACTTCAGTTTTGAAGTTTACTTACTTTGCCTGATTTGGACAGTTCATTCAGTATACTTGCGATGTCAAGGTCTTCAAGTTCATTGAGCAGTGTCTTTAAAGACGTCTGTTTTGGAACATCCTTAAAGCTGTCTACAGTTAAATTCTTAGCTTTCTTAGGAACAAATGCTGACTTTTCTATTCTAGTCATTAATGTAAGATGTTCTTTTGTCCAATGGGTTCTCTTTTTCTGGCTGTCTCTTGATGTGACAGAAATGCTACTGTCTGCCAGGTTTTCTAACAAGGCTATCCCTGGAAGTTTATCGGTCTTTTTATTTTCATCACTCCTGGATGGCTTTGAAAATAAAATTAAAAAATTAGCAGTACTAAAATGTGAAGAATTGATAATATTATACAGGTCTGTGTGTTGGTTTGAGTGAGATGTTGGTAGTATCGTACAGGTCTGTGTGTTGGTTTGAGTGAGGTGTTGGTAGCATGATACAGGTCTGTGTGTTGGTTTGAGTGAGGTGTTGGTAGCATGATACAGGTCTGTGTGTTGGTTTGAGTGAGGTGTTGGTAGCATGATACAGGTCTGTGTGTTGGTTTGAGTGAGGTGTTGGTAGCATGATACAGGTCTGTGTGTTGGTTTGAGTGAGATGTTGATAGTATGATACAGGTCTGTGTGTTGGTTTGAGTGAAATGTTGGTAGTATCGTACAGGTCTGTGTGTTGGTTTGAGTGAGGTGTTGGTAGCATGATACAGGTCTGTGTGTTGGTTTGAGTGAGGTGTTGGTAGCATGATACAGGTCTGTGTGTTGGTTTGAGTGAGATGTTGATAGTATGATACAGGTCTGTGTGTTGGTTTGAGTGAAATGTTGGTAGTATCGTACAGGTCTGTGTGTTGGTTTGAGTGAGATGTTGATAGCATGATACAGGTCTGTGTGTTGGTTTGAGTGAGATGTTGGTAGTATCGTACAGGTCTGTGTGTTGGTTTGAGTGAGGTGTTGGTAGCATGATACAGGTCTGTGTGTTGGTTTGAGTGAGGTGTTGGCAGCATGATACAGGTCTGTGTGTTGGTTTGAGTGAGGTGTTGGTAGCATGATACAGGTCTGTGTGTTGGTTTGAGTGAGGTGTTGGTAGCATGATACAGGTCTGTGTGTTGGTTTGAGTGAGATGTTGATAGTATGATACAGGTCTGTGTGTTGGTTTGAGTGAGATGTTGGTAGTATCGTACAGGTCTGTGTGTTGGTTTGAGAGAGATGTTGGTAGTATCATACAGGTCTGTGTGTTGGTTTGAGTGAGGTGTTGGTAGCATGATACAGGTCTGTGTGTTGGTTTGAGTGAGATGTTGATAGTATGATACAGGTCTGTGTGTTGGTTTGAGTGAGGTGTTGGTAGCATGATACAGGTCTGTGTGTTGGTTTGAGTGAGATGTTGGTAGCATGATACAGGTCTGTGTGTTGGTTTGAGAGAGATGTTGGTAGTATCATACAGGTCTGTGTGTTGGTTTGAGTGAGGTGTTGGTAGCATGATACAGGTCTGTGTGTTGGTTTGAGTGAGATGTTGATAGTATGATACAGGTCTGTGTGTTGGTTTGAGTGAAATGTTGGTAGTATCGTACAGGTCTGTGTGTTGGTTTGAGTGAGGTGTTGGTAGCATGATACAGGTCTGTGTGTTGGTTTATGAGAGTGAGAGGTCTGTGTGTTGTTGGTAGCATGATACAGGTCTGTGTGTTGGTTTGAGTGAGATGTTGATAGTATGATACAGGTCTGTGTGTTGGTTTGAGTGAGATGTTGGTAGTATCGTACAGGTCTGTGTGTTGGTTTGAGTGAGGTGTTGGTAGCATGATACAGGTCTGTGTGTTGGTTTGAGTGAGATGTTGGTAGTATCGTACAGGTCTGTGTGTTGGTATGAGTGAGATGTTGATAGTATGATACAGGTCTGTGTGTTGGTTTGAGTGAGATGTTGGTAATATCGTACAGGTCTGTGTGTTGGTATGAGTGAGATGTTGATAGTATGATACAGGTCTGTGTGTTGGTTTGAGTGAAATGTTGGTAGTATCGTACAGGTCTGTGTGTTGGTATGAGTGAGATGTCATAAGTTCACTAGTAATTAGACAAGAAGCTTATAATAGCTATAAGGCAAATAGGATTTCAAGTGTCACCAAAAAAACGGTTGTGACATTGATGATAGTAAGGCTTGAGTGACATGAATGATGTAACAATATGAAATGTGAGGACATTGCTGTTTTGCTTGCATAACAATCATGAACATGATAGCAATGGGTCTATTCAACCCTAAATTCCCTACCTACTTACCCTTATTTTTTTTCTATGAGAAACAAGAATCAGACATTTTTTGGCCAAAGTTAATACAAAGTTAATAATTAGTTACTTACCTTATCCACATATTCGGAAAAATTACGTGAGCTGACATTGCTCGATTTCTTTTTTCTATCAACATCTAAAATAGAAAAAGAAATTTGTTACCTGCAAGTAACTACTAAGAGAGATATGCAAATTAATGACTAGACAATTTATAATAAATACCTGGTAAACACACCATTGGCATTACTGGGTATATTTGTGTGTGGTGGATCACGAACTTAGTTTCTGCTTTGAGTTTTGGGGTACTCATCTAACACAGGGGACTGCTGGTTAGCAGAATTATCAACTAGACTAATATTGTGGTATATCACTATAACAGAAGAAAGAGCACAGATCAGTTTACAGTTTATTTTAATGAGTCATCAACTTTAATGCTAAAAACAATGGGCCCCATAATGTAAAATTTAAGTTTTTGCAGAAGTTCTGCGAGTCCCATAAAAATTCTATGAGTACAGGACACAGAACTTGATTTATCAAGACAACTATAGTGAAAAATTTTAAGATTTGCAATATCTATATCTCTACAAAAAATAACCCAAGCAGTTCCATTTCTTGATAAAAACATTATCTTTCTTCAAATTTAAACACTAGGGCTGCAGTAAAATAACAATACATCAATCTGTACCAACAGCATCTGATATTGCAATTCCTTCTTATCTATTGAAACAGTACGCCTACAGTATGTCTAAAAATAGACTGAGAAATATTCCAGTGATATGCATAAATGTGGTTATTGAAGCATTTGTATCATGTTCAAATGCCACAAAGCCATTAGAATGTACCAATGTGAAATACTTTCATCCAGATCACAAGTTTCGGGTTAGTTTAATAATAATGTACCAGGTAAGTCCAATGCTAAAGAAATATCCACAATTTGTTGTATCAAAAAGAATAAAAATATGGAAAAGGCAATTATTAGTCAAAAACAATCAGTGCCTTGCTTACTAAATATCACTAGCCATTTCCATTTACATAAATCAATATGTCAACCTCATTTAAACTGTGTACAAGGAGTTTTAGATCTGAGCAGTGATTTTTGACAGCATAACATAAGGAATATAAATAGACCATAAGTAAGTCAGTGAATAATTACTTTTAACACAGTGTACATGTCATGTAAAGGTGTTTTTTGAAGCTAATTATAAAGACTCAGTGTCTGATCTTTGTTACCAGATGAGTGTCCAACTAACTGAAATCTGATATTTTGATGAAGTGTGATGACAGTTTAGGGCAGGATATTGAGCGATCTTTTTTGGAATTCCTTCTTGGAACAAATTTATATTGCACATTTGACGAGGAACATCATTAAACTTCAAATATAATCGAGTACCAAGGAGGAATCCAAATCTACGAGGTAGATTGTCAAACGTCCATTACAAATGCATCCAAGAAAGAATCCAAGTTGACGAGGGACATTGTCAAATGTCCAATATAAATGAGTCCCAAGGGGGAATCCAAGTCGACAAGGGACATTATCAAACGTCCTATATAAATGAGTCCCAAGGAGGAATCCAATTTGACGAGGGAAATTGTCAAACGTCCGATATAAATGAGTCCCAAGGGGGGAATACAAATTGACGAGGGAAATTATAAATGAGTCCCAAGGAGGAATCCAAATTCACGAGGGAAATTGTCAAACATCCAATATGAATAAGTCCACTAAGGAATCCCAAAAGGGATTAGTTATATAGTGATTCATATACAAAATTAAAGAAAAAGAATATCAGTTCACTCTCAGTGAGATATCTCGAACGGACAATTTAGTGACCATGAAAAAAATTACGTCGTTTCGCTAAGCCGATAAAATGACATCAGTAATTGCGTATGAAGTTTATTAGTACGAGTGGACCAAATACTGATAATTTACCAACAACTGCATGCGATTCTAGCTGAAAATGTTAATGACTTATCTCTTCTAAGTTCACACGACAATTAGTGAAATCTTGACAACTGTTCATTTTTAAACAGCAAAAAACTATGTTTTGTGTCCGAGCACTGGTGATATGCGTCTAATATAATACCCGTCCTCATTCGTTAAGTTTCACCATTGCAGCTATCAGCTAATGAGATCGAAATGCTTACCTTGCAAATGTATATGCCCACATATTCGATGTCCTTGTGACCGTTTTAATATCGTCAGCGATGTTCTAACAGAAAAGCCAGTATGAAGTAAACGCGACATCCTAGCCACGAGGATGGCCTGCGCCCTTGAAGATCGCCGTCATTTAAACGCCTTATAAGCGCAGAGCACTGAGTCGTGCGATCCAAGCGTACACATGACACAATAACAGAGCACATAGATGAAACTAAGTTTCAAATCCACAAAAATACAGGTTCGCCGTACAGCAGGAACACTTGAATTCTTTGATATGTTGTAATTTTAAAAAAAAAACCGCTGAACACAGAAAATTGTGTACATTAACCTTAATCAATGAAAACCCGGTTAGCCTTTTTTATAGAATGTTTATTTGATGGAGGACTAGCCGTAATAGGTAAAAACACATTGTATGCTACTGTATTGTACTGTATGCATTTATTTCAAACACACTCTCTTCCTGCAGTATACACACAGATGATGCGGTATATCCAAATTATTGTTCTGTCTAATTTGTCGTTGTTGTTCTTTGCAGTTACCTTTACTATCTCAATGTGATTTGAGTCATGAAGATATCTAGCTAGAATTTTTCGAACTACTAACTTCATTCATAAAATTTCTTTTTTAAAATATCTTATATTTGGCCAATCAGAGCACTGCTTATTCTCATCGGAATTTTTCCAATGGATTTCGACGTGTGTGTGTGTGTGTTTTTTTTTTTTTTTTACAATTATAGTCCGTGAAAATGAAAGCATTAAAACTCGATAAGAACAGTATTTAGCCGATTAAAATGTTTGAGAAACGTTAAAAAATTTGGAATAAAAACTTATGAAGTATCGAAAAATTTTAGTAGTTTCTTTACTGGTAGATATACAATGTAACTGCATTGTTACTATCAATATATATCTATAACTAGTACAGATGTATTGATTCGACAATGAAATTGGCACGCGGAAAATTAATTACATTTTTAGCGTCAAAGATTTACAAATTATTTTCTTCGATGTATGATGATATTTCAGTTGTGAATAGCACAAACTCGCGTTTTGATTTTAAAAGAATCTAAGTAAACAGAAAATACTTGTCACAAAAACGAGATCAATTTGTTGGTTTTGAAAAGATTTATTAAGAGTCTTTATTTTTATTTTTTTTTATTTTTTTTAAATTTTTTTATTTATCTATTTTTGAGAAAAATGGTATACAAAGACAGCAACACTAATTAACTATAATAGATACAGTATTTCAATTCAAAACTATTCCATAATACAAATCGTACAGAACATGGATTGATGTTGCAAAAACCAAGCAAATGAATTTTATTTCATTCGTACATTTTATTTCTAATTCGATAAGTCAGTTACATAAATGACCTGACTTATCCAATGAGAAATAAAATGTATGAGTTCAATGAATTCGAGATTTGCTCTGTACTTTGTATTTATATTGGATAGAAGCATTACCACATGCAGTAATGAGAAAATGTCTTTTTTAAATGTTGTGGTTAATCAATTTCTAATCATTGTACTTCTTTCCCTAGTGTAATTAGTTACTTTAAGATATAGTTAACGGCAGATGTTGTTGATCCCGTCCAATCCGAATCCTTGATCAAGAGTTTTCAGTTATTAATCTTCAAATTTTAATTGCTACAGTAATAATCAATTGTTCTGTTGTTTAAATGCATTTTCAAATTCTAGATCTTCTTGCAGTTTTATTTGTTTTAAATCAAATCCAGAGGTGTCTTTATTATACGCCCATGACCAAATCTTCTTATACTGACAGTAGTAATGTGTGAACTCATACAGGACATTGAGTCAGACGATGAGAAATTAGCTCATGAAAGAGAAGGCTATAGTTCACACAAATCCAGGAAAACCACGGGGGTTCTCAGTTGAGGTTTTACTGGCGTGTCCTTCGGAATAACTGACCATACGCACTCATGTAATAAAATGTGATGTTTTTATTCATAAGATATTGTTGACCTGCATTGTAACACTATGATTTTTTAAAAAAAAAAACAACATTGAATTTGGTTATTTTTGTTTAAGATTTTGAACATGGATATTTATGCTATAACGGATTCGACATGTTATAACCATAGCTGCACCGTTCTCCGAGTTTAAGTCTGATAAAATCACTCATCCATGACTGAACCCATTCTACCTGTGCGCTCGAGTGCCTACGACTCGGTAAGCGCTAAGGGGACGTAACCCATGTTATCCCATAGAAATAAATATAGTTACAAATGAACCAAATAATGATTTCAATATTTAGCTCACCTGCGATGATGGACCAAGTGGGATGTAGATATAGCATCGTCTGTCAACTTTTTCCATAGATCGCTACTAGTCATGATCGACGGAACAGATTTTAACTACTTTTGGCCTGAAGTATCCATCTGGGGCATGAGGTGCGGGGCCAAATAGTGAAAATAGAGCAAATTCTGTACAACCCTTATTGTGTTGGAACTGAAGACGTCCTTGGTGAAGTTTTGTGAAACAGTGCATACAACCCCCTTTGTGAGGAGGGACAAGTCTTTAACAAGGAAATAGATACAAATGTTTTAAATACTTTTTTCTTTAGATTAATTTAAGAAATTTCAGAACTCTACACCAGGTGAGCGATACAGTCCCTATGGACATCTTATTAAAATAAGTAATCCAGCCAACAATTTAATTATTGTGATAGGACATTAACTCATACAGATGTATGTATTCGCTATATATAGTGCGACACTGTCAAACTGCCATCACGAGTAAATTTTAAATGGAAAACACAAGCATTTAAATTATAACTCACTGAAATGATCTTTCTGAATTCGCCAAAAATATTATCCGCGCTTAAAAAAGTTGGCGGGGGATATTCAAATGGGTTCCGTCCGTCCGTCCTTCCGTCCGGATGCTGCTTTCCGCATGATATCTTTTGAAGGTCTGGCCGGATTTTGATGAAACTTAGTTGGTACACTTGTTACCTTAATATCTTGTTCATGTTTGATTAACGGCGAATTCCGCGCATAATTAATGAGGCTGCCGTGGCCTGATTGACTAATTTCTTTAATCACTTTATGGGAATGCTTTCTGTACATTATTTTGAGGGAATGACAAATCTTGTTTGATAGACTTATTACCTTAATTCCTTGTTCAGTTTGGAATAATGACAAATTCGTGCATATTTAATGAGGCTGCTTTGACCTGATTGGCTGATATCTTTCAGCACTCTTACTGAATGCTTTCAGCATGTTGTCTTTTAAACGAACAAATGAATTTTGATGAGACTTGTTTGGTAAACTTAATACATAATCCCCTTACTCAAGTCCGATCAATGGTGAATACCATGCATATTTAATCACTACTCCAACCTGATTGGCTGATTCTTTAAATAGTCTTGATGATCGCTTTCCACACTTCTTTGAAAGGAATGATTTTTTAAGAGACTTGCTTAGCAGACTTAGTACCTTCACAACTCTCTTAAGTTTAATTATCAGCTAATTCTGCAAATATCTAAGGATGCAATAACAGACCAAGAACAATAGGTCTTTTCACCAGTAGGTAAAAAACCCTAATAAACATATCATAGTGAATCTTCAAAATGATTTTAGAATCAAAATGTTCTAAGTGATGTTGCACTATCATTAGCTATGATTTGTTTAATGATATTAACTTACTAACTCAGACGCTGTATTGTATTTTATTAATGTGTATAAACCATTTCACTGTTTTGTCATACTTGAGCGGTAATAGAATCATTGATTGATCCAGCATCACTGAAATTGAGTAATCATATTATTACATTGATCACTTTCAAGGGAACGTATTTCAAATTTTACGTGCAGTTTTTACATTATCATGTATTTTTGATGGCTGACGTGTAGTCTGATAGCTTTTCATTTCGTTTCAGCTAATTTTGCTTCATTATGTCATAAGCAAATAACTACCAGTCTATGATTCAGATTTATGTCTATAAGAATGATGATTTTGACATTGTGACCTTTGACCTCTGAACATGAAAAACAGTTGAGAGCTTACCCTTCTTGTACAGTCTGTGTAAAAGTAAGGAAGAATGTCCGAGTGTTATCAACCACACACAAGTGAAGATATTTTGTATAAACCAGTTTTCCATTTACAATAGCGTATAGTAACAGTGACTTAACCTCTGACCTCAAAACTCACTTCAACGCAAGCACTTTGTTCAAAGAAGTATGAGTTAAAATTACATTGCAACTGGCCATGGAGAACTTGAGATGCTGTTAATAAAGCGAATAGGGAAAGGGACGTACAAACATATTATAAAAGTACAATATGATAATTATAGGGCACCCGCATTCACAGCGCGTGCCCGAAATTAAGTAATGTCAGGAATATGCTTCTACATGTCGGAATAATGAGCAATTTTACAAGTTAAAGCCGGTACAAACCTTACCTGTATTCGGTTTAAAATGTAGAATATTTCACATAAAAGATGGAACAAGTTTATAGGAATAAGCTGAGAAAACATCTGAGAAATAAAATAAATATTTGGATATAGTAAAAATGTTATCGCATATCAGCAAAATTTGAAAACTCCGTATCTGGAACAAATGAAGACTTACCATTGAGGATGTTGGGTATATGTTCTGAGTGTTATATGTCCTACATGTATAGCAAGATGCACAACATTCGAATTCCGAATGTTATTTGTTGTGAAGTCGCCACATTTAAATTCTAAAAGTGTCTCGTATGTCTTACTGCATAATATTCGAGTTCTGAATATTGAATGTTGTGTATGTATTTCCTAGTGCGAATCATTCAAACTCTGAATGTTCCTCGCAGTGAAAAATAAAAAACGAATCACAAGTGAAATCCTTTCAGCTTTATTTTCTAAAAAAAATATTACTATCATGGAAAAAAATTCGTTCTACGAAGTTAACACTAGCTATACAATGACAATTTACAAACAATACATTTTTTTGTCTTTTTAATATCAATTAATGAAGAAGTTAACTGCTTTATTTATTCCTAGAAATAATATAATCTATTCGCTTTCTGAAATATATATAGAAAATTTATATATATACTCTACAAACTCAAGATCTTTACGATTTCTTCATTCCTTTTAAATGAAACTTTTTACTTTAGTGACAAAACTAAAAATTTCATTTTTTCTTTTCACCTCGCCGAAAGATAGCCTTTTCTAGCCCCATCATGGGGGACTCGAAGGCAAGAGACACGACAAAGGCAACAGCGTAGGATGTCACGAGATGACCAAGGAAAAGGTAGATCTGGTTAAGTATAAACACAAAATATATATATAGTGTTGTAAACATATAGATAAATACATATCAAGTGATGTGTCAGCAAAAAATCATACTTAAATATATATCTCTATTAGTTTTGCCAAGTATGACATTAGAAAAATGCATGTCATTGTCAAAACATTTGATTCATTTAAATGTAATTTGAATACGTATTTTTGTCTTATTTCAAACTTTCACGAAGTAGCCTGATTGAGGTAAGATCAAACAGTTTTTACTTACCATAACAAAATCAGTTGCATACACAGTCTGTTTCAGGGATCTCATGTACACAAATATAACGATCGGATGGACGAGGTAAGCACAGTACGACAGCCGCCCGAGAGGGATGAATGGACTCCAGGACAAGATGGTGTTAATAAATCCTAGAAGGATAAATAAGTTTGGCCAAAACAATGTCAAGTGTTAAGGAAGATTTTTAATGTTGGTAACGTCAATAGAATACAAGTACTTATAACACAACCAGCAGAATATTAAAATGTGATGTTTCGATGACTACACGGTCACTTTCATCTTATAACACAACCAGCAGAATATTAAAATGTGATGTTTCGATGACTACACGGTCACTTTCATCTTATAACACAACCAGTAGAATATTAAGATGTGATGTTTCGATGACTACACGGTCACTTTCATCTTATAACACAACCAGCAGAATATTAAAATGTGATGTTTCGATGACTACACGATCACTTTCATCAGACAAATGACCAACATGAAGCATATTTGCACGGATGTATGGAGTGGAGATGGTGCAGGAAAGTCACAATCGTCATAGACTTTGGGGAATATGAAAACCAGGTCATGACCAAGAAAACATGCCTAAAACACAACTCTACTCAAAAGTTCGAAAAGTGTCTTATCAACACTAAGTCAGGAAATTGAGACGACATAGATCCTCAAAAAGGGAACCTGTTAAGGCCATGGTGGACTATACTGGTTCCATCTCGATTCACTGTCTTCATTTCACTAGCATCAGGTCAAAAATTCAACACAACCACGGTATTTATAAAAAAAAAAGACACACACTTTACGTTTCTTTTCAAAATCAGTAAATATGAGGAATTTTCATTTTTTTTAGGTTGTTCAGTCGCCTTTTAGGTTTCAACAAAAAAAAACCTGACTTTAGTTTTGGAGGATGGGATACTTTATAAGCAGTCGATTTGTGATACCGTATCTTATTCTAATTTGTATTGAAAGAGCAACTCATTTGATACAATTTTCACTTGCACACACTGTTTTGTTCTAACTCCAAGAATAGGTCATCTAGTATCCACCATTCGTTGAACCAACTTACCACCATTTCCGGTTACGCATGCGAAGATGACCCACGACACACATACCCCCCACAACGGTTTGTGAACGGCGTTGTAAAGGGCGGCAACATCAACACTCATCCAGTTCCCGTTAGCCTCCTCATAGATACCATAAGTAACCAGACAACCAATTATCGTCATCACAATCCATATTGCTATATTCACTGGCTGAAAGATAAAAAATAAATCAAGTGTTTATCTAGAAAAAAAGTGATCAATATCACATTGCAATGATTCCCGTGTTGTACATTATTTATTCAGTAAAAGAGTGAAAAAAATCGTATTGAAATGAGTTCGTTAAGTCAATGGTTAATGATTTTTTCAATTCTATACCACAGTTATTAGAAATAAACAAATGATTCCGAGTTTCTTGAGTGACTAATTCTAAAGTCTTATTCACTCCCTTTTGATATTACAGGTGACAGACTCAATCTGTGTATTTAAATCCTTCTGGTTTCCCCGTAACTTGCACGAAACGTGTTAATGTATTTGAATTGTAGGATAGTTCATAGTATGGACGTGGTGTACTTAAGGGGTCATCCCATATTTGAAAACGATAAAATCCATGGAATTATCGGGATGATATCCTCTGAAGAGTCCTAAAAGCAGTTATAAGAAAGTTAAATCAATACTGTAGTACATCTAGGTGTGAATTGAAAGGTTGTATTATATACTTATGTGTCTTTTGGACAGACTGTTCCATCTGTGGTGAAAACAACCGGTATGTTTACACCGATATACCCAAAGAAGGGTTTTTAAGTTCATAATCACCAATGACATCAAATTAGTACTGTAAACGAATGGCCAGTTTTTGCAATAGTATCAAGTGATTTACTTTATAATTACACATATTTTGACTTTTTAAACATATTGCACGAAATGTGTTTGATTTTTTTTGGTGTACTTTCTATTAATTATTGTGAAACTTATAAATGGTATCATGTTTTAACTGTCGGATTTCGGGATATATTCCGTCGGTGGCTAAACCTTTTTGGACGTACCGGCGCGATTTTGTATTTGCCTTTGGTCCTGTACAGGATGTAGCCGGTGATTAAGCCGACGAGATAGGGTCCCATTCGACAGTAAGGTTTGATGTAATAATTGTTGAAATAATCATCGCTGTGTCTACAAAATACAAATTATATATATATATATATATACATCAAGGTCACAGTTCCTACACTACAATGTTATGATCGCAGTTATTACACTACAATGTTAGGGTCACAGTTCCTACACTACAATGTTATGATCGCAGTTATTACACTACAATGTTAGGGTCAAAGTTACTACACTACAATGTTAGGGTCAAAGTTATTACACTACAATGTTAGGGTCAAAGTTACTACACTACAATGTTAGGGTCAAAGTTATTACACTACAATGTTAGGGTCAAAGTTATTACACTACAATGTTAGGGTCACAGTTACTACACTACAATGTTAGGGTCACAGTTACTACACTACAATGTTAGGGTCGCAGTTACTACACTACAATGTTAGGGTCAAAGTTGCTACACTACAATGTTAGGGGCACAGTTACTTCACTACAATGTTAGGGTCACAGTTACTACACTACAATGATAGGGTCACAGTTATTACACCACAATGTTAGGGTCAAAGTTACTACACTACAATGTTAGGGTCACAGTTATTACACTACAATGTTAGGGTCACAGTTATTACACTAGAATGTTAGGGTCACAGTTACTACACTACAATGTTAGGGTCACAGTTACTACACTACAATGTTAGGGTCACAGTTACTACACTACAATGTTAGGGTCACAGTTACTACACTACAATGTTAGGGTCACAGTTATTACACCACAATGTTAGGGTCACAGTCATTACACTACAAAGTTAGGGTCACAGTTATTACACTACAATGTTAGGGTCAAAGTAACTACACTACAATGTTAGGGTCACAGTTACTACACTACAATGTTAGGGTCACAGTTACTACACTACAATGTTAGGGTCACAGTTACTACACTACAATGTTAGGGTCAAAGTTACTACACTGGAATGTTAGGGTCAAAGTTACAACACTACAATGTTAGGGTCACAGTTATTACACCACAATGTTAGGGTCACAGTCATTACACTACAATGTTAGGGTCACAGTTATTACACCACAATGTTAGGGTCACAGTCATTACACTACAAAGTTAGGGTCACAGTTATTACACTACAATGTTAGGGTCAAAGTAACTACACTACAATGTTAGGGTCACAGTTACTGCACTACAATGTTAGGGTCACAGTTACTACACTACAATGTTAGGGTCACAGTTACTACACTACAATGTTAGGGTCAAAGTTACTACACTGGAATGTTAGGGTCAAAGTTACAACACTACAATGTTAGGGTCACAGTTATTACACCACAATGTTAGGGTCACAGTCATTACACTACAATGTTAGGGTCACAGTTATTACACCACAATGTTAGGGTCACAGTCATTACACTACAAAGTTAGGGTCACAGTTATTACACTACAATGTTAGGGTCAAAGTAACTACACTACAATGTTAGGGTCACAGCTACTACACTACAATGTTAGGGTCAAAGTTACTACACTGGAATGTTAGGGTCAAAGTTACAACACTACAATGTTAGGGTCACAGTTATTACACCACAATGTTAGGGTCACAGTTATTACACCACAATGTTAGGGTCACAGTCATTACACTACAAAGTTAGGGTCACAGTTATTACACTACAATGTTAGGGTCAAAGTAACTACACTACAATGTTAGGGTCACAGCTACTACACTACAATGTTAGGGCCAAAGTTACAAAACTACAATGTTAGGATAGCAGTATATAGTTACTATGCTATAATGTTAGGATCAGTTACCAAGAACAATGTACAAATAACTACATCAAATAAACCTATAATGTACAGCCAAAAGTAACCACATCAAATAAACCTTTAATGTACGGTCACCAGTAACCACATCAAATAAACCTTTAATGTACGGTCACCAGTAACCACATCAAATAAACCTTTAATGTACGGTCACCAGTAACCACATCAAATAAACCTATAATGTACAGCCAAAAGTAACCACATCAAATAAACCTGTAATGTACGGTCACAAGTAACCACATCAAATAAACCTATAATGTACAGCCAAAAGTAACCACATCAAATAAACCTATAATGTACGGTCACAAGTAACCACATCAAATAAACCTATAATGTACAGCCAAAAGTAACCACATCAAATAAACCTATAATGTACGGTCACAAGTAACCACATCAAATAAACCTGTAATGTACGGTCACAAGTAACCACATCAAATAAACCTATAATGTACGGTCACAAGTAACCACATCAAATAAACCTGTAATGTACGGTCACAAGTAACCACATCAAATAAACCAGTAATGTACGGTCACAAGTGACCACATCAAATAAACCTATAATTTACGGTCACAAGTAACCACATCAAATAAACCTTTAATGTACGGTCACAAGTAACCACACCAAATAAACCTTTGATGAACGGTCATAAGTAACCACATCAAATAAACCTTTATTATACGGTCACCAGTTACCACATCAAATAAACCTTTAATGTACGGTCACAAGTAACCATATCAAATAAATCTTTAATGTACGGTCACAAGTAACCACATCAAATAAACCTGTAATGTACGGCCACAAGTAACCACATCAAATAAACCTTTAATGTACGGTCACAAGTAACCACACCAAATAAACCTTTGATGTACGGTCACAAGTAACCACATCAAATAAACCTTTATTATACGGTCACCAGTAACCACATCAAATAAACCTTTAATGTACGGTCACAAGTAACCACATCAAATAAACCTTTAATGTACGGTCACCAGTAACCACACCAAATAAAGCATTGATTTAGAAATCATCTGAAGTAACTCAAGTGTAAAAATTGAAGGTAAATAAGAATAACTCACGGATTATGTACGGTTGAATATTGTGTAGAAGGAAGTTCAAAGTGTTTTGACACTATTCCACTCACTATGGTTGTTCCCAACAGAAAAATAGCGACAATGACACTTCCGATCTTCTTAGAGCTTAGAAATAACATGACATAAAGTTAGATTTCTATTCAAAATAAATAGTTTGTCAAGCTAGATTAATTGGTTACATTCACTTAGTAATGTTACACAGAGGAATTAACACGAGATGATTTTTTGTATTTGTTCTTCATGTAATGGCTTCAATATATCTTGTTATAATCTGCTTTAAAATCTTTTCCTCAAAATTTCCTAAATTGTAATCAAACAGATTTCCCTTCTCATTATTACACACAGACAATTACACGTATGTCTCAATAACTAACAAACTTTACATATCCTTCGCAGTATCACCCATAGACGGTTACATGTTAATCTCAATAGCTAACAGACTTCACATATCCCTCTCAGTATCACCCATAGACGGTTACATGTTAATCTCAATAACTAACAGACTTCACATATCCCTCTCAGTATCACCCATAGACGGTTACATGTTAATCTCAATAACTAACAGACTTAACATATCCCTCTCAGTATCACCCATAGACGGTTACATGTTAATCTCAATAACTAACAGACTTAACATATCCCTCTCAGTATCACCCATAGACGGTTACATGTTAATCTCAATAACTAACAGACTTAACATATCTCTTCTCGGTATCACCTATAGACGGTTACATGTTAATCTCAATAGCTAACAGACTTAACATATCCCTTCTCAGAACTCATAGACAATCACTTCTAAATCAACTTTGATACTTACAAATATAACGGGACGAGTATAAGTGGACTCGCGACGTAAAACTGCATATCATTAGCGAGATACCAAGACCAGCCGAAGCACTGTTACCACAAAACAGTAAAAGTTAGATGCTATTACTCTAGGTATATATTTTCACCATTTTTTTATTTTGAATTCTAATTTTCAGTGCTTGTAGTATGCTGACGCAAATTCTGCCTGTCGTTGTCGATTTGAATGCATTCTTTAGGTAGTATTGCAAACTCAGAGACTTCAGCTGACCATAGAAGGAATACTCGCGCTGCTAGACATTTAGGCTTTATTGATAAATTCCAGTTTTATACGACTTTTGGAAATCGTTACATGCTGCATCTGTATTATTCCCTGTGAGATATAACTTTATAGTTATCAATTAAAAGTGATTCCTTCAATACTTTCCGTTTAAACATCTCATATATGTTTCATGAGTATTACAGAAAGTAAATAGAAAAATTGTGTCATAGTGTTGTATATAATTACATATAAGACGAGCAAAATCTGTGCAAAAAACTGCAAGAAATATTAACATGAATGTTTTACATCCGATCTCCTGATATTCCTATTTCTACCTCCTGACAACTAATATTTCTAACTTCTGACAGCTGATATTTCCATCTCCTGATAGCTGATATTTCCAACTCCTAACAGCTGATATTTCTAACCCCTGACAACTAATATTTCTAACTTCTGACAGTTAATATTTCCAACTCCTGACAGTTAATATTTCTATTAATTTCAGATACGAATAAAAACTATTTTTTGTAATTTTAATGGAAGTTATTACCGTCCCTTTTATGAATTACCTCTTAACAATGCAAATATGTGACATCTCAATATCCTGACCAATCTTCTAAGTTCGTACATTTGTTACATATGCTTCCATAATGTTTTTCTATTTATTTAAATCTAACTTCATTTGTTGATTACTGGAGAAAATTAACGGAGGCCTGGCCCCACTTGTATAAAATATTTCAATTTCAGATTTCCTCAAGCCCAGATTTTCCTCAGCTAATATCTCCTTGAAAATATCTTGTATAAAATTCTGCAAGGAATTTCAGGAAATCCTAGCCGATGCCTTCCTCCTGTTCCTTGAGAAAATTTTATACAAGCCGTTTTTGAGGAGATATCAGCTTAGGAAAATCTCGACTTGAGGAAATCTCAAGTTGAGATGTTTTATACAGGTGGGGCCTGGTCTGCTATTTGGTCCAATAAAATTGTTGAAACGATTCAACGATTGAACATCAGGTATAATTAAAAATATATAATATATAATTTTTTAAAAAAAATTTCACAATGTGGATTTTTAAATCTCACAAAAATCTCTCAATAGCATGTGGCCATTTGAATTAAACAGAGATGTAGTTAAAGGACGGAAATACCCTCTCCAGCAACCGCACAATGAGTAACTGCCAATTGCTTATGATAGTGTACAGGATTAAAACATAACGAACAAAACTTTACAAAAGCTGTAACACATATCTCATTATTGGGGATAGTCATGATGACTGGAAAAGTGGTTTTGATATCTCTCTGATATGAAGAGCTAGTATGATTCAGGCAAAATCAGAATCGTTCCCTTAGGCTTATTTGTTCACAGTCCCACAGTCACTATATCAGTTTATTACTGGTAAAATTAAACACACTGCGATTCGTGTACGAGTAACTAGCCCTAACATACAGCTGATCTGACACCTAAGTGATATATATGTACACAGTAATTTTTATATGAGTTTTCAGCACATGAATGATAGTTTGGACTTTAATGAGTTGGTCTTAATTACGATGCAATCTTAATTTTACAGTGGCCTTAAAGAGAAGTTTTTATTGTATATATATTTCCTTTTGTTGTATTAATGAGTTTCACCGTTTTATCCGTCTTCACAAAATTGTTGACGTAGAGAAGGTTAGTCCACCATGATTCCTTACAGTAGTCGGTTTCCAGACCAGTGGGTGACCACTCTGGGCCGTCACCAAGGTAACGGAAAACCACGATGTCTAACATCATCACCAGCATGTAAGGAGGCGTCAGTCTGGTAAGCAATGTATCATATAAATAATAATGATAATATTACTAATTGCATACATATTCGTTGTTTAAGTTAATTATAATAATTCAGTGTAAAACATTTGGGATCTATCTGTACTCAACTTTTTCCCATAAGGTTTAGCATCAAATTAAGTATAGTATATTTTATATGATTTTACAAAAATGTAGATACATTATCTGGTACTGAAACAAGAAATACTTTACATGTATACAGTTTTGGTAACTACAAAATTCCGTAAAAGTCACAACTATATAACAGTAGTATGTTTTAATCTTAACAAATATTGAGTTTGTATTGTGGCATGATCACACTGAGTTGATCTCTACATCCTACACATATATAAATATAATGACAACATATTTCCATAACTTCAAGAAATCATTTGTACAAACATAAATATATATCATAAAAGGCAGATTTTGATTTCATTTTTAATCATTCGTCTGGACATAAAGTTTCCGGTTTTAGTGAAATATAAGTTACAATTCAAATTATTCCGCATTATATCGTTTTGGAACATCGATATATATCCTATACCGAAATTATAACGAAGCTTATGTTTCTTCGATATGAATATTATACCTGAAACCTGAAAAATCCTTGCTTACGCCTTATTTTATCACTGGTCTGCAGAATATAGAGAACCTGTATATCTTACCTCCAAAACATGTGGAACATGAACCAGTTACTACGACCTCATTCTATATGTCTAATAGGACTTACCTCCAGAACCTGTGGAAGTAGAACATGAACCAGTTAATACGACCTCTCTCCCTCTTCATCTCCTTCATGAACACGTAGCTCAACAACAGGCCGCTGAAACGAAACACGTTTTTCTTTATTACATAGAGCCTTTAGGATTTTAATTTCTACTGAAAATATCATTGTGTTAACTGAATTTCGTACTGTGTGTTACATATATATGGATTAATCTGTTATATGGAGATTTCATAAGAAAAGTAATAAATATGTGTTTGATGCTCGTTAGTTTGCCTGATGGTGGCGTTGTTGTATACCTTGTTCTCATTTGAGAACGTGACATTACTTACTAAAATTGATCAAGGTTTATATTGCCAGTGTCGTCGATACAGCAAAATACACTTACCCTTCATTCTGGAGTATCACTTCATTTATACATTCAGGATTAACACGTTATATGTACTGTACATATGTAGCCACATGTCGTCCATTCATTTAGAATAATGCGTTATCTAAATGTTAAGAGTTTTAACCCGAAAGGCAAAACAATTAATGAAATTCTTATCATTCGGAAATTGTCAATCAGGTCAATGAGATTTATGCAAGAACGATTATGTAAAATATCTTATCAATAAATTCCTTATCCAGAGCCGACCAACCAACAAACATTATCCTACTGTACCTTCAGTTATCAAAAGACAATGAAATTGGTGCGAAGTAGCTTACCTCATTGTGAAGAATGTGTCCACAGAGAGCAAACCGTTCGTAATAGCCATGAAACTTCTCCTTTTAATCATTTTTGCTCCAAATGGAAAGGCATTCACTGAAAACACGACAAACGAAATCAATTAAACCATGCTTCATTCACATGTAAACGTATTTCATTGGACAACGGTATTCACTTTGCTAGCTGACAAAACGTCGTGTTGTCTGCTCGCGATCATGTCGCTACCATGCGAAACTTCTTTTCAAAGTTGGTAAAAAATATTCACACACAATTTTTGCAAACCGACAGACGCGTGAATGAGGAATCGAAATCGGTACAAGTTAGCAATTTAAGGACGCATGAAATATCAAGGACACAAGCAGATGTTTCAGCGAAGTGTTTTAGGGAATTTCCTCAGAGAATTGGATGGTATCTTGGTTTTTCTCAGATATTTTCCCACAGTAGTGTCAACAGGCTAGATTCGCAAGTTCTAGTTTGGCACCAAAAGCATTTCAGCAAAGCAATATATTGATTCATACTAGAAAAATGTTTAAATAAATCAGTCTTTCTACAAATGACAGGTGACTATATCGGAACTTACATAGGCTTCCCTGCATGAGACTGAATATGTAGGTATGTCCCAAAATAACCCACGACATGCTCAGGAATCGGATACCATTGATGGCTCCCATCGTTCCTCCTGTCTGTTCCGCACTCAACAATTTCCGTCCATTCGTCCATACCGAAAACGACAGGAGCATTTTGGAGAGCACGCCTGTTCGATAAATTTATCAAATAAACAGTGAAAAGAAGAAAAGAAGTTAAAACGATTTCTATGAAGGTTCAAATTAAAAGAGAATATTCTTTTATAATAAATAGTATATAAATTCATTTGGAAACGAGATTTATAAGTAAATGAATGAAATTTGACAGTGTCCAATGTCAGGTTTTCCGACAATGTTCATGTGCACGAGCATTCTCCTAAAGAAAAAGTGACAGAGTACACAGACAAAGTCAAAAGTGGTCGTGTACACAGCCACTTTTGCAAAAGTGGCAGAGTAATCAGACATTTTTACAAAAGTGGTCGAGTACTCAGACATTTTTTACATAAGTGGTCGAGTACTAAGACATTTTTACAAAAGTGGTAGAGTACACAGACAAAGTCAAAAGTGGTCGAGTACTCAGACATTTTTACATACGTGGTCTAGTACATAGAGCATGTCCTGATGCAGAACACAAACCAAAGAGTTGCATGTCTTTGGGGTTTTTATGTGAAATACAGGATTTTAGTTTAAATGGCAATGACAGTTTCCCCTAATTATCATGACAAAATTTTGTTTAATAATTACGTACAAGGCAGATAGTCATATGATCATGAAGTCCTTAAAACAAAGGTGTGTAGAGAGAATGGACAGGGCTGATATGTTGATATAGCAATAGGTAGGTACAGAGATTAGATACAGAGGTAGGTTGATAGAGAAATAGGTAGATACATAGATAGATAGAGAGGTTTATAGAGAAATAGGTAGATACAGAGATATATAGAGAGGTAGGTTTATAGAGAAATAGGTAGATACAGAGATAGATAGAGAGGTAGGTTTATAGAGAAATAGGTAGATACAGAGATAGATAGAGAGGTAGGTTTATAGAGAAATAGGTAGATACAGAGATAGATAGAGAGGTAGGTTTATAGAGAAATAGGTAGATACAGAGATAGATAGATAGAGAGGTAGGTTTATAGAGAAATAGGTAGATACAGAGATAGATAGAGAGGTAGGTTTATAGAGAAATAGGTAGATACAGAGATAGATAGAGATGTTTATAGAGAAATAGGTAGATACAGAGATAGATAGAGAGGTAGGTTTATAGAGAAATAGGTAGATACAGAGATAGATAGAGATATTTATAGAGAAATAGGTAGATACAGAGATAGATAGAGAGGTAGGTTTATAGAGAAATAGGTAGATACAGAGATAGAAAGGTAGGTTGATGGAGAAATAGGTCGATACAGAGATAGGTAGATATAACAATCTGTAGATACAGAGACAGGTATATATAACAACATGTAGATACAGAGACAGGTAGATCTAACAACATGTAGATACAGAGATAGGTAGATATAACAACATGTAGATACAGAGATAGGTAGATATAACAACATGTAGATACAGAGACAGGCAGATCAAACAACATGTAGATACAGAGATAGGTAGATATAACAACATGTAGATACAGAGACAGGCAGATATAACAACATGTAGATACAGAGCACAGATATAACAACATGTAGATACAGAGATAGGTAGATATAACAACATGTAGATACAGAGATAGGTAGATATAACAACATGTAGATACAGAGATAGGCAGATATAACAACATGTAGATACAGATACAGAGATAGGTAGATATAACAACATGTAGATACAGAGATAGGTAGATATAACAATATGTAGACACAGAGATAGGTAGATATAACAACATGTAGATACAGAGACAGGCAGATATAACAACATGTAGATACAGAGACAGGTAGATATAACAACATGTAGATACAGAGATAGGTAGATATAACAACATGTAGATACAGAGACAGGTAGATATAACAACATGTAGATACAGAGACAGGTAGATATAACAACATGTAGATACAGAGACAGGTAGATATAACAACATGTAGATACAGAGACAGGTAGATATAACAACATGTAGATACAGAGATAGGTAGATATAACAACATGTAGATACAGAGACAGGCAGATATAACAACATGTAGATACAGAGACAGGCAGATTTAACAACATGTAGATACAGAGATAGGTAGATATAACAACATGTAGATACAGAGATAGGTAGATATAACAACATGTAGATACAAAGATAGGTTGATTTGGTGTTATTAATCTCTAAACGTCCTTTATAATCAAGGGAAGATTAATTGATATATGTTTGCCACATGTACAAACATTATCATCGTTGATGAATATTGGTTATGGATACCTGTATATCTGGGTGTAACTGTTGGCTTGTAATTCATTGTTTGAATGACTGAAGGTGTGTTGGTTATGTCTACTTTCACAGCCTCGATGTTTTTATCTTCACCAGTTTCGTGGTTAGGATAAGACGTAGTTTCACATTTTGCCTGGTCATTTGATATTTTACTTGTTTTCTTTCGTGCTGGACCAACGACGAACACGTCGAAGAGCGTTGCCAGTGTCATAAGAGCGAGGAATGCACCACAGACACATCTAAAATTCAACCATATTTCAAAATAAAATCTATCACACTTTTTCAGTTTGACTCAAAACAAAACCCTACGTCATCAGCCATTTCGTTGATGATTGAACACTATTCGCTCGTAAGACCTGGTATTTTGTATTCTTGTTTTCACCTGCGTTACCATAACGTTTCCAATTACCTACAATCACATTTATCATTTCCATTCTGAAATATTGATAAAAATAGCTTCAAAAGTCGACAATGTACTACAAAGGACACCGTATTACACGAAAATCATATATATATATATATATATATATATATATATAATTTTTTTGCAATTAATTGACATATAGACAAAGAAAATAAATTCTCCGTTCCTGGATTTGGCAAACAAAATATAAACAGTCACTGCAATAGCTGTCTGTGCAGATGTACACAAATCTGCAATCGCTGTATCCGCCGATTGTGAAGGGACACGTCACATTTCAAAGCACGTACGCACGCGTGCCTCTATTGCATGGGTGGGTGTGTAATTCAAGCGAACTTAAGAGTATTGCCTGAGACCAGAGAAAATATGTGTATAATAGTGTCGTTTGATAAAATATATATATTGTTCTATGATGATAATGTTATAATACACTAATTTATGCTTATATCCTGTAAATTGTAGATTTTTGTATCCTGTGATACCCTATAATAAAGAGCTTACATTGTTATTGTTGTTCTGAGGTCGTACTCTGGTTCCGTCTGACACCAGGCATAGTCCACTGTAAGTTTCGGGGTAACCGGTATGTAGGCTAGAACTGTAACACAAGATATGTTACTGATTACAATATATCAACGCTCACAAAACAGTATTGGAGAATGAGATTAAGCAAATACAGTGAAAGTGGTGCACATTTTCACAGATTCATCAAACACTAAAGTAAAATCGAAATTCATTAGTAGTCGTGATTTTCGTCCTCTGTTTCATATGCTCAAGGTACCTAATTTTTCTGTTTTCGTTTTTGTAGATAAATGAATGAATAAATGTGCTCTACTTTTCACGTGAAGCTTTTCAATTTTTTTAATTCTAGATTATGATACTTTACATGTACATTGTATCTATAGATATAACTGGACTCAATGATACCTCTAAATCTATATTTAATATTGAATCAATGATACCAACTATTGCCCTGTGTCAGAAGCACTGCATGAAGTTTGAAGTGGATCGGCTTAAGGAAACTGAAGTTAATTGCGAAAGAACTAATTTTCTATTTACAGTAAAAATGACCTTGACCTTTGACCTTCGGACCTGAAAAGCAATCTCAAGCAATTACTTTTGGCGAGGAACCAATGTCCGAAGTGTGAGCTTGGTAGGAAATTGTCGAGTAACGACTGGGAAGTACCGAACAGTAATGAGCTGTGACATACGCAGTCAACATCTCGACGTTGACCTCTGGAAATCTAGACTTTATTTACGATAGAAAAGTACAGAGAATACACAGTAAAGGTAAACAAAATACCACATTTATCATTTATATACAGTTAGACCTCATTATCTCGAAGTCGGCAGTGGGAAAAGTTAATATTATCCGAGTACTCAATTTAAGTGTGTTCGATTGTTTATTATGAAATTAGGCCGGAACCAACGAAACACTTCGAATTAAACGGGGTCTTCGAGTTGTACGAGTTCGAGATAACGAGGTTCGGCTGTGTACATTTAAATACACAGATTTTATAACTTCAGAATTTTTATTACATATCTACAACTAATTATGTTTTGGCAACAGCCAATGATAATTAGATCCCCGGTACAACTGAAGGTAAACGATGACTAGGTTTGAACCAATAGTACGTTGTCTTTTATTACTGACGGCAAAATTTTGACTTTATGAAACCAATTTGCAAAACCCGGTAAAGTTTTCTTAAATGAATTGATATGCAAATATACTTCTCTTAAAATACATTTAATATGTATCAGAAAGATGTCATCCATATGATTGATTAATTCATATTAAAATATTAGACATTAATGAAAAGATAAGCTAAAGTACCAGTTCATGTCAAACAAGATAGATTTGGGGTACAAGAAACGATAAGGAGTAAAAACGAATCAAGCGATCACGTGATGCTGTCGTGTATATTGTAAAATAGCTGTAAATGTATGCGAATAAACATATTTTAGTCGTCAAGCTAGAAATAATGTTAAGTGGCGAAGTGGGATTCGTTATCTACAGAGTCAACTTGACCTGTCAATCAGGTCGGGGTCGAAGACACAGATTCTTGGCATGATTTCACAACTATATTGAAAATTATCGAAAGTAAGATTATAGACCATCGGACACTAGAATCAACAAGAACGGGATCATTTCATATGATTTTTTTTACAATTTTTTTCTTAAAATGTAAAGATTCCTAATAAATTTGGATGATGAAATCATGTCAATAATTAGCACTATTGACGTAATACCACTGCTGTCCATCCTTTGTCAATATCGGACGGTTAATGTGGTATTCGAGGCAGCATCAAGTTGAATTGTTTTCATATATCTTGTAGTTCTTATCAAAGAGGGTTGATATTGGAATTAAAACCGTTTTGATAACATGTCTGTTAGGGTTCAACGGCCTTGTACCAGCCAGGTCGTATATCTAAGTGACAACAAAATGAAATAGTAAAGTTAGATAAGGAAGGATATGAAAGACATATTTTAAGCGTTGTAGATTGACAGCAGATCTGTTTAATAGCCTTGTTTCTATTTACAATTATCACAAGCGGTTACCTGTTTAACTGGGGTCATAAATGTAGGTTACAATAACCCATTTAGATATACATAAGTCACGGTCTCACGTTATGTTACTGCTGCACTAAAGCTTTATCACGTTTTGGCAAATTCGAACAATTTTACATATAAAACCTCGCATTATCTATACTTGTGATATAAACAAATAAAAGAAATTTCAAATTAACTAAGTCATCCTTAGCACATTTCTTTCAGTGCGCAAAAAGCCACTGAAATATCATTATCATTATACTATGTTCACGGTTTGAAGAATTATATTGACCATTGAACATAAGACAAACTATTAATATACTTGTTGGATATTTAAAGGATTACAAGTGAGACACCAATGTATTTTTGTAAAAATTTCAACGGAAAAAAATTTTCTATTTATACCTGTAACACAAAATCTTTATAGATATCTGTAACACTAAATCTTTATTGATATCTGTAACACTAAATCTGTATTGATATCTGTAACACTAAATATTTATTGATATCTGTAACACTAAATATTTATAGATACCTGTAACACTAAATCTTTATAGATATCTGTAACACTAAATATTAATAGATATCTGTAACACTAAATCTTTATTGATATCTGTAACACTAAATCTGTATTGATATCTGTAACACTAAATCTATTTTGATACCTGTAACACTAAATCTGAACTGATATCTGTAACACTAAATCTTTATAGATACCTGTAACACTAAATCATTATAGATATCTGTAACACTAAATCTTTATTGATACCTATAACACTAAATCACTAAATATTTATTGATATTGTAACACTAAATCTTTATAGATATCTGTTACACTAAATCTTTATAGATACCTGTAACACTAAATCTGTATTGATATCTGTAACACTAAATCTTTATTGATATCTGATATCTGTAACACTAAATCTTTATATTGATATCTGTAACACTAAATCTGTATTGATATCTGTAACACTAAATCTGTGTTGATATCTGTAACACCAAATCATTATTGATATCTGTAACACTAAATCTTTATAGATATCTGTAACACTAAATCTGTATTGATATCTGTAACACTAAATCTGTATTGATATCTGTAACACCAAATCATTATAGATATCTGTAACACTAAATCTTTATTAATATCTGTAACACTAAATCTGTATTGAAATCTGTAACACTAAATCTGTATTGATATCTGTAACACTAAATATTTATTGATATCTGTAACACTAAATATTTATTGATATCTGTAACACTAAATCTTTATAGATACCTGTAACACTAAATCTTTATAGATATCTGTAACACTAAATCTATTTATTGATACCTGTAACACTAAATATTTATTGATATCTGTAACACTAAATCTTTATTAATTCTGAAACACCAAATCATTATTGATATCTGTAACACTAAATCTGTATTGATATCTGTAACACTAAATATTTATTGATATCTGTAACACTAAATCTTTAATTAGTTCTGAGACACTAAATCTTTATAGATATCTGTAACACTAAATCCGTATTGATATCTGTAACACTAAATCTGTATTGATATCTGTAACACTAAATCTGTATTGATATCTGTAACACTAAATCTGTATTGATATCTGTAACACTAAATCTTTATTGATATCTGTAACACTAAATATTAATAGATACCTGTAACACTAAATCTTTATTAATTCTGAAACACCAAATCATTATTGATATCTGTAACACTAAATCTTTATTGATATCTGTAACACTAAATATTTATAGATATCTGTAACACTAAATCTTTATTGATATCTGTAACACTAAATCTGTATTGATATCTGTAACACTAAATCTGTATTGATATCTGTAACACTAAATCTGTGTTGATATCTGTAACACTAAATCATTATTGATATCTGTAACACTAAATCTTTATAGATATCTGTAACACTAAATCTGATATTGATATCTGTAACACTAAATCTTTATAGATATCTGTAACACTAAATCTGTATTGATACCTGTAACACTAAATCTTTATAGATATCTGTAACACTAAATCTGTATTGATATCTGTAACACTAAATCTGTATTGATATCTGTAACACTAAAACTTTATAGATACCTGTAACACTAAATCTGTATTGATATCTGTAACACTAAATCTTTATTGATATCTGTAACACTAAATCTGTATTGATATCTGTAACACTAAATCTGTATTGATACCTGTAACACTAAATCTTTATTGATATCTGTAACACTAAATCTGTATTGATATCTGTAACACTAAATCTTTATAGATATCTGTAACACTAAATCTTTATAGATATCTGTAACACTAAATCCGTATTGATATCTGTAACACTAAATCTGTATTGATATCTGTAACACTAAATCTGTAATGATATCTGTAACACTAAATCTTTATAGATATCTGTAACACTAAATCTGTATTGATACCTGTAACACTAAATCGAGTTACTATCTCGAAATTTCGAGTTAAAATAAAACACAACGTGGCCGGAATACGCTTCCGTAGTATATCTTGTAAGTATTATAATTTTGTACTGTATCTCTTTGTCTGTTTGTTCTTTAGTCGTCTTGTGATATATTCTAAATTGCCGGTTTTTCTTTGTTTCTGTACCGTATTTGTCCTGTATTGTGTTCTGTTTTTTGTTGTTCCTTTCTTTGTCGTTGTACCGTACCTGTATTGTGTTTGTTTTTGCTGTTCCTGTTTTTGTCTTTGTTTCTGTACCGTATTTGTCCTGTATTTCGTTCTGTGTTTTGCTGTTCCTGTCTCTGCTTCTGTACCGTATTTGTCCTGTATTGTGTTCTGTTTTTTGCTGTTCCTTTCTTTGCCGTTGTACCGTACCTGTATTGTGTTTGTTTTTTGCTATTCCTGTCTTTGTATCTGTACCGTATTTGTCCTTTATTGTGTTCTGTTTTTTGTTGTTCCTGTCTCTGTTTCTGTACCGTATTTGTCCTGTATTTTGTTTTGTGTTTTGCTGTTCCTGTCTTTGTTTCTGTACCGTATTTGTCCTGTATTTTGTTCTGTGTTTTGCTGTTCCTATCTCTGTTTCTGTACCGTATTTGTCCTGTATTTTGTTCTGTTTTAGTTGTTTCTGTCTTTGTTTCTGTACCGTTGTTGTCTTGTATTTACTGTAAGAAAGATATACAAAAGTATTAAAAACTCACACGCATTGGCAATGAGGCTAGGGTCTCCTCCTGTACAGACTGACGGCAGGCATACCCTCATAATAAGTTCCACATCTCCAGTTGGACCCTAAAAAAAGCAAGTTCAGTAGTCAAAATCCTTTATTTGGAAATGAAACTGATTTTTGGTACATCTTTGCATCATTATGATAATGTGTTATTTTTTCTCTTATTTCTATCCGTGCAATAATGGTATGTTTAGGGCAATACACCAAAGTTCGCTGTTTTTGTATTACACACCCAACCACGCAATAGAGGCACGCGCGCCTACGCGCGTAGAAATGCGACGTATCCCTTCCCAATTGACGTCATCGCCTGATACATTGTACGCACATTTTGTACAAATAATTAAGTTTCTTTGCCAGATCTAGGTACTATGTCAATGTCGATTTATTGCATAATGGAAAAAAAATAAAATGGATTTTCGTGTAATATGGCGTCTTTTTAGTAAATTGCCGACGTTTGAAGCTATTTTAGAATAAAAATTAGAGAAAAATATTCATTCATATGTCGAGAATAAGGATAGAATATTTCACTCTCGATGTCACAAACTTGGCAAAAACCTCGACACCTCGACATATCGAAGTGTCTTATATTACAGGGCTTTGTACTGGTGTGCCATGTTGACTTAGTTGTGAAAGATTATTTATTGTTAATGACTCATATAAATGTCTAGAAGTGGCTTCTCATTGGATACAACGGTACAGACTGCTGGTGATTGCTTGGCACAAGGCGAAGTTGCATCGTCAATGAGCGAAAGTGAGATAGGCGACTGATTTTAAAAATCTCTTTTGAGCGGGGTAGGTGGTGGGGGGAGGGGGAAGGGGTGACAATAAAGAGTGTTTAGAATTCCAATGGGAGACGCAGGTAGTACGGATGGTTTGCGATAGGGGTTCGACTTCGGTGTGGATATCAAAATGTTCTACTTGTGACAGTCTTGATAACTTTGAAATGCGTCCGGCCGATCTTTCGTGAGGTTGGATTTACCGGCAGTAGATTTTAGAATGTGTTGTCTGAGATTGAAAGAAATTTTATGTGAACTTCTCGGTAAGGAAGCAAATGTTAACCATACATTATCAACATTATAGAAGTATTCATACCGTGATAGGCGTGTGAATATAAGCGCCGCAATAGTTGGTTTCAAATGCAATGTCTCCATTGACTTCAGCAACGATGTCCATACACTCGTCATACATCCCGTACCATTTAATGTTTCCTTGTGTTATTCCTGAGTGAGGTTTCCCCCAGGAGTCTAGCACTGGAAAAAATACAGATATTTTTTATCTCACTTTTGCATTCAATGCATTCATTTTAGTTAAGTCAGTCTTTTCAATATCTTTAACAAATCCCTGCTACAAATCCCTGTTGCAAGCTAGTGCACATGTGAGCTGTGTGATGTCTGAGTGAATATGATATGCTATGAATGTAATCAATACCATATATTGCTGAAAATTCTGAATAAAAATAAAATTTTAAAAAATCCCAGCTACTAGAACTTGTGCAAGTCTAATGGGTTGCGTGAAAAATTGTCCAGCATTTTAAATTACAGGATGGCCAAACAGTATTATTCAGGCAAAATACGATTTAACGCCACATTAAAAAATACTTATTAAATCATTGAATAACTATACATAATTCAATCATTATATTAAATAAATAAATTTTCATTAGTGAATTTTGTCAATATTTAAGAAACGATAAAAAATTTCTGACAGATAAGCGGGATACCAATGTCTATATCGAGATCTACGGTCGTCTCCCGCTTTGACTCGAAAATTGTCATGGAGTGTGTATTGTCACCTTTCTCAGCAGCCTTAGTATCCATGACATCAAGAACGTAGTCGAGATGCATTCTGTATCAAATCTCTTAGCGGACTCTCTTGGACATGATGGAAATTTGAAGTTAAAAAAGTAAATTGTAGCAGACGTCAACATCTGTGATTTCTCAACATTGAAAACAAATATGTTCTGCTTAAAGTTACCATAATGTCATATTTTTGTTTATTCAATAATATTCAAATCCATTATCTTTATCATTGTATTGGCAACGCTTTAAATTACGAGTCAATTTTCCCTCTGTGGTTCTTCGAAAAAGAGCGGGCATGACATAGCCGGCCAAGAGGTTAGAGCTATATTAGCAACAGGGAGTATCCATAAGTAATTTTTACGGACTTCCAAAACATTTTTAAAATATCAGATCCTCTCCCTCATCATCTCTGTTCCAAACCGGTCTTCTTGCTGCGATGCGCATAGTCACATTTGTAGTGTTAGTTTAATTCTATAATTAGGACAAGGAGATCGTCTTTAAAATTATTGTTTAAGAACTGATTTGATGGTATAGACGGACCCTCTCTACCATATTTCTCTATCCCAAACCACTATTTCGTCTCTACTCACTTTCCTATCTTTTCTTGTCCGCTGAAAGGCCGAAGGGCCGTAATATTGGACATAAAACCCTTAAAGAAATAAACAAATAGGAATCATACAGCGACGGGGATTTTGTTTTTGTTTTTGCATGTAACATGTACTTTCTATAATTAGAATATAAGAAAGTTCTCGAATACTACATTTTATTTCGGAATAAAACATATAATTATTTATCTCTACCATAGAATGACTTTGGCGGTAAAAAGTATGCATTTTAACGTAAATTGAAAAAAAAGTTCTTCGAAAATAATTTCCTCTGTGGTACATTATGGTGTTATTCACTAAGGTCACACATATTCATTTACTGGTACAAGAAAAATGGACATATTAAGGACACCTATTCATGTATCTTGGTAACGCAATATCAATCAGCAGTGTGTCTAACTTCGTTATCTACTTCTCCAATACCAGTGTTATGATATAGCACAACAGATAAACCACAGATATTTCGAAATAACAACATAAAGGTTAATGTACTGACTCAGTCTCAATAACCACGGTTAAGTAAACAAACCTGAACCAAACACTCAGTATGAACACACCAGTGAAGCATATCACTTGATATGTCGACCACGTATCAGTATAAACACAGTAGTGAAGCATATCACTTAATATGTAGTATAAACACACTAGTGAAGTCTCAGTATAAACACACACACCAGTGAAGCATATAAACACACTTGAAGATATGTAAACACACCAGTGAAGCATATCACTTGATATGTCGACCACGTCTCCGTATAAACACACCAGTGAAGCATATCACTTGATATGTCGACATTGTCGCAGTATAAACACACCAGTGAAGCATATCACTTAATATGTCGACCACGTCTCAGTATAAACACACCAGTGAAGCATATTACTTAATATGCCGACCACGTCTCAGTATAAACACACCAGTGAAGCATATCACTTGATATGTCGACATTGTCGCAGTATAAACACACCAGAGAAGCCTATCACTAACTATGTCAACATCGTCTCAATGTAAACACACCAGTGGAGATTATTTCTTAATATGTTTTAGTGTAATGCTCCGGACAAAATCGATGCATGAAAATTAACAAAGGGCAATAACTCTCCTTGTTGAGATCGATCTACCTATGAAGTTTCATGTTAATAACTCTTATAGTTTTATGTTAAGTTCCGGACAAAATTATGACGGACGGATTGTGACACGGACATCCGGCGAGACGGGGAGTGTAATAGGCGATTGGATGGACGGACGGCTACAAATCACATGGTGTAAAAGAAAGTACCCAGGTTAGTCTTCAGGTACAAATTACCAGTGAGAGACTGATGATTAAGTGGGGTGTTCTTTCAATCTTACCAGGATTCCTGTGATTTTTATCATTTCAGATTTTTATAATTGTATAAATTATGTTTATTTGATGTAGAAGGAACGATTTTCAAAATCAAGTCATTTTGATTGGTCTTTGCAGTGGTGAAACATCTGACATTTTGGACATCAAGTTATACATTTGTTCATCTTAAACAAATATAAACACTTGTTTAATTAACTTACTGTTTAAAGCCCACTGCTTTCCGGCTAGTAGCTGTGAACCAAACGTTCCCATGGCAACGTTACACGCTGGACTTAGATATTTGTAATAGCCCTGACTCACATTGTAGCTAGACGCTAAAGATTGTCCCACTGCTTGCAAGTTTTTGGTAAGCTGCGAAGCTCCTGTGGCTTGTGATGCTGATGGAATCGACACATTTAAGTCCTTGAGTAGCTTCAGAACGTCTTGTACTGTTGGCGTGGGAAAGAGAGAAACAAGGTTAGAAAGCTGTGAAAAACCTTGTGATGTAGATATATTACTGTTAAGTAGTGTCTCTATCCCCTTTTCAAACAAAGACAAATAATTCTGATTCTGTTGTTTGGGTTTTGCTGTTGTTGTGACATCGCCATTAATATCAGGAACACAGACTAGCGCCAGGAAGACGCTCACTACCAGTAGTTTCCTCATGGCCGTGCCATTCAGGTAGTGAGCAGACGAAACTTTTTTGTGTGTATAACTATGATGGCGGTTCGTTGTTATCTACCTACCTAAAGTAGCAGGTAGAACGGGTCAGTCCACCCAAATATGGTTATCAATACTAAACATTATGTGTACGTTTATTTGTTCTTACGTCATATCTGAACTTACGATCAATATCATTGCCATCAATGTAACTGCGATCAAGGTAATTATGATCAGTGTAACTATGGTTTAAGTAGTTATGATCAGTGTAACTATGGTTTAGGTAATTATGATCAGTGTAACTATGATTTAGGTAGTTATGATCAGTGTAACTATGGTTTAAGTAGTTATGATCAGTGTAACTATGGTTTAGGTAATTATGATCAGTGTAACTATTTTTAAGGTAATTATGATCAGTGTAACTATGATTCAGGTAATTGCGATCAAGTTAAGGACGATCAAGGTCAGAACGATCAATGTAAGTAAGGTATGTCCTACGTTTGTGACTGACCTGTGTATGTCCTACGTTTGTGACTGACCTGTGTATGACCTACTGTCGGGACTGACCTGGGTATGTCTTACTGTCGAGACTGACCTGGGCATGTCCCACTGTCGGGACTGAACTAGGTATGTCTTACTGTCGAGACTGACCTGGGCATTTCCCACTGTCGGGACTGAACTAGGTATGACCTACTGTCGGGACTGACCTGCGTATGTCTTACTGTCGAGACTGACCTGGGCATGTCCCACTGTCGGGACTGACCTTGGTATGACCTACTGTCGGGACTGACCTGGGTATATTCTGCTGTCGGGACAAAGTTTGGTATGTCCTACTTTTGTGACTGGCCTAGGTATGTCCTACTGTCGGGAATAACCTGGGCATGTCCTACTGTAGGTACTGACCTTGGTATGACCTACTGTCTGGACTGACCTGGGTATGACCTTCTGTCGGGACTGACCTGGGTATGTCCTACTGTAGGGACTGACCTGGGTATGTCCTACTCTCGGGACTGACCTGGGTATGTCCTACTGCCGGGACTGACCTGGGTATGTCCTACTCTCGGGACTGACCTGGGTATGTCCTACTGCCGGGACTGACCTGGGTATGTTCTGCTGTCAGGAATTAACTTGGTTATGTTCTACTGTCGGAACTGACCTGGGTATGTCCTACTCTCGGGACTGACCTGGGTATGTCCTACTGCCGGGACTGACCTGGGTATGTTCTGCTGTCAGGAATTAACTTGGTTATGTTCTACTGTCGGGACTGACCTGTGTATGTCCTACTGACGGGACTGACCTGGGTATGTCCTACTGTAGGGACTGACCTGGGTATGTCCTACTCTCGGGACTGACCTGGGTATGTCCTACTGCCGGGACTGACCTGGGTATGTTCTGCTGTCAGGAATTAACTTGGTTATGTTCTACTGTCGGGACTGACCTGTGTATGTCCTTCTGTAGGGACCGACCGGGGTATGTTCTGCTGTCGGTACAATCGTGTGATTTAGCAGTGCTGTAATAGGCTTAAAGTTCTGATTTTGATATGATATTTTCATGAAATCCTCGTGACATCTTCATGAAATCATATTTTAAAGACGTTTTATCAGGAAAAAATGCTGTAGAGAGAAAATATGACATCTTAGATATTGCATCGGTCTTTATAAAACGCTGTTTAGGTATGAAATCCAATTCATTTTACATTCACTTTTTATGAGATCAATGAACCTTTATCACATCCGAAAGCTAAACCCGTTGAGAACAGTGACCTTAACTGTAATGGTAATGTATATGATGATGATGATGATGATGATGATGATGATGATGATGATGATGATGATGATGATTATTATAAATGACCAGCATGGTTGATGACTGATTATGATAATGATGAAGGTGATTGATGTGAAATTATAGTGCGTGTCTGTGTATGTGTGAGCGTTTCTGTGAGTGTGAGAGTGTGTGTGTGCGTGCGTGTGTGTGTGTATGTATGTATGTGTGAGGGTGTGTATGTGTGTGTGTGTGCGTGCGTGGTGCGTGTGTGTGTGTGTGTGTGTGTGTGTGTGTGTGTGTGTGTGTGTGTGTGTGAAGGGCGTGAGGGAATGTGAGAGGGTGTATGGAAGATTGTGTGAGAGTGTGTGTGAAGGTGTATGTGATGGTGTGTGAAAGCGTGTGTGAGAGATTGTGTGATGGTGTGTGAGAGATTGTGTGAGGGTATGTGTGAAAGCGCGTGTGTGTGAAGGCGTGTGTGTGTGATGTGAGTGATGGTGTATGGGAGAGTGTTTGGGAGAGTGTTTGGGAGATTGTGTGGTGGTGTGTGTGTGATGTTGTGTGGGAGGGTGTGTGGGATGACCTGGCTTTATCAGATCGTACATTCTAATTTTGTGATTTATTCAAACCGGATTACACAATCCCAACAGGCCATACAGACTGGTTAGGTGTCATAAGGATCTGATATCATCAGTGACAGAGACACAAACCAGTGGTTGATAGGTGGAGATATCGGTAATAGAGAGTAACACGTCAGCTGATAACGGGTACACAAGCACTGGCTATATACAACACTATCTGGTGATAAACATGTTATCCAATATATCTAAGACTGCTTTCGTACACATACTGTTCTCAGTTAATGGTCGTCTAGAACACGTACCATAGAATATTTATTGAATAAATTGAATGTACGTTAATCTGTCATTAATTATGTAAAATTTTCGTATACAATCACTTTTGCTCATTTGCTTTATGTTTACCATATATATGACGTAAACACCTCTACTCACAGTTTGTATAAATCGGGATATGAAAAAACACATGTCAAGAAGATGTAGGTATAAATCCCCATACCTAATGATATACTATGTAAGTATATAAACCTTTCCATTATGTACCTGTATTCTGTCATTTCTACTTCTGTAATACTAGTCAGTGTTCTTGTATTAAACGACTACCTATGCAATAAAGGCACGCGAGTGTAGAAAGGTAACGTGTCCCCTCCCACTGACGTCATCGCCGGATGCAAATAGTTACGTAGAAGGGATGAGTTTATCTGGTATGTTATCCATTCGATCATTAATATATTCCATCACGTGTTTGTTCTGCCGTTGCGCAAGTGCACATTTCATCTTTACGTCTGTATTCCTTGGTGTGGTTCTGCTAAAAGACGTTAGTGTATCCTAACGTCATACTGGACGTGACAGAAAAGATAATTCAAGATGTTTTAACAACTTGCTAAATTCACTATTTCCCCTGTGCTGTAATAATAGTAGAATTTGTCATAATTTTATAGCTAAATGCATACAAGGTAATACCTTTTTTATGTAAGGAAAGTCATTTTAATGGAATGTTTTGTTGATTGTCCATATATCTGATGAAACATGAATGAAAGAGTTATTGTATCTATTTCTTGTCATTGTGAATGTCAATGATTCATGAATTATATCTGTGATTTTAATGGAATGATTTGTCGATTGTTTATACAACTGATGTTTAACATGAGTGAAAGAGGGTATTGAGTTTATTTCTTGATATAAGCTCTTTACGTTAAAGAGTTTTATGATCAGTGACCTGTGCCACACGCAGGGTAGACTCTACTTCATTAACTGCCTACCTCGATCTTTTCTTGTAACGAAACAAACATGGACAGATTTTCCACCAAGCTGTATGATAAACATGATGATTTCAATTTCCCAGACAATGAATTTTTCATTTCTTGATAGCAATAACCATGCATCCACAACATATCGTTTACATACCGCTGTTTTCAAGTGCCTGTTCACATTATCACGATTTTCGTGCAAGAAGTCGTCAACTGACGGACAAACTCCAAACACAAGATTTCAAAAGATGTAGGTTGATGAAAATTATTGGGTTAAAGTTTTACAGTCAATCATAGTGATTTCTTTGAGAACTATTCTATTTCTTTGTGCGATAGGGAGCTGGACATGTTTCATACTCGTTAGTTCATCTGTTTGTTTCGTTGTTGTAAACCTGGCTCTCATTTGAGGATATGAAATTACTTACTTGGATTGACCAAGGTTTACATTGCGAATGTTTTCACAAGACGCTTACTCTTCCGGAACACCTGATCTTATTCTGCTTTTCGTCTTTTTTGTTTTTTGTTTTGTTTATATTCCATATTTTGCCCTAGTTTTAACTACTTTGAGTTTAAATTATGATCATGTTGATATGTTGATATTTTCTTTTCTTTTTTTACATGTGTCCTTACGTCATTAGTACGGAAGACGGACACTGATCGACATAATAGAATGACCAAGGACGTTGAAATATTGTTGCATACTGTTTAACATAACGCCGGTGTTCTCTGCAGAACATCATTTGTCTTAACGGTCCTTTGGTTCCACCAAGATATATTAAATCATACACAGTACATTTAATGTCATCAACGTTGGACAGAGGCACGTCACTTTTGTCTTTCTTCACCTTCGAAAACATACAGCTTATATATTTAGACATATGTTCTCTTTGTTTTCCCATAGTCGATATTTTAACATAGGTTGTCTTCGATGAGAATACATAAATGTATTCTCATACTCGTCATTTTAACATAAGTTATCCGGGAAAAGGATATATAAATGTATTATATGGGCCATTTTAACAAGAGGCCCAGAGGGCCTGTATCGCTCACCTGGATCTTTATGGCCAACAGTACTATATTTGACAAATTACTCCATATGGGTTCTGTCCCTTATCTGTGCAAAGTTGAATTTAGACTTTCTTACGATGTTTCCAGTTAAATATAATTTTGAGTTTTCTTTTAAAATCAAGGAAAGAAGATGGTCAAACAATACAGCAGAAAAAACTCTTAGTTATAGCTGGACGGATGACTCAAGACAGCAGAAGCTTACTTGTCCTTTAGATCATTGTTTACAAACACAGATACAACATATTTGAGACTTGCACATGTCAACAATATATAGCAACAATTAAATATAAAGACAGGAAAAATTAAGGTATATGTGATTATAAACCATAATCCTAGCTCAAAACCAATAATAAGACCTTTCATGCATATCATTAGTCAGTTAAGCCCCGCCCAACGGAGACCTACTGATAACAGTTTACTGTAGACAGGTAAACACTGCATCGCAAATGGCTTCTACTTAAAATTTCTTATTTATTTGTACTATGATTATAAAGAATCTTACATCAAAATGAAGCTCTTGAAATCCCCTTTCCGATCATGTTTTCTTTATTTTAATGCAGAACATAAGTTATTGGCTCACATGTATTTTTTCACTATGTAACATTACTTATCCCAAGCATAACATTACTTATCCCAAGCAAGACATTACTTATCCCAAGCCCTCCAAACCTCCAGTGGGCGTGGCCAAATATATCTTTTTTGGAACAGTGTGACGCCACTGTGAAAGGTCTTTATAATTTTGTCCAAATCATGTCAAGAAAACTCCCAGCCAAACTTTGTTGGGCTTCATCAATGGAACCTTCCAGCCATATATAATGATTCTAGGCCTTCCGGTATTTTGGAAGAAGTCGTTTAAAGGTTTAACACATTTGACCTCTGTGACCTTGAATATGGGTCAAGGTCATTTCTGTTTGCAAATTTTGTTAGGCTTCATCAAAGGAACCTTCCAGCCAAATATGATAACTCTACGCCTTTCTGTATTTCAGAAGATGTTGTTTAAATGAAAAGTTGACGGACGCAGAACGGACGGACGACGGACGCCGCGCTTTGGCATAAGCTCACGTGGCCCTTTGGGCCAGGTGAGCTAACAATAGTTATCCAGGATAAGGATCTATTAATGCATTATAGTGGTCTTTTTAACATTAGTTATCTGGACATACATACATTTCAATGATCAAGCTCTATATCAAACTTCTAATGTAACTCAGTTTCATATGTTTTACTGAAAGTATGTTACTATAAATGACAGCCAAAAAACAGTGATTTGTAAATTATGTAACTCACAATCTATGATTTCATCAATTCATTTGAAAAAGACAATACAACATCCGTGCATATTACACATTTACCAGAAACAGAGGAAAGATGGTAAGTAATATCAAATGGCGATTCCTGATCGTAAATGGTAAAACCATTTACACCCAATTTACTGCGTGGCAATGCCATATAGATCAGTCTGACTACAGAATCACAATAGTTGTCACCGGATCAAATGTTATATGGTAAACGAAAGAAGAAAGAAATAATTTTAGTTACACATTAATTGAACTTCCATTTGCTTTATAAATAAACACCGATCAGTTTTGAATCATATAATTGTTTTCTAAAGATTAAGGTTCAGAAAGATTTGACTATATTTGATAAAAGTATATAACACCTGACTCTGGCTTGTGATCAAGCATAATATGTCAATCCTGTATGAAATATTAATTAGTATTGAGTGAAATCATTATAAAAATATATTTGTACTCCCAGTTCATTGTTCAAGGTAATCATATCAAAATCTTAAAGTGAATGAAATGAAAATTTTTAGGAATGAAATAGTGATTTCCCAAAAATGAGATAAAGGATTTGCTTGAAATATCCTGTCCCTATCGACGCTAGATTGATATATTCGTTTTTCTCTTTTTTAACGTTGAATGTTTTTTACATCTTTACTTGCAGGCATGAAGCAGAGAGGATACTGATATGGATGACATAGAAAAGCCTATGCATGTCTCGACATTGTTTTTTCGTCTTTTTAATGTTTCACAGAAATATCGAAAATATGAGCATAAGAACCTATACAGTATTTGAAAGCACAGTAATGCTGAATGTCTAATTGTATTTGCTGTTACTTTACTTAGAAAAAAGTGTTGTGTATAAATTATTTTCAAAAGAAAAAGGAAAAGAAACTGATGTATGCGTTCTATTTATGTATCTATGCGTCTTCTTTTTAAGATCTATTTCTTCTTGTCTTTCTTTAGAATTGTCCTCTCGAGTCCCATCATTGGAGATTCGAACGCCAGGGAAACGACAAACGCCACCATGTAGGAAAGCACCAAGTGCCCAAAGAACAAGTAAATCTGAAGAATAAAAAAAAAAGAAAAATGTTCAAAATTTTACAAAATGACAGTTCGACAAATAATACGTGCAATCTGTTCTTCGCAACCATTAATATTATGTCGTTTTAACTTATCCATGTGACTCTTTTTTGATAAATTACATTTAGTTTTAAGTATAGAGAAGTCCTTGCAAGTGATTGCATGTTCGTCTTAATCCGAATTATTTATTGATTATTAAAAATATAATTTCAAATATAAAAAAAATCATCACCTTTGAATATTACTTTAATGATGACATAAATCACTATGCATTGATTTAGGTTACAATGACGTATTCGTGAATGTATATAATGCAAAAGTAGATTTGAAATATTTTCATTCCATATAAAAGCTGAAAATAATTAATTTCAAGGGTTTTCAAAATACAAAGAGGAAAATTTTCAAAAGATTGATCAATTACAATAGATATTTCATATATAAAGAAATCGATTTATTTCAATTTATTAATTGTGTCCAAGAAATAGTAACTTTAAAAAACTACATCGTGTATATGTTAACAAAGAAAAAAATAGTTCAATTCATACAATATGTCCTATGTATTAAGTATATCTATTGCTAATTTTGGAACAGCTTCTTCAGGTTGGTAGAACACAAGTTCTTGTAACACAACCGGTAGAAGATTTAAGTGCGACGTTTCGATGACTACACGGCCACTTTCATCTGAAAATTACTAGTGTGGTAAACAGCTTATACACCAACAAATACACAAGATGATCAAACTCAATTCGGCCACGCTTTGTTTAAGTCAGTTGGTTGATTCCTTACCATCTCGCACACTACATGCGTCAGTGGTAGTATCCTTCACACTAGTTATTTTCTTATGAGGCTGACCGTGTAGTTATCGAAAAATCACACTCTTACTCTTTTACTGGTTGTGTTATAAGAACTTCCTATTTAACATACATTGCTTTAGTTATATATTCAACTGTTCCGTAAACTCACTAACGGACAACTTTACAAACCCATTCCAATGACATACGTACTATGCTGAAGTCCGTTGCATAAACACCTTGTCTAAGCATTTTGTAATACGCAGCCATGATTATTGGATGGACAAGATAGGCGCAATATGTGAGACGTCCCAGGGGCACGAACGGACTCCAGGATAAAAGAGTGTTCACATATCCTGAAAAGTGGATTTTCCGATTATTTTAAAGAAAAAAAATTGATAATCTGCACATGTAACTGTAATAGGTATAGTATCATTTAGTTATTTATTTGTTACTTGATTACTATTGTGACATCGATATTATTTATTGAATTTAATTATGCATGTTTGTTATTTGATTCGATATTAGTTTAGCTAAGTTTTCCTTTATAAAAACAAATTTGATTCTTCGAATCTTCGGTCATGCAGTTCTGCAGGTCAATTTACCTCCATTTCCAGTGACGCATGCAAACACGACCCAGGAGACACAGACCCCCCACAGACTTTTGTGGAGAGCGTTGTACATGGCCGCGATACTAACACTCATGGGGTGACCATTAGACTCTTGATATGTGCCATACAACACAACACATGCCAAAGCTGCCACAAAAGCCCAAATCAAAAGGTTCAATGGCTGAAATGCAAACACAGCTGTACACTTAAATCGTTTATCTCGATTTATTTTTTCATGCTGCAATTTATTACAATTTTCGCAGCGAAAAAGAATTTTCGGTTATATTTCACATATGTTTACTCCAGTGAAAAAGAAAATGTTTAGAATTTGTTGCTCATTTTTGGCCAATCAGATCATAACATTTGCAGTGAAAATAAACAGAAACTAAATGCAGATATAGCTAACTCTATGAAGCGGCAGAAAGTCTCGCTTCTCTGTAATTCATTCATCCTGGTCAACATAAATTCAATCACAATATTGTTTCGGGTGTTATATTTACTCTCCTTTTGCTAAATTATTCAAAGACTTGTGTCTTTCATGTAGCTCTAAATATATTTATCCGGGAGCTTAAGATAACAGAAAATACCTATACCTATATGAACACAGTGGCAAAATCACACTAACATTAATGAAAGACGTGTAAATATGTGATAGATGGAATGCACCTTGTTACTTAATATGTGAAAGTTTCATTATATTTTTCAAAATAGCGCAGCGTTTATTAAAAGTTTCAATCGAAACATGGTTTCAAAAGATGCAGATTGATGAAGTTTTGATGGTCGTCATAGTGATTTCATTGAGAAATATTTTATTTCCTTGTGTGATATGAAGTTGGATATGTTTGATGCTCATTAGTTTGCCTGTTAGTTCCTTTGTTGTATATCGTGTTCTCATTTGAGAACTCAACATTATCTACTTGAACCGAGATGGTAGATGGTAAACACTGCTGATGTATTTCTATTTTTCGAAGTTTGCCTCTACATGCAAGTCACGTGTTAGGTCATTTGAAAGGTGGCGTGGTTCAGAGTAGACGTGTATTTGATGGTCTTTTGAAATTATCAGATGTACGTAAATGAATATATTTATGGAATTATGGGGCTAGAATACCTCTTTATCTTACTTTTGAATTTCATTAGACCAGTTTTGAATTTCCTAAATAACCGCGTAGGATTTAAAGTGAGTCCTCTGCAGAACAATACATCTGCGTGTTGCATTTAAATTCATCATTCGTCTCCCTTATTCTGTATTTGTATTGTCTCTCATGTACAATCTTTTGACCCTACTGTGGTTTTAGTTAATATTATAACGACATGATTTTCTTGCTTCGTGAGAATACTAAAACGTACATGAATGAGATCAATACAGGAACAAACTGCTGTGTGGACGATAATCTACAAAAGAAAATCGAAATTATCAGCACTATATATTGATAAACCTACCTTTGAAATTTTATATTTGTTGCCAGTCTTGTAAAGGATATATCCGGTCAAAATCCCCACAATATAGGGTCCCATACGGCAGTAGGGTTTGATGTAGTACTCCGGGAAGTAGTTGGCAGCGTGACTGAAACAACCGCTTATTCTTAGTATTGTGACATCCGTTAGTCAGAATATGTTATTTTCCACAAGAAAATGAGATAATGCAAAAAACACATCAGGCAAAAGATGAACATATCCGTAGCTATGCCATCGATTTTATCAATTTTTTGTAGACAAGTTAAGAGAAGAAGACTTACGGGCTTGGTATAAGCGTGAACTGCGAAGATGGCAGCTGATAGTGTGCGGAAATAACGGCAGGAGTTATTGTTACACCCAACAAGAACATGGCACAAACGAATCCTCCAATTTTTTTCGAACTGAGAAAAATAAAAATAAGAAAATTATAACAAATATGCATGAAGAAAAATAAATGTAATTGTTTTGTATTGTAATATCTTACTTTCGTGTCATTCATGTCTGTATACATTCTGAAGCCACTCTTTATATTTGACTATGATCGTGATTGTTTATAATTATTTATGACACATCGATATATGATAAATATTTGTATATAAAACTGTAAACTAGTCTTCTTAAAGTACGTCAGATGAAATGATTACTCAACAATATATCAAATATCTTAATGCAGGTCAGTTTCATACAACGATGTTTGTAGGTTTTAAAAACTGCTCTGTTCGCTTGTTGAGTACTTACAAGTAGAGCGGGACCAACAAAAGAGGACTGATAACGTAGAACTGCATGTCATTGGCCAGATACCACGACCAGGCAAAACACTATAAGTAGACATTATTACATAACTAGGTCGCTAATATAAAATATCATATAATTTATTTCAATGTATTATATAAACACAATTACTTGTAATTAGAGGGGATACGATATAACACAGGACATTCCAACCGTCAGTGAAGTAGCCAACAGCTACCTCAATGAGGTCCTGCCAAAATAAACCCTAGTTGTTTACGAGTAAAAACGAACCAAACAAATAGAAAAAAAGTAGACTTCTAGGCATTCAATTATTTTCTACTTACCTGTTTGTCGACTTTGAGAAAATTGTTCAAATATATTAGATTGGTCCACCAGGAATCCTTACAGAAATCAATTTCGAATCCAAACGGCGTCCACGTAGGACCATCTCCAAAGTAACGGAACAGGGCAATATCTATCATCATTACTAGCATGTATGGCGGTGTCAACCTAAACAGAAAAACTGATGCACAATGAGGGCATTGCGAAACTCTTAAATGCAAGAGGTGCGTACTTGCAAGCAAGGATTGAACTTGTTACTTCTCTTATTAGGCCTAGAAATACGCCACGTTGTAGAAGGTTCTAGACTCAGAACAGCGGTTTAGAAACAGAAATGCTGAAACTTCTATAAGGTTACAGTCATGGTGTTTACAGAAACAGTTTAATTGAATAGGTAATAAGATTGAGTTGAACATCAAGAATCAAAGTTTAATCATGCGAGAATGAAAGACGTTGCGATCTTTTTGAAAAAGTTATATCTTTATATCCTATATAATAAAATATGAAAATAATTCTATATTGAAATTGACTGACTATTTCGTTTTAAAAAATATTCAACAAACACAGAATTATAGGGATATCCTTGAAAAAATACAAGTAAAATACTATCTGTTGTCACGGAAAAAGTAAGCGTTTTCTGCTTCATTGACGTCACCCGCCAGGTAAACCTTGTTCAATCCAAGTAAATAATGTCACGTTCTCAAATGAGAACAATGTTAATAAAAGCAAAAATAACGTATATACTAACGAACAGCTGATAACGATAAGACGTATTATAATTCCAAATGAGATTAAGGGATTGTATAAGGACGAGCAAGAGAATACTTTTCAATAAAAATTGAATTAGATACAACATAGTAATTCACTTAATTCAATTGTATCGAACATGAGGTTTATGTTTTCCTATGACCCTTTTGTGATACTAGTCTCGGGTATTCTATACCAAAAGTGAACTATCGGAAATGCAGTTCTTTGTTTACTATTAATTCGACTCTATATATGTCTAATAAGACTTGCCTCCAGAACCTGTGGAAGTAGAACATGAACCAGTTAATACGACCTCTCTCCCTTTTCATCTCCTTCATGAACAAGTAAGAAACCAACAGACCACTGAAAAAAACAAATCAATATCAATATCAAAGTTAGAAATCGGTAGACCACGGATAAAATCAACAATCTATGTCAATATAAAAATAGGAAATCGGTAGACCACGGATAAAATCAACAGTTAATATCAATATTATAGTTAGAAATCTGTAGACCACGGATAAAATCAACAATCTATGTCAATATAAAAATAGGAAATCTGTAGACCACGGATAAAATCAAGTGTCAATATCAATATAAATGTTAGAAAATCAACAATATATACATTTACTAAAGGAAGGAGACGGCGGACATTTGACAAAATCAACAATAAATATCATTATTATTGAAGTAAGAAATGGGCCTGACCACGGATATAATCAACAATATCAATGTTAGAAATCGGCAGACCACGGATAAAATCATCAAAAACGCCATAATCCAACTTAAAAATCATACTATTATTTAAGTAAGAAAACAGCAGATCACTTACAAAATCACAAGTTTTAAATAAAGCAAGGAAATTTTATTTACTCTTTTGTGGTTTCTCGGTTTGAATATAAAATTTGAGCTGTCATCTTTATATGCATCTGGGTTTTTCTGGGTGTTTTTTGCCGAATCTTTTACCAATCATTATTTATTACCGGCATTATATCTTCCTTAATGATACTAGCTTGTATATAAAACAGACAATATTTAGAACTGATTTTATGCTGAGAACATGGTATGACAACAGAGTCTGTGTAAATAACAAGCGCTTTTGACTTTGATTTTAAATTTAGCTTGAACTAGACAAACAGTGTTAGATCTTTTAAGTAATAGAATAAATTACCTTAGGGTGAAGAAAGTATCCACAGACAACAGTGCATTATCTATAGCCATAAAACTTGGTCGCTTTAACATCTTTTGCATGAATGACAGTGGGTTTACTGAAACACAAAATTGTATCGCATTAAGCACCAGGAATAATAATATGTTTACTGAAACACAAAACTAGGTCGCTTTAGGGTCGTATTCAGAAATGACATTGACTTTAATAAACTGAAAAAAATATCACTTTAAGATCGTATTCAGGAATGACAATGGTTGCAATGCATAATATAATATATTCATGGGATATATTATGTAATATATTCATGGGATACATGATGTAATATATTCTCGGGATACATTATGTTATATTAACAAAAGATGAAATTATATAATATATTCATGGGATACATAATGTAACAGGTTCACGGAATGCAGTATGTGATGAGCTGTTCGGAAACACCTTGTAAAATGCTCTAAGTAACATGAGGTAATATATCGTTTTTATATACCAGAAGCCTACTGTAAGAAATGAAACGAAGGTATCGTTGTTAAAGATAGTTTAACTATAGCTATGTATGATATTGTACAGATAAAATATTAGACGAAAGCTGAGAAGAACCGTACTTAGTGTATTTTTTGAGTAGGTTTTAAATCCTTGCTCACGTAATCCAACCCTTCATACATACCATAAGTCTGAAATAATAACGCGAAGACGTAGGTATGTCCGAGTATGACCCAGGTCATGCTGAGGAAACGAATGCCATTGACGGCCCCTAAAGTTCCACCAGCTTGTTCTGTACTCAGTAGCTTTCTTCCGTTAGTCCATACAGAAAAAGACAAAACTAGCTTTGCGCATATTCCTGTTTGAAAGAAGATTATGTATAACAATAAATACCATGTATATATCAGTTTTAAAAATACATAAACGACTTCCGGAAGCTGTATTTAATAAAGATAGAACTAGTTGCAAACGAAACGATGAGATACAATTTTTTGTAATTACAGAAGGGTCGAGTTATACAAGCATAATTTCGGAGTTATTTCAAAACGGTGTAATCTCCGACAAAGAGATATGGCTTGGAATATATCACCTTAATACTATCAACCTCCATGAAGATAGTAGGGTTATGATGGAAAGCAAATACATGTATGTAACAGTGTTAATTTAGCATTATTTACCAGGATAATTTGAAACAGGTTTGTTGACCTTTGTTCGGACGCCGGCATCATGGACTTTGTAAAGGGATCCTGAATCATTTCCATTTGTTTGAATGTGCTGAGAAATAGCGTTTAGTTCGAGTTCTATTTGCTGATGGTTGACTCCGTTTTCACCTTTGGAAATTTGGGATATCCCATTAGATGTTTTATCAGAAGCGTCCTCCACTTCCACAACCGTTGACTTGGCTATTCTCTCCAATTCTGGAGAGACGATGAATATGTCAAAGATGGTCGCAAAAACCATCAAAGCCAGGAAAAACGAACAAACAATTCTGAAAAAAAGTTATTACTGATGACATTAAGCTGAATATAGACATGCTTTATTAGGTGTAAATCGAAGCATATTGCTTTCAAGATCTCTATTTTTATCATTTTTCTTATCTAGATTGAAAGTTTCGTTACATAAATAAACACGGAGTAACACAGGAAAAATCGAATGCATGTGTAATCAACGAGTTCGTCTTTCGTTTTTATTATTATTTTCTTTCTTTCTTTAAATTCATCTCCTAATTCAACTACTGAGATAAACATTTAAACAAGACTTACATAGCAACGATCGCCCGTGTGTCGTATTCAATTTCTGTTTTACATAAGGCGTAATTAGCATTAAGGGGTTGAGACACTGGGATTGACGCAACCACTGTAAAATAGATTATGACATAACATTACAGTATTTTCTCGAAAGTAACATTACCGTCACAGAAACTACCAGTCCACTTGGATCACTTTTGAACTTTGTCCATATTCCTTAATTTTATCAAAAAAAAATACATTGTGCTGGTAATATCGATATCCATGCATTATCGCACATGCAGCACAATCTGACCATATCATATCAGACCATTCGTTTTTAAAATGTATAAATATGATTTTGTAATCAAACACCATTACGTTGGTGTGAATTATATATACAAATCTATTTTTAAAATCGATAGATCCACTTTTTTTCAATATCATAATTTTCAGAAGTGAAATTGGAAGGTTGATTAAGTTTTAAGCATGGGAATAACAAGTGGAAAATGATGTCAGTTTGGTTAAAACGTCTCATTCTGGGTTGAAATCAAACAACGATGTCATTATTATCGATCCTTAATCTACGTCATACAAAGGAAAACATACATTTCACAATAACCCATGTTTATTTCACAACTGACTCAGACATAGGATGTCTCATCTATGTACAGTTACCCGACAACTGTCAGTGCTGAGCCAAGTTAATCACAAAAGTAGCTGAAAGATATCTGTCAAACCGTATAGAGGTTGATCTTTGTATCATGACTAATTTTTGATTTCGTTATCTATTTTCTCCACCTTGTTAGTCAGTATTCGGCACGTTGATTGCGAAACCGACGTTCCTGTCTCACTTTATAAACATGGTCGCCATGGTGTGTTGCTACGTTTATAGTAGGTCAAGACTCCAGGCATCTCTAGATATGGTTGTATCACGCAAAATCAACGTGATAGTAAAATAGATCAAATGGGCTACCCAATTGTTATCATCTATCATTTTATATATATATATATATATATATATATATATATATATATAAGATTTCGTGTATCTTATGATAATAATAAAATAGGTTAAAGCAACAGATATATTTCCTATCATTTCATTTCCTAATTAAATTTTATCAAAACTTATGCTGATAGAACATGATAAATAAAGAATATTAAATAATATATTATATTAGAATATACATACAAAAATAACATATTATCATTATAGTAATACACGTAATGTAGGATAATAATAATCAGTTATCATTAGAACAACATTAAGAAAACACCCAGTATTAAGTTTGAATATTGTATGAAATTATACAACTACAACGACAAATAAGGAATATCTATATCTAAAATGTCTGTGTATAAGCTAAAATGTATCGAGCAGTTTCACTTTCAAAAACAGAATCCATATACTCAGTTCTTCATCGATAGCATCCTCTTACATTCAACTTAATAAAAAATGAACACTGAAAAGACCTTGTTGCAATATATAGTAGGCACAAAGCACTATAACTGTTACTAGACATACACTCTAATTAAGTAATATATACATGTGGACGTAGTATTTCTTGTTTTTGTTTAATAATACAGACACAGTGACTCTAATATCCTCACATTTTTATTTACAAGACAGCATCGGGCAGGACAAAATGATTATTATAATACCATGATTATTAAATGAATGGTGAACGTTCTTTAGGCTACACTATCAATCATTTTATGATTGCTAGCTAACCCGGTTGATGTAATACAGAAATAACAAAGGTATGAGACACCAGATAAGAAATCGCATTTGGTACGCTGTGTAATGACTTGGGGATGCCAGTAGCATTGAATAAGTCAGAGGACCCTACTTCTGTTTTAGTTTTCTTATGCTTTGAAAGTGATAGTGTTGTTACGCATGTAAGAGTGTCATCTTCTATAATATACTCCCTTTAAAGAGGCGAAATCACTTATAGGTCGCTTGGTGGTTTGTTCAATGGTAAATCCTTTTGGCATCGCTTTTAGGCGACGTTTCTACAAGTCTATATCAAGTGCAAATCACCTTAACAGAGTTACAAAAGGTTTGCGATAAAAATGCCTGGTCGAAATAATGTTTTAAGTTCAAAAATAAATGGCACATGTCTTTTTCCTTATCAAAAGAAATGAAGGAAATGCCAACATGGCATAATTGTCATAATCGAAACTCAAATTCCAAAAAACTAAGGCAAATTATGAACAAAAGAAAGATTTACGAGGAGACTCCTGTAAAAATACAAGGAGAATAAGACCAGGTTTTCCGGAAGAGTAAGCGTCTTCAAAATTTGTCAACAAATGTTACAATTTCTTGTCTTAGCAATATAAATATGGTACAACAAGCTTAAAGGCAAGTGCATTATATTCAGGTAGGAAAGCCAGACTTTTATTTCCATAGATTTAAAGTGAGTTCAAAGGGAAGTAGAGTAATATCCTGCACTCTTATTTGGCGGGTTTGATACAGAACGGTTTAATTATCATTCCTTTCCACGCAGGGAATCCCATGTGAAGCTATCACAACGACAGGGCGTTGTTGTCGCCAGGAATACAAACTTTATATTAACATGCTTGAAGGACAAGTGGGTATAAGTTTCATTTTTCTTGTTGATCGACCATGCTGATAGATCTTTCTCGTTTAACCATCCATATGTGGATAGGTGTAATGGTAAAGTCGAGAAACATCTCAGCATCTTGGAGGGGGAGGGGGGAAATTGTGTTGCAGTTTAATAGCGACAACCTCAAAGTTAGGAAAACAGTGTTGTTGTTGTTGTTTTTTTTTTTTTTTTTTGTGCCAAGCGCGTTGTATACATACTATCTGTATTGTTTTCTATATTAATAGATATTCTGGCCAAGATCGTTTCAATGTGGTGTCAATGAAGCATTTAGGGTGTGATAAGTGCTTGAGGAACGAAACAGCCGTATGTTAAAAAGTAACATATTTGGCCCTGCTGTATCTAGCTCCGAATTGATATCAAATGGTGTTTTTCACTTATTCGTCTTTCGTACACTGTTGTAGGTCGTAAGTAGATACTGCTGGCGAACGATTCGTACGCAAAACTTGTGATAACCTGCATGACACACTTTCATTAATTCGAAATGTGGCAAGTTTCAGAATATACACATGTATGTGACGTTCTTACAAAATTACAGATTTCTTTTACACAAAAAAATATAATGATAATTGAATTATGGGCTAGTGCAATTCCCCGTCTATATCTATAGATTTCAACATTCCTCTCGATCACGTTTGACATTTCTCAATCGCTTCCTAGACTTTTGACGGGTCTTAGAAGGACATAAAACTGTGTATTTTCTATCTGTCCTATAAATATTAAGTCAAATATATCATTTACAATCGACGCAGCAACAGAAACCAAACAAAAAACAACAAACAAGCTAAAAAAATCATTCATTTAAAACAGAATGCCTAAACGATTCAATAGTTTCAGTGTTTACCTATCTCAATTTTTCACGACAACAAATCGTACCTCTGTGTGATTAGATCAAGTTCTTACGTCAGTCTGTTCTAAATAAAGTGTGTGCTTATGTTAGCCCTAGGTACATGCAAACTGAATAAATAAAGTGGGAAAGAATGCTATTTAGTATGAAATCAAAAGACGTTTACCTTTCTAACCGTTTGGCATAAATGTATACTGTAACTTATTTTAAAGTTATTAGTTTTACAGGGATAGATTCAGCTGATGGAATTTAGTCCCAAATGTTGGTTCTTTACAGGGATCGACTCAACTGTTGGAATTTGGTCCCAAATATTGGTTCTTCACAGGAATATACTTACCTCATGCAATTTAGTCCAATATGTTGGTTCTTTTCAGTGTTCGATTCAACTGATGGAATTTAGTCCCAGATGTTTGTTCTTCACAGGGATCGACTCAACTTATGATATTTAGTCTCATATTTTGGTTCTTCAGGGGGATCGACTGAACTGATGGAATTTAGTCCCAAATGTTTGTTCTTCACAGGGATAGACTTACCAGATGGAATTTAGTCCCAAATGTTTGTTCTTTACAGGGATCAACTCAACTTAAGATATTTAGTCTCAAATTTTGGTTCTTCAGGGGGATCGACTGAACTGATGGAATTTAGTCCCCAATGTTTGTTCTTCACAGGGATAGACTTACCTGATGGAATTTAGTCTCAAATGTTGGTTCTTCACAGGGATCAACTCAACTTAAGATATTTAGTCTCAAATTTTGGTTCTTCACAGGGATAGACTTACCAGATGTAATTTAGTCCCAAGTATTGGTTCTTCACAGGGATCGACTCAACTGATAGAATATAATAATCCTAAATATTTGTTCTACCGACAGATACCTGTGTTATAACACATATGATTTCGTTAGCTGGCATGTTTCCTGTACACTTAATCTTCAATGAAATGTAATAATCATTAGTAAATGGTTGAAGCAGACTTACACGTTTTAGAGATATTTAGCACATCATAATAGTTGCAAGTCTTCGGAAGACACATTCCCAAGTACAGCGTAGCCGTCTGGTCCTACAAATACACATTTTCATCAAATTCTTCACCATCTTTCATAAGAAATTAAAGTAATGCAAAGAAGAGGGGATTATGACGTCAAACTTTGATTCTTAGATTGTCGTTTTACATGGCACTTCCTGTTGTTATGTTGTTATTTCGGTTGGGTTTTAATGGGGTGGCGTTTTCCACTAGTCTTTATTAACACCCGTTTCCTTGCTTAAAGATGTTAAATAATGATATGTGGTACAACGAAGGCTTTGCGTGTTTAGGAGGATATTAAGTTGCTTTTTAAATATACATTTTTTCTATAATTTATGCCTTCAGTTGAAAGATATTCGAGGTCATGTTTCTACATATGCATTTCAAATATACATCTTCTCGACGTTTTGTATTACCTTCATTCTATATTTTAATTACTTACTGTGATATGGATTGGAAAACTAATTCCGCAATATGTTACTTCAAATGGTGTCTTGCCATTGACTTCCGGTTGTATAGCTAAACATTCATCGAAATTTCCAAGCCAATGAGTACTTCCTGTCGAAATGCCAGACTGTGGTTTTCCCCAGGCGTCGATCACTACAAAACAATATTCCATATTAGGTAATAATGACGCAAGAGCGTTGAAATCATGTATGATTTACTTTATTACACGGAAAGAACACATGTAGTTTCTAGATTCGGTTAAGTTATCACTTATCGATAAGAACTGTAATAACTGATCGTTACTTTTTTAAGCTAAAGAAATCGTATATCTATGTATTGTGCCAAATATCTGTATGTTTTGTTACATCTACAAAGCAATGATATTCTACTCGTTTTGTTAAAATTTCATTAATTTCTAAAGAGGAGGACATCCCTACACATCTTCCTTCATCTTCCATACCAAGCCCAAAACACATCCCTTATCTTTCTATACCCAGTCCCACACACATCCCTTATCTTCCTATACCCAGTCCCACACACATCCCTTATCTTTCTATACCCAGTCCCACACCCATCCCTTATCTTTCTATACCCAGTCCCACACACATCCCTTATCTTCCTATACCAAGCCCCAAACACATCCCGTATCTTCCATACCCAGCCCCACACATCACATCCCTCATCTTCTATACCCAGCTCCACACATCACATCCCTCATCTTCTATACCCAGTCCCACACGCATCCCTCATCTTCTATACCCAGCCCCACACCACATACCTTATCTTCCATAACCAGCCCCACACACATCCCTCATCTTCTATACCCAGCCCCACATCACATCCCTCATCTTCTATACCCAGCCCCACACACCACATCCCTTATCTTCCATAACCAGCCCCACACACATCCCTCATCTTCTATACCCAGTCCCACACGTATCCCTCATTTTCAATACCCAGCCCCACACCACATCCCTCATCTTCTATACCCAGCCCCACATCACATCCCTCATCTTCTATACCCAGCCCCACACGTATCCCTCATTTTCTATACCCAGCTCCACACATCACATCCCTCATCTTATATACCCAGCCCCACACAAATCCCTTATCTTCCATACCCAGTCCCACACGCATCCCTCATTTTCTATACCCAGCTCCACACATCACATCCCTCATCTTATATACCCAGCCCCACACAAATCCCTTATCTTCCATACCCAGTCCCACACGTATCCCTCATCTTCTATACCCAGCCCCACACCACATACCTTATCTTCCATACCCAGTCCCACACGTATCCCTGATCTTCTTATACCCAGCCCCACACAAATCCCTTATCTTCTATACCCTGCCCCACACCACATACCTTATCTTCCATAACCAGCCCCACACAAATCCCTTATCTTCTTATACCCAGCCACACACACATCCCTTATCTTCCATACCCAGTCCCACACGCATTCCTCATCTTCTATACCCAGCTCCACACATCACATCCCTCATCTTCTATACCCAGCCCAACTCAAATCCCTTATCTTCCATACCCAGTCCCACACGCATCCCTCATCTTCTATACCCAGCCCCACACACCACATCCCTCATCTTCTATACCCAGCCCCACACCACATACCTTATCTTCCATAACCAGTCCCACACGCATCCCTTATCTTCTATGCCCAGCTCCACACATCACATCCCTCATCTTCTATACCCAGCCCCACTCAAATCCCTTATCTTCTATACCCAGCCCCACACAAATCCCTCATCTTCCATAACCAGCCCCACACACATCCCTTATCTTCTTATACCCAGCCCCACACATATTATTAAAGTGTACTTAAGTGTCATCCAGTGCGTCGTGTTCAAATCACATTATAAAATGTTAACGTGATAAGTTAAAGTGTACTTCAATGTCATCCGGTGACATCGTGTTCAAATGACATTTTGAAGTGTACACGTGATAAGTTAACGTGTACTTCAGTTTCCTCCAGTGACATCGTGTTCAAATGACATTATCAAATGTAGACGTGAAAAGTTAATGTACTTCAGTGTCATCAAGTGACATCGTGTTCAAATGACATTATGAAATGTACACGTGATAAGTTAGTTAACTTCAGTGTCATCTAGTGACATCGTGTTCAAATGACATTATGAAATGTACACGTGATAAGTTAGTTAACTTCAGTGTCATCTAGTGACATCATGTTCAAATGACATTATGAAATGTACACGTGATAAGTTAGTTAACTTCAGTGTCATCTAGTGACATCGTGTTCAAATGACATTATGAAATGTACACGTGATAAGTTAGTTAACTTCAGTGTCATCTAGTGACATCGTGTTCAAATGACATTATGAAATGTACACGTGATAAGTTAGTTAACTTCAGTGTCATCTAGTGACATCATGTTCAAATGACATTATGAAATGTACACGTGATAAGTTAGTTAACTTCAGTGTCATCTAGTGACATCGTGTTCAAATGACATTATGAAATGTAGACTAAGAACTTAAATGATAAACTATTCCTTTGTTATCTCCCTCTGTATTACACACAAATATAGGAAAGTTTGAGTACATAAACAAAGTACTGAACCCTCTTAGTTAAAATGTAATGATAACATACGAGAGCTTTAGAGAGACTCCTTTATCGATATCATATCTACAATGGAATGTACATAGCAACACAGGTTACCGGATTGTGTAATATAATGGCTGTTCATTGTGGACCAATTCTGATTTGGCATTACTACACACTTCTGATACTGAGCTTAAAAACATTAGAAACCAATAAATAAAAAAAACACGTATTTCAAATTAAACGAGTTCAGCTTTGTTTGTTTTAGAGATATTGTCAAAAGAAATAAGAGAGCTGGATAACAGACCTTTTTTTCTTTTTAATATAAACGATATTTCTTCAAATTCCTAAGTAACAAGGTCATATTAGCGATGGCAATCAGTTTTCAGTTAAACATTTATTAAAATATGTAGTTATTGTAGATAAGATTAGCAATTATCCAGTTTTTTCTATTTTATTTATTTTAATTAAAAAATCAATCAATCAATTTTAGAAAATATTTAAACAAACCTATTACCCGCCGATCAACTTAAATACATGATACAAGGTAAGCTTCATTGATATATGTATGGTGTATAATGATATGACTTAAACGATTAAATAAAAAGGACACCACAAAACCTACGTTTTTGTACACTGTTTACCTGGAATACTTCTGTTTGATATCAATTATACATGTATGCCTCTGAAGAGATGAATCGAAATGAAACCGGAATAACACAAGAAGTTGTATAACGGTTCTGTAACTACTTAGTTAAACTACTAAATACGTAATTTTAACTGGAATCACATTCAAAATGATTATAAAATTTTGTATGCAACATATTAACATGACAACCATTTTGATCCTTTCTTGGTTTTGTAATTTAAATGGAAACCTTTCGAACCTAGTGCCAATTATGGACACGATTTCATTTAAAATGAATTTATTAAATAACTCGTATGGAGAGCTTCCACAAACATTACCTTGTTTATAATGGTAGGTAAACTTGATTTATATCGATATACAAATTCGTGTTTCACAGAAGGTACTTACTTCCCAAGGCCCATGTTTTCTGCTGTAGTACCTGGGCACCAAGTATCCCCATAGAGCCTTTACATTCTGAGCTTATTTGACTGTAAGACTCCTGCGATTTCGCGAAAGGATTTAAACTAGTGTTGTTTTCCTGTAGGGTTTGCACTGCCGATAATGCTCCTTGTGCAAGTTTGAGGGCACCATCAATTTGAGAACTTGTTACATTGATGTTTAAATTTCGAAGAATGTTCATCAAAGTTTGTTCGTTCATCATTGGCAGAAGCGATGAGATTTTGGACACTTGCTGTAGTAAGTCACCCGTCATCGAATTACCACTCAACAGCTTTATACCCTGATTCAAAATACTCATATAGTCCTGTGGATTGGGCGCTGGCTGATGAGACGGAGATGGTGTTGTGGATTGTCCTTGAACATCCATAAGGGTAAACGTAAACAACGCAAAAAGAACGAAAGCCGCTGTGACTTTCGCCATGATGGCAGTGGTGACAACGTACTTGTGAACCCCGTTACAGTTTGAAGCTATCTAAAACTGGGGTAGATAAACGACAGTAATATCCGTATATATACGCCACCGCATGTAGTGAGTACAGGCATACCAGCTATAATGTCATATCCTGTTTTTTAATCAGCATTTTAACATACCAGCTAAATTGTCACGTAATGTTTTGCAATCATCACTTTACTGTGTTATTGATATCTACAATAATGATCTTGTAGGGAAAGACAAATTTACTTGTATGCTGTTAACTTCCGGTTCTATAAAAGCATGAGATAAAGGAAACGATAATCACATGCTGTCTTTAATACAATTTCTTCCCACTGCTAAGTCCACCCCCATAAACAGCAGCAGGAAAGTTAGTGAAGCAGTAGACAACATTTGTTGAAGTTCTAAACAGCATGATTTACCGGAAATAACGCCTGCTTCAGTATCAACCATGAAACATTAATTGTTACACTGATAATCATGTTATGTTGTATTAATAATGTTCATATAAGGATAGATCGCGACGTTGGGTGTGGTATAATTAACATGATAAAGGGTGGTCGAGTGGCGCAACGGGAACGCACGCCTTTCACCTTGCCGGCCGGGGTTCGATTCCCAGAACGGACATAAACAGGTAAGGGGTCACCTGCCTGACCATGTGAGTTTATTGTTGGCTCTGATGTAAGAGCAGGAAGGGTCTTATTGTGGGAGGAAACCGGAGTACTCGCCGATCTCTTAACTTTTCACGTCCGTTCCGGGAATCGAACCCCGGACGACTTGGTGATGAACAAGCTGTCCCTCAAAGATCACTGTTAATAGATAATGATTTAACTGGTACACCATAAAAACGTAATATAATAGATACGAGCTCTGCTCTGAAATCAAAATTCAGCATTTAAGAACTCTTTTGCTTATTGTCATTTTTTTTTTTTTTTTAATCAAAAAATGAAAATATGCTGCAAACAAAAGTCGCCTCAAAAATAACATAATAATAAGCAAAACATTGTTATTGACAAAAAATGAACAATAAAAATAAGCCAAATGTATATTATATATAACATATATTCTGTGTAGCGGTAACGGAAGTGAATTTTTAGGGGGGAGGAGTTGTTTATTTGGTTTTTTTTTTTTTTTTTTTTTTTTTTTTTTTTTTTGTCTCAATCCTCACTCTAGTAAATCAGAACTGGCGTACATGTATGCGTTGCTAAACAATTGTATTCAAACAGTTTTAACCGAATAGAGAACTTTAAATATTCCTCCTTGCTTTTAATACCATTTGTAATAATACAATCACTACAGGGACTTCAATGTTAACTTTTTAAAAACAAAGACACCATCCACTCTCTTTACCCGATCTTTTAACTTATTACAAAAATTATTCATTATACCGACCTATCAAATTCACTAATATATCATGTTTCAGTATATTATGTTATTAAGGATGTAATAGTTAGAGAAATTTCTTAGATTATCCTTACAGATACAACTGTCCCTCTCATTGCTAATTGCATTTTCATAAACTATATCCTCATAATTTCAAACGACATATATGGGATTTCGATCGTGTTGATACTAATAAATCTCGGGGAGAATTTTTTTCTGTCAACGTTGAATAAACTAGATGAATTGAGAGAATAGATGTTCTTATAACACAACCGGTAGAAGATTAGAGTGTGACGTTTTGATGACTACACTGTCATCTTCATCTTATAACACACCCAGTAGAAGATTAGAGTGTGAAGTTTCGATGACTACGCGGTCATCTTCATCTTATAGTACAGCCGGAAATGTTGGTTGATTCCTTACCATCTCGTCACACTATTTTTCGACTTTAGTGTACATAGGATTATAGTACAGCCGAAAAAGTTAGTTTATTACTTGCCATGTCGTTACACTTTTTTCGACCTTAGCGTACATAGGATTATAGTACAGCCGAAAACGTCGGTTGAATTCCTAACTATCTCGTCACACTATTTTCGACCTTGGTGTACATAGGATTATAGTACAGCTGAAAACGTCGGTTGAATTCCTCACTATCTCGTCACACTTTTTCCGACCTTAGTATACATAGGATTATAGAACAGCCGATCATGAGAGATAGTGGCAGCCATCTGTACGTTATCTGAATACTTTGTTGACTGTCTGACTAGTATGTGGGTTACAAAATGAAAATAACCAACGAAAATTGTTATCTGACTCCAAGTTTACTTACGACAAAGTTGTTGAATTGACCATAGCCATAGTGATGGATAAAAAAGACGCACAGAATTAATGGGTAAGAAACGAGGTGAGTGTTAACAAAGATTACGCCCAGAAACCAAAGAAATATTTAAGCAATATTTCTTTTGCAAACTGATGCAAGGGAGACAATCCCAAACAAAAGCCAATAAGTTAGAACACCATAACACAGAAAGACTCGTGAAAGAATGAAACATGCTTTGCGTGTAATAAGTAGGGGCACATCAAAAAGGTCCCGAAAACTGAGCAGTAAATGCTCAATATAATGACTGCGAGTATGATTCGAACTTTATTCAGATAACCGACCTTGAAATTCATACGACAGGGTTGCACAGCGAAAGCACTTTCTGGCTTCATCCCCAGATCAACTTTATCAGTCAAAAAATGGAATAATACACTAGATCTACCGTTTCTATGGTAACAAAGAAAGTGTTCACTGAACAGTTGAAGGGAAGTTTGAAGGGTCTGTTGGAAAAAGGGAATTGAAAACTAACTCTGGTGAAAAGCTTAAATCCAGGGGTATTGCGAATGTAAAAGTTGAAAATATGAGACAGCGTAAAAAATGAAAGTGTTTGTCGTACAAAAGGGCGGAACGTAATTCTAAATTGGCCAGCGATCAAGGCAATCTGAACACCTCCGCTGTCTCCCAAGGTAAAGCTAGACACAGCAGCTTGAGTAAATACAAGTTTTAAATTATGACTGGTGCACTCTCAAGGATGTAAAGGCCAAACAGCATTCAAAACGAGATGCGTTCCTCAATTTGTAAGGCACGAGCAGTGCCATATACAACCAAACCCAATGAGAGTGAGGAAATGGATAGACCAGAACATGGAGGTACGCTGTATTCCGACGAAAATACGCCGTATTGATTGGGCTACACCTCTAGTTCCGGTGACACAGCGTGATAGATTGCTTCGTCTGTGCGCCGATTTTGAAGTGGAAGAACAAGGCACTGAAAGCTGAACAATATTTCCTTGTCAAGCGAATGGTCAAATGTTTTCAAAACCCTACCTCCAGCATACATACCTTCAAATGAAAGTAAGCGAAGAGTAAAATGGTATACTGATGATAAAAACGGAAAAAGGACTTTATTGGTTCATTCTACCGGATTTGAAATGCATCACCTGTGACAAGTGTACCTAGATTACGGTATAGTATTAATTAATATTAATTATGTTTCCTTTCTTATTAAAAAAATCGGAAACCCGGTCAAAATTTGTCGCTTAGTTTTTGAGATATTTGTCGTTAAATTCACCGTTCGGAACCGGTTTGCACCTGTCGATGGAGGCTAATTAACACACTTCCCAACTTCCGGTTAACAGACCGGAAAATCCCGTGACGTCACAAGGGTAGCGCTTGGTCTAAGAAATGATAATGTCGGACAGTGATAACAGCGAGTGCGAGTGGTTCGAAGACTCAAACAATTCGGAAGAATGCAGCCTGAATTTAAGCTTTGAATCTTCTGATTACGACACGGAGGTTATAGAGAGACAAGCTGGTATTCAACCATACCAATTTGAACCCGAGGTAGATGGTGAAAGCAGTCCATCTTCACCTGCGTCGTCTACACGTAGCGATGATAATGCTGATCGCCTGGGATCCTTAGACTGGTATGTTCAGAGATGTTAGCTTTCACGTATGATTATTTTTTTTCCAGGAATTTTCCCTTTTCAAAATGCATCGTGCATGTTAACAAATGCGGATTTTCAGGATTTTTTCTCCACTTGCTCAACCTCACAAGTCCGACTTTGTCGAGATAATAACAGCCAATGCCTTTTTTTTGCATTTACAAATATTTGACTTTTACATAATACCCACCCCTAAATATTTTGTGTTACATAAATTAATGTGCATAGCATTTCTTTTTACAAAGGAGAACATTTCCTGGAAACAAAGTGTATTCTTTTGCTATGTCAAATGGTACTGGTATGTACTATAAAGTGTTGAATAGAAAACTTCTAACAAGACATTTTAAAGGTATTTTCACACCAACATACTAGTGAATTATGTATAAAACACAGAAAATTTTATATGTTACAGGTGTCTTTGCGGTAACTGCAGTCTTATGCCTACCATTGAGGAGTGCAGGTGCTGTAGTGAGATACACAGTGTACTGAACACAAAAGACGACATACCAGGGATACAGTGCATAACAGACCATCCTGGATTTGGGCCAGTCTGTTTGGATATTTATGTGCTGAGAACATCTTATTTCCAGTACAGACAACTTCATGGAGAGATACCAGAATGCCCTGAGTAAGTTATGATGTTTATCTACAGCATCAAATTTATTATTATAAAACTTGAAACATAATAAAATAATTCATTTGTTAAGAAGATATTTTAAAAATGATGTTACAAACTTGTCTATCAAGCTACAGGTCTAAAATACTGCAAAAGAACCAATAACCAGACAAGATAAAATAGATTTTCAATAATAAGTCAACATTTCTGAAAATCTGGTTTGGAATTGTTACACATATGTATTGTAGAGTTACTTGTGTTTACCATAATTCACTAGTGCTTGCATCCTCCGCAGATTAATGGCAAACTTGGCATTAACAATGATTACAGAATATATTGTTCTTGTTTTATCAGGAGATACCGCTATACAGCATACAGACAATTTGTGAGATGGTGTTGGGGGTACTTGGGAAAAAGCATAAGAGTGCCATTACCTGCGTGTGCTGTGAAGATTATTAGAGAAACATTTCCTGCACCAAATGGAAATTTTAAAGGTTTTAATTTTGTGCATTAAAAATATGTGTTGAAAACATTGAAAGAATGACATGAAACAATAAAATTATAATTGATATCTGATTGTTGTTTTTTATTCATATATACACTTGAAACTGTAATAGGATCTGTAAGTCTCGTCATGTGACCTACTAGAACATACCACTTAACTTGAACAATCATAACTATGAAAACGGAGGATTACCAGTAGGTACGTTTTTAAAAACTCCTTGGGAAATGTGCATTTTGTCGAAATTGAAAATACTTTTCTTCTATAAGACTACTACCTAAAACGTCAGTTGGTACACAGAAGTAAAGTAAAACAGACTTGCAGACCATATTAAAAAACAGATGAAAATTCATGTACATGTATGTATTTTAAATGTTCATGTTAAATCTTGATTCCATCAATGCGACAGCTTCCATTTTTACAGGTCTGACAAAACCACTACAGAGTGGTGGGGGTTGGTCTTTAAGTAGCATATCCTCCACTTGCATCGTACTTTTTTCTGCCACTTGTAGCACTTCTGCCATCAGTTCATGTACATAGTCTGTAAGATAAAAAGTACATATACAAGTACACTGGTTTTATTATTTTTTCCAATCACTATTACACAAAATCTGACACTATTGCTAGTAAAGACTTTAAATGTTTTGTATACATGGACATATTTTCCTGCAACTAAAATGCAAGTTGTTAATTGAAGAATCATGTACTGCAATATATAGAATACTGAACCTAACCTAAAATATTGAACTCGTCTTCATATGCAACATAATACTTACCAAATGTTTGTTTTGTTTTGACTTTTCTGACAGTGTATCCACCTTTCTTCTGTTTAGGGTAGATTATCTTGAACATTTTCTCCCCAGCAGATGTCATGGCTTGTTCTCTTCTCACATTTTCATTGTGGTGAAGTGCAGCTAGAATCACCCTATTCAAAGAGATGCAACAATATTTAAACTTTCCTGATTAAGTATCATCAATATCTTAAGAATTAAGACTGGCTGCCTAAATCTTTTACATACTCATTTTAACATATCTTACATCTAGCTACAACACTAAATCTCTTTTAACATTGCAATATTCACCACAGGAGTTTTGAGACAGGTAGACTACTAGTGAATAATGATATTTCCAAAACCTGTTGATGATGTTAGATCTTGAGACAGATATACATATACGATCAACTTGTCTGTACAAATTGATGTCTAAAGAAATAATAGTCTTATGAGAATCATGTGATCATATACCTGCACAACATTCCATTGAATGAAAAGCCATGCATTTTAGGGGCAAACTGGTTAACTGTTGAGTGGTACCCTTCTAGTTCTGAAGTTTGGTGATGTGTTGATAGCATGGGAATGTCCTTTTTCATTTGTGGTGATGTCAACATCAGTTCTAGCTTCTCCATTACTTTACTCTCTGAAAAGTGAAAGTGAGGATTTCAAATGATGAAGTAAAAATATAATATGGGATCATAAGGAATTTAGAACACGAATATTAATTCCATGCTAAGAACAAGAAACTAAAGATACCATTTTCCTGGATGTGCTTTTCATTCAGGTGAAAAATGTCATTGCTAAAGAAATTAGGCACTTAAAATGTTTTTAAGCAAGTGATAAATGTCATTCGTAATTTAGTTATGATTTGAATTATTGATACGTCACCAATTTCGAACCAAATGAATAAGTAAGCAAGTTAAAGGTAGGATACACAATAATTGAGTCAATGCCATAACAGGAAAAATACCTGGTTTTATCCATTTCTTCTTCCTTTCCTGTGTTCTCAAGTCATCATGCAGACAGCAAGGAAACAGATCACCATGACCATCATGGATATTTTGGACATGGTTTACTACAGAAACCCACTTCTGGTACATCAAAGCGCCATCTGCTGAGGGCGTTGATGCAGGAACCCAGTATAAGTGATTGGTTAAACTTCTTATCCAGCTTTCAAGTTCACCACAATCTCTTTCTTTTGACAGTGCCAACAACTTCTTCTTCAAACCTAAAGAATATTTCATATGCATTTTAATACAAAACCTATTATATTTTAACATTAAAAATTATTCTATACTTTAAATTGAGTTGTGTGTTCATACATTTAATTCCATTTGATATTTATTTAGTCCTTAGGACATGGTCTACAAAGTATCTGAAGTAAAGCCCTTAGCAAAACAAAACAAACTGAAATCAAACTATTTACTACGGTGACTGTTAATACTGATTGGGCTTCTTGTTTTGTTTATGCTAAACACAAACACTTAAAGAAAATGCAATACCTTTTGCAACATGCCATACATCAACGCAGTGATTGGTCTCTGTCATGTTCTCCCTCACCCACTTTCTGATCTGGACATGTCGGTCGGTGACTAGGGTATCTATGTTGATCCCATGGCGTTTTAGATTGTCCACGCTCCGTATTAACCCTTCCTTTTCCATGTTGACACTATGTTTGACTTCATTGCTCTGAAATTGATCAAAATCTTAACATTACACAATGTACCAAAATTAACATAACTCATGTTCTGGAAAGTACATGTAGATTGTAGATATATATATATATATATATATATATATATATATTGAAATTGTTTCTGTATGTATTCATGACCACATTTTCTATCAGCAGTTTCTACATATAAATTTACATAAAATTAACGGGGGCCACAGTCGTCCAGTGGTTAAGCCTGGTCTCAGAAATTGTGGAATATATAATGAGTGGTTTTTTTTTTTTTTTTTTTTTTTTAAATTTTTACGATTAGAAATACCAACCTGAACTAACTGTATATCTACGACTGTCCCTCTGTCCAAATCCATCAGTGAATAACTGCAAAACTTAGCACAGTGTCCGGGGGTATCGCATCGACCATCTCCTCCTATACAAATGTCATTGTCACTTTCGCACATTTCTGCAAAATATTGCACTTGTTTTTCTGTCCACATCCTTAGAATTGTAGGCTGTAAATAATGTCGCTGATGCTTGAAAAACGTGTCATGGCATATTACCGGGATGTCCATAAAGTTAAAAATTCTTAGAGTCTTTGAGGGCAACGATCCAGAAAATAAAATGCTGGCAGACAGCTGGACATTTCCTCTTGGAAGGGATCCCACCATTGACTGGCTTCTCCATTTAAAGGTCCTACCACACATGTCACATTCTTGATGCACACAACACATGGTACCGATCATTCGTGTCACTTCTCCTTGGCATGGTGATAAACAGTGTCTACATTTATCAAAAAGTTCAAGCAGTTTGCTTTCTTCAATTATGAGGAGTCTGTCTCTGCTCTGTCCACTGTGTAGCACATCTCTGCAATACATAAATGTTCATGACATTCTACATACATAATTGCCATAATATGAATGAGGGCACTATGACATGATATTATTATAGAGAAATGATATAAGCAAGACTGAGGTTAGGGTTCTATTCCATCTTGGGACAACACCGTTAGATCAAAGTGCCATCCAAAAAGGCAATGCAATGATGTTTTAGCACACAATGGATTGATATGACTGAGAAAGCATGCCATATCAAAGTCCCGAAACACAAGCCAGAAAGTATCAAAATAAATTATTTTTCTCTGCAAAATGTCAGACATGTTACAACACATACTCATTTTCTTCCATATCTAACTCTGTGTCCGAGTCGTCTGGACCAGAATCCGGATGATAGGAGTCGTCTAGATCTTTACTGTTGGTCTTGAAAAGGTCTAGATGATCTTCGTACTCACTATCACTTTCCAAGTTGGTTTCTTCATCTTTCTCCACCACTGGCTTTAGAAGATTACATTGAACTTCTGCATGTCTCACCTTTGGTCTTGGAGCATGAGTTTGACATCCTATAAGATAAAACAAAATCACAATGCATTAATGCAAGTAAAAATGTCTTGTGATTTATTCAAATATTGAATGAATGGAATAGTAATTTTAAAATGTTGTAATTAGGACAAGTACTTAAAACAGTTTACAGCTGTATTGTACCAACTGGTAATACTCTATTTTTTCATACAGTTATGACTTTTCAAAATGTCACAATCTTGCAGGTCACATGACGAGACTTACAGACCCTATTGACATGCATAAGCAGGTTACAATTTACCTTTCTCCACTGCATTGGGGGCCACTTGTATCCTGACCGTTTTCCTCTTGGGTGGTTTCAGGGAGAGCTGCGTGCCACAGGTTTTTGTCTTTGATGGTGTTTCCTGTAATAGAAACTTTTCTTGTACACGGTAGTTATGATGTACATTAACAGTTGAACCTCCATAACCTATGTATATGTAAGGTGGGAAAAAAAGTATGTTCCTTGACCAACCTTACAAGAGCCCAACAGATGCCCATGGCGATGTTTGACACACAAGATCAGAGACCATTTCACTATTTATGTTGTTTGAAACATGTAGTTTGCTGTGACATATGGAACATTCTGTACATAAAGTTTGGAGTTCCTACATATATGTAAAACAGTGTTGTAAATATGGTGCGGACAAAGAAAAACTATAAAGGGCAATAACTGTAAATCTGGTTTTATACATAACTTTTATAAGAGCAACAACCTTGACTTTTACAGTGCATGTGTGAAAACCTGAATTAAAAGTTTAGGGTCCGTATGGTGACAGTAAACTCGCATATAATTTTTTTGGCCTTATGAGTATCATTTTTAGTACCTTGAAATTGCAGGAGAAATAATCATGGTCATTTCTTGTCTGTACATGTTCCTCTGGCAATTCCATAACCTCATCACTGGCTGAAACATCAGGATCTTCCTCCACCTGAGTGTCTGTGGATACCGTGGAACTCTCTTTCAAACATTGCTCGACTATCTATAAAAAAAAATCAAATTTATCATACAAATAATGTACATGTAGTCACAGTGTAGCTGTTTAATACGTACATTTAAGTTAAAACTGAAGATACCTCGCATACACTGAAACATTTACTGGGAAAAGGTTTATTAAATGCTAAATAGGAGTATTGTCCACTAAGGAAGGCTGCATTACTCATTACCTTTTCTACTCAGATACTACTATAACTTATATGATATACATAGGCCCTAGATCTTCATGTATTATGTAATAATTACCCTTCTGTTCTCTCTTTTTGCGAAAGCAGTCCGTGGTCTTTTGACAGGCGTTTCCTCTACGTTGGTGCAGCCTTTGTTGATCGTTGGCACAGCATCTTTTATTAGCGTTTTCTTTTTCGGTGGTGTACGTCCCATTGATTGAAGAAATCTGTACTGCATCGGGTAGCAGTCCTCACCGAAATGTTCCGAACACAAAACTGAATGTTTTGTTGGCCCGTCCCACAAATCCCTTTTCCTCCGCACAAATGCAGTCCAAACTTTGCATATTTCCGGTCTGTCTAATGGGAAAAAATGAAGTGAAACACCGTCTAAAGTGGTGTTTCCACATCCATACGCTACACATCTCTTCCCACGTGAACGTTTGTTGGTCGGAGTCGCTTCCATAGTTAAGCTAATACTTCGAATTTCGCACGTTTTGAATGAAAATAAATATCACTTGATACGCACAAATATGGTAGGATATAAATACAGGACGAGAAGTATGAAGATTAAACAACCAAACGTCTGTTTCACATATTTTCGACAGTCTACACGCGAAAGTTACCTGGCATGGCGGGTCGTCCCAAATGCTACCCTTGTGACGTCACGAGCAAATAGAGCCTCGATTTGATGTGAGAGCGGTTTATTCAAAGGTATGTTTTTCGGTTTTTGCCGTAAAGCATAAAAACTATAAAACTGAAATGATTTTTTTATATATATTTATGAACGTCTATATACATACCAATTAACAACTATAAATAAACATGTAATCTAGGTAGGTTTATTTCAAAGCATAGTTTCTTTGTTTTCCTGACATCCAAATCCAATAATGTATTTGTAGTTGCCAGAGGACACCGCATTCTTTCTCGTTCACGTTAACAAAGCATTTCTGTGCCCATTAAATCATAAAATGTACGGTCTATGGATAAATAGCATCGGCGACGTTAAATCGTTTATAAATTTGTCATATAATCAATACTTATGGAGCATATTTAAATGTATATAGGATAGTAATGTCTGTTCGATTTCTAAGTTGTGTGAAAATTTTAAAAAACAACAACAAACATATCAAAATTGAAAATTTTTAATCTGGATGTTAATTGATTATCGTGGCCCCATTTCCAAGTTAGTAAATTTCGACGTATCATAAAATGAAGATAACACCCTTAATCGCTTCCATTAAAAGACATTCAGAAAAATAAACAGGATCTAAACAGCAAAGATTGTACACGTTTTGTTACAGGATGTAGGTCAATGTGTGAGTAGAATTTAAGACAAATTTTAATCTTTTAAGTCAGATTTGTAAACATTTTACGATGGTGTTTATACGGAACATTTTTAGGATATAATTACATTTGAGATATGCAACGTAATCACTTAAGTTATATACCAACATAATCACAAAACATACATACCAACATAATGACAAAACTTACATACCAACATAATGACCCAATTAATACACAGACATAACACAAAACTTACATACCAACATAATGACACAATTAATATACAGACATAATCACAAAACTTACATACCAACATAATGACAAAACTTACATACCAACATAATCACAAAACTAACATACCAACATAATCACAAAACTTACATACCAACATAATCACAAAACTTACATACCAACATAATGACACAATTAATGTACAGACATAATCACAAAACTTGCATACCAATATAATCACAAAACTTACATACCAACATAATGACAAAACTAACATACCAACATAATCACAAAACTTACATACCAACATAATCACAAAACTTACATACCAACATAATCACAAAACTTACATACCAACATAATGACACAATTAATGTACAGACATAATCACAAAACTTGCATACCAACATAATCACAAAACTTACATAGCAACATAATGACACAATTAATATACAGACATAATCACAAAACTTACATACCAACATAATGACACAATTAATATACAGACATAATCACAAAACTTACATACCAACATAATGACAAAACTTACACACCAACATAATGACACAATTAATATACAGACATAATCACAAAACTTACATAGCAACATAATGACACAATTAATATACAGACATAATCACAAAACTTACATACCAACATAATGACAAAACTTACATACCAACATAATGACACAATTAATATACAGACATAATCACAAAACTTACATACCAGCATAATGACACAATTAATATACAGACATAATTACAAAACTTACATACCAACATAATCACAAAACTTACATACCAACATAATGACACAATTAATATACAGACATAATCACAAAACTTGCATATCAACATAATCACAAAACTTACATAGCAACATAATCACAAAACGTACATATCAACATAATCACAAAACTTACATAGCAACATAATCACAAAACTTACATAGCAACATAATCACAAAACTTACATATCAACATAATCACAAAACTTACATATCAACATAATCACAAAACGTACATATCAACATGTATAACAGTGCATTTAACTAAAGACCAGTTACATGCTGAAATGTTGATATATAAATATGGACGGGCGTGAAAGTACAGGTTATATCATAAAACATGCAACCAAGTACAAACGTGTCGCAACATTGTAACGAGTGATAACTTACAGATTTTTGCAAAGGATGAATATAATGAATGAGTTTGAAATGGTTCAAGTGGAGTTGAAATCTGATGTTCTGGTAGCCATAGAAATGATTTAAACCTTAACTCAAATATCTAATGTCAATAGAACCGTTCTTTAAACCATATAACATACAAATAGATTGATGATCTTGAAAAAAAATTTAAAGATGAACAAATTACAATAACGTTTTTACCTGTGTAAACAAATTAAAATACCACGTGCTTGTTTTGATATAAACATGTAACACACGTAAGAATATCAAAACAATATCAAAGACAAAAGATAAATGTACCTTCCCAGGGGTCTTGGTATCAAGACGATTATATATGTGTGAAACATAGGAGTGATGTAATACAGACCAAAAAAAAAATAAATAATAATTAGAGACAAAAATTCACATAGAAGAAATGATCCAAAGACAGAAATTGAACAATAAATTTGGGTTGGGGCCGGTCTTGAAATAGAAGGTAATCTTGGTTGAAACAGTCGTTCCTACTACAGTATTCAAAATACTATTTTTTTCAGCAACTATTTTGTCTCCTCCTTGTCCTTGGTAAAGACAGCTTTCTCCAGACGCAGTAATGGAGACTGGAACGCCAGGAAAACAACAAACGCCACCATATAAGTGATGACCAGATGCCCAAGAAACAAATAGATCTGAAAATAGATTATGTTTGTCCTCCAGATAGATCTAAATAATAAAAATAGATAACATATAGCTATGATTGAAAGTAGAACATTGATAGATGTGTAACCGATAACTGATCTCAGTGCCTCCGCTAGTACTCGAATCTGGGACCCCTGATTTACTAAACTGACGCTGAACCGATCAAGCTAAAGAGAAGTTTCTCTCCAACCGAGCGGCATATTGTGGCTAGTTTTTACCAGGGTTACAGACACTCCGTCTGCAGAAAAGAACTCGTCCTCGAGTTTCCACGGGACAATGCTGTTTTATTTCCGAGTCCTTACGTAGACGCAAATGTCACAGAGGTCACAATTCATTTCAGTGCCAACTCTTGGGCTCGAACCCGGGACCCATGACTTACTAGTTGGACGCTCAACAGATCGAGCTCAAGAGAAGTTCTCTCTAGCCGACATATTGCGGCTAGTATTTACCAGTGATATAGTTGTATGGCTATATTTTTACATTAGAAACCGAACATTTTTCTAAATTTTGTGATTTAATATCGACCAATGAATAATTATCCCTATGTATTCGCATGAGTTCCAGTTATATACTGCACAAAACTTATTATGGTTTGATACGAAAAATTGACACAATGGAAATATATCTTGAAAATTGCCAGTGTACAGATACATCGTTCTGGGCATAGGCACAAACTCCAAATTAATTATTCACTGATCATATGTACAGTATAGTCAATCACTGATCACGTGTACAGCATAGCCATTACTGATCACGTGTCCAGCATAGCCATTACTGATCACGTGCACTCGTTCACTGGCCACGTGTACAACATAGGTATTGGGTGTCTATCGTACAACCTTCAAACTCACTGCCAGTGTGTTTTTATAAGAGGACATTTCTTAGTACGAAATATTAGCATCGATTTCATACAAGTAAAAAACCTTACTGTTTTGGTGCTTAATAATATCAGCCACAGTTTTCGTCAATATCTTTTGCATCTTACACAATTTGTGTATAGTATAACTACTTAACACATTCAGTGATATTATCTTCTGTCTAACTCTAGCCTAGCTACAGCAGGATTTATGTTGAAGATTCAACCTACATAGATATTGGTCTTATTGTAATTGTACATTGTTTGTGAGACTGATAAGTAGTTCTAATTTGTATAATAGTTTCATGATAGGCACACAATTCACCAGAAAGAATATAAAACGAGGCGCAAGTCCAGTATTAATATACTTACTATGTTGAGGTTTGTCATGAAGAGTTTTTGGCGGTGTGATCTATAATAGACAGCCGTTACAAGAGGATGGACGAGGTAGGCACAGTATGTCAGACGTCTAAGGACGATGAACGGACTCCAGGATAAAAATGTGTTCACAAATCCTGAAATTGTTGTCAATTTGTATTACATTTATCTTAAAAAAAAAATCAGATATTTTAATTAATCAATTTGATATTAGTCAAACATCAGTGTGATTAATACGAAAATGACATCAAATACCTCCATTTCCGGTCACGCATGCGAATACAACCCAGCAGACAATAGCGCCCCACACGGTGCGATGGAGAGCGTTATATAAGGTTGAAACTTCAACACTTGTGGTACTACCGCTCATCTCCGGATATATTCCATACAATATTACACAGGCCAGAGCACTCATCACTATCCATATAATTATGTTAACGACCTGAAACCAAAATAAAGAAATTTCGATTTTGTCGCATAAAGCATGATAAGATAAAAATGAGTGAAACGCTCTTTTCATTCATAGCTAGATGACTATACACATGACAAAATATCTCATACCTACCCCTCATATAAAAGAGAAATACATATCCTGTCATTTTCGAGCTAGCACTTTATATTATGTTCCTTCCCTACATAAAAGATGTACAGATTAAGAAAATTCTACCAGGATATGAAGTGATTGTGGGACATAAAAATCTATGATGAATTGATCAACTCACCCAATTGATTTTGTAATTTCGCCCTGTTTTGTAGAGAATGTAACCAATAATCACACCAACAACGTAAGGACCCATTCGGCAGTAAGGTTTCACATAATACATTTGGAAGTAATCGTCAGTTCTAAAAAAACAACACGTTCACTCTTCGTCAAATGAGAATACTTAGTCATATATGTGAACAAACTGATGCGGTATTCCGTTTCATGACGCCGGCAATGTAATTAAAGCTTAAAAAATTACAAACGGTCATTGCTATTCAACCATATTTCAAATAATATGCAAGTAAATCAATTATGTATCAGAAATATATATCGATAGAACGTGTCACGCTGCAAAGCTTGGGCTGACAAATAAAATTGGGTTTGATTTCTTAGATACTTAAGGCTTTTAACAAAGCGTGTTATAAACAAAAACGAATCGTAAATCAACAGTTCACAAACAAGTTATATCAATCATGAAGACACGTTTTATTTAAATTTCTAGGACTTACGAGGATAATCCTGTTGAATATTGGGTAGAAGGAAGCTGGTTTTGGTAAGTTATGTAACCAGAAGCTCCTGTGACGCCAATAAGAAATATGGCAGCGATGAGTCCTCCGATCTTCTTCGAGCTTGTAAGAATAAATACAAAAAATAAGATGATGAATTTACTGGTTTATTAATTAATTAAACGTTATTTTTACAACAATTGCGCAACAAGGTTTTCCAATTTAATTTAACGACATGACATAAATAACCATAGCAAGGATAAATTCTCATCAGAAAATGTTTTTTAGCATGATGGTTTAACATTAACTCAGTGATAATCTGGATTGTATTTACAAGAGTATAGATGCGGTCTCCACCACGGAACTGTAACAGGACGTCATTTGGCGCCATGTTGACCGACGTTACATCAACGCTTTGCACGTTGCCTCAGATAACATGAGTATAACTCTACGTTAATCATTTAGCTGAGTATGATTTTCAAACAACTTTACCAGTATGTAAACTTACAGCGAGAAATTTTCTAAATTATAAAAAAGAACATGATATTTTTTAAATGATATCCTTATTTTAAATGTAATCATTGAAAGTCGGTCAGATTGAATTTATTGTCAATATGAATGCAATTATAGTGCCAGATAATTAATCATGACGCCTATTCATTTGTCACCAACATTTCATTCGTACTGACAATAGATACAATCTGACAGACGTAGTAAAATAATGATGTATTCCGGGTATTTAAATTAATACTTACAAGTAAAGCGATACAAGCAAAAGAGGGCTCAGAACGAAGAACTGCATGTCGATTGTCATGTACCAAGACCAGCTTAAACACTAAAGAATACATATTGTAATATAAATTGTGGCAAACGACCAAATTTTATAGGGAAATCATAAGATACACTGCAGCCAATATATCACAATCATTTTTATATAAGTAATAGACAAACAATGAACATATCTGTTTCTGTTTATAAAAAAGTGTTAATGATATTTCCTTATGATTTTAAACTCACGTTTTTCTCAGTTTTTACAAAATTGTTGATATATAGAAGATTTGTCCACCAGGTGTCTTTACAGAAGTCGGTTTCAAGTCCATCAGGTGACCATGTTGGTCCATCGCTTAGATAGCGAAACAGTGCAATATCCACCATCATCACCATCATGTACGGTGGTGTCAATCTAAATGGGACGAACATAGATACTGTGAAAACTAAAGAATAACATTATGACTATGCCTGAAACTTCATTTTTCTAGAACTTTGGGTGATGTAGATTTCCACAAATAACGAAAAACGTACAATACAGACTTAATATCATGGTTTACAAGATGTAGATTTCCACAAATAATGAAGAACGTACTATACAGACTTAATGTCACCATCATTATGTCGCTGGACAATACCTGGATATTTTTAATTCTAATGCTCTGATTATCTTCATCATCAAGAATACCTTATTTACGTCCTAAACATGTTCAAGTGTCTACTTGTACAATGTATTTCTTATACTTGTTCAAGGGCCTACGTATAACGATAATTTTCTATGTTTGTTCAAGGGCCATGTGTAACAACATATTTCTTATACTTGTTCAAGAGCCATGTGTAACAATATATTTCTTATACTTGTTCAAAAACACGTGTTACGAAATATTTCTTATACTTGGTCAAGGGCCATGATTAATAATATATTTCCTATATTTAATCAAGGGCCATGTGTAACAATATATTTCTTATATTTGTTCAAGTTTATACTTGTTACAATGTGTAACAATCTATTTAGCATACTTGTTCAAGGGCAACATGTAACAATAAATTTTCAATATTTGTTCAAGGGCCTACGTATAACAATATTTTTTTTCTATATTTGTTCAAGGGCCTACGTATAACGATAATTTTTTATGCTTGTTCAAGGGCCATGTGTAACAACATATTTCTTATACTTGTTCAAGAGCCATGTGTAACAATATATTTCTTATACTTGTTCAAAAACACGTGTAACGAAATATTTCTTATACTTGGTCAAGGGCCATGATTAATAATATATTTCCTATATTTAATCAAGGGCCATGTGTAACAATCTATTTCTTATATTTGTTCAAGTTTATACTTGTTACAATGTGTAACAATCTATTTCGCATACTTGTTCAAGGGCAACATCTAACAATAAATTTTCAATATTTGTTCAAGGGCCTACGTATAACAATATTTTTTTTCTATATTTGTTCAAGGGCCTACGTATAACGATAATTTTTTATGCTTGTTCAAGGGCCATGTGTAACAACATATTTCTTATACTTGTTCAAAAACACGTGTAACGAAACATTTCTTATACTAGGTCAAGGGCCATAATTAATAATATATTTCCTATATTTAATCAAGGCCACATGTAACAATATATTTCTTATACTTGTTCAAAAACACGTGTAACGAAATATTTTTTTATACTTTGTCAAGGGCCATGATTAATAATATATTTCCTATATTTAATCAAGGGCCATGTATAACAATATACACTTATACCTTTTCAAGTCGTACATGTAACAATGTATTTCCTATACTTGTTTAAAGAACACGTGAAATGTCTAATATGACTTACCTCCAGAACCTGTGGAAGAAGAACATGAACCAGTTAATACGGCCTTTCGCTGTCTTCATCGCCTTCATGAACACGTAAGAAATCAGCAGACCACTGATAAAAGTAAATTATACCTTATTATTTAATAACAAACTTAGAATATTCAATAATAAAACAACAGAAAAGATTATAAAAAACATAAGTTTGCCTTCCATCAGAGCTAAGTGGATTAACCTTTCTATGGTTACTAAAAATATAAGGGCTGTCTACAGTTATTGTTTGTATATATGTCACGACTGCGGCCCTCCAAGTTTATTTTTTATGACATATTTTTCGTTCGACCACACAAAGTATTCGCTTATCAGTAATTCAGCGATATACATTTTCTTATTTTGTGATGTTAAATTTGTTATTCTTCTACTTATCAGGAGTTCGACAGTGTGTTTATTTTTCTATTCTTGTCTCTCCATTTCAAATGTCTACAAATAGCAAAAGTCCTGTCTCAAAATTCGACAAGATAGCATGATATTCACAATGGTGCATTCACTTTAAAGATTGTCCCGTGATTCAAACTTTAAGCAGAAATGAACAATTGTTACCAATATCATTAACTCACCTCATGGCAAAGAACGAATCTATTGACACATAACCGTTGGAAATGGCCATAAAGCTGTGTCGTTGTAGCAACGTAGTCGTACCCGATGTCTGATCCGCTAAAATCATTCACATCAAATATTCTACATTAACTAACGTTTTATCTACTTTAAAGACATGGACAATGAAATAACATCATGGTCTTCAATACGAAGAAAATTACACTAACATGATTCATCAAAAATATAAACTCGATCAAATAGCACATTTTAATTAGTACAGGTTTAGAACGAAAAGCCGCAATGCGTGGTATTGTTATGATTGTAAGAGAAGAGCCTGTATGTCTTGATCAATTGGCTCATGTCCAGTCGCCTTGTGGACTAGGTCTAGCTGGTGAACAGAATTCATTTATGTTGTAGTCTTGTCTTACACAAGACCCGCCGTTCACGGAATAGCATAGACTAACTATAAATATTTGTAAATTTCCATTATGAATCATCAGACGTAATATGCCTCATGCCCGGCTGCTGGTGTGAACATTCAAACATATGGTACCGTAGGTTAGGAAACAAATTGTTTAACAGTAAGTTTTGTAGATCTTACTTTGTACCCTTGGAAACAGAGAAAACATATAAAAAACGAAATAACGTCTTGAATAATAGGTATATTAAAGGCAAATCAAAGACAGTTGACTGATTGTAGCAAAGCTTTGCCGAGTATAGCTGAATGGTTTTCAAATTATTGCCCAAAATATTGGAAATGAATGCCATTAACAATACTTCGTCGAATACGATTGTTTTACTATACATACTGTTTGATAATACAGATAAATACATCAGAATGGTAAAGTCAAGGAAACCACTTTATATTTTATTGCCCCCCTCCCCCCTCTCCCACTTGTTCCTTGTTAGATTTCGTACTCTGAGTAGTAAAGTGTGCGCAATAGTTCGTGTCATATAATTTTGTAATCACATAAATACTTACCAAAAATTTTGGTGTCGAGGGCGCTACTGAAACTGTGAGCTAATATGACCCAAGTCATGCTGAAGAAGCATATACCATTGATAGATCCGATGGTATAATCTGTCTTTTCTGTACTCAATAATTTCTTCCCATTGGTCCATACAGAAAAGGAAAGGACTATTTTTGGCAATATTCCTGAGGTAAAGAAAAATACAGTAATATTGTATATACAATGGATTAGCATGTATTTGTTACACTTTTAATAGAGCACCAATCGTGGACAATGAATCTTAACACAGAAAAGCAAAAATCGCACCATGTCTTCATATTGATGCCACAAAAATAATTTAAATAGCCTGAAAAGAGTCGCCAATACAAAGTGAAAGATTGCACTAACACAATATGATGTTGTTTATTGTCGATCATCTTTACCTGAATACGGAGAAGTAGGCGTTTCTTTTGCTTGAATGGCATCACTGTTGAGTTTATACTTGTGTCCTTCATGGCCACCATTTGTTTGCATCTGTCCAGTTTTCGTGTCGAATTTTAGCTCAACATGATGTGTACTATTTCCGTTCTCCGCTGCAGAAATATCACCATTTGTCTCGTTATCAGCAATACTTTCTTTCACCACAATAGGTGGATTGGCTTGTAGTTTGGGACGCATCAGAATCACGTCAAATAATGTTGCTAATATTATTACAATGATGAAGCAACCGCAAACACACCTGAAAAGGAAAGTTGATATGAGTATTGATAGCATAAAACTATGTCGATTTACACATTTTGCCGTACCCATTGTATGACCCGCAAAAAATCAAACCACTCGTATCACATATAATGCATTTACCTAACGTAAGTTTTATCGTCTTCTTGACTCAGATTGACTTATGTTAAAGACATGAACAATGAAATAAAATCATTGTCTTCAAAAGAAAATGACACTAAAATGATTAATAAAAAATGTAAACTCAAATGAATAGCATCTTTTATTTAATACAGACTTAGAACGAAGACCCGCAATGCGTGGTATTGTTATGAATGTAAATGAAGAACCCTTGGTAAATTGGCTCATGTCCACTCGCCCTGTGGACTTTTCCGTCATTCTGGTAAACAAACTTGATTTGCGTTGTTGTATTCTGATCTTACACAGCACCCGCCGTCCACGGTATATTATAGACTAGCTGTATGTATATATATTTGTAAATTTCCATTATGAATTATCAATAATAAAACCATCGCCAAAATGCCGAATTTGGTATTCCTTATTAGATAATCTAAGTGTCTATTTTTCAAATCATCCTGACCTATATACTCCTCCCCGTACGGGTATTTTATAAGCCAAAAAACTAGATGCGCTTTACTGTAAAGGAATCAATAGTATGTTAGGGAATGGCATATGTTGAACGTTATGTGACACTAAACAGAGTCACGCGAGCCAGGGCAGTTTTCTAGGACATGCTGTTCTATTATACGAAACAACTCACTTCCTTGCTTATTCTTTCCTTCTAAGTGATGCAGCAGAAATGGCAAATTACAAATAAGCAATAAATACGGGTAAACCACCACTAAAACAGAGATCAATAATAGGAGGATGTAGGGCCAATATTTCTATTATGTGTATACTTACATTGTACATGGATTTTATTAGTAATTGTCTATTACGTAGGGCGTTAAAGAAAACTGTGAGTCATGATATAGTTCTTCTTCGGGGCATTTTATGAGTGATTACTAACAGGAAAACTTTCACGAAGTTCTCGCCTTAAACGTTCTTTTGTTGTAGTCAAACAATGATTGGCTATCATTAAACTTAATTGAGAATTTATTAATTTATTTAGCCCTTGGCTGGAGTACATTACAAGCGCAATGACTAATATAAACATGTACTCCTATGCATTTGTCACACTGGTCAACGCTTAGCAGTATCTTCAATATTCTTTGATATAGCCGTTGCATTAATTTCATCCTAAAAACAAATCCTTTAGAAAGTGTAAATGTGAGGAAATAATATCTAGTTAAATTAAACAACTTTATTAGCGAGAACGACAAAGAAAAATCGACGGGTCAGCAAATTCGATGAAACTAAGAGACATATGCAGTTGCCTCTTAGATGTTAATTTTAAAAAGCCAAGCTGTCTAGAGAAGAACATGAGTAAGGTTCCTTACGTAGCCACGATAGCCCTAGTGTCGTATTCAATTTCTTCTTTGCATCTAGCGAAGTCGACGGTAGGTACTACGTTGAATGGCAAAAGCGCAAACACTGTAAAAAAATCATCTTAGACATAAAATACAATATATCTAAATAACTTGATACGTGGATTCCTTGACTGCAAATTTTCTGAAGTATCGATAAAGCAGTAATAGAAATATACAAATGAGAACAAGGCATACAGTAACGGGCAACAGGCAAACTAATGAACATCAAACATGCCAAGTTTCATATCGCACAAAAGAAAAGATTATATTTGATCAATAAGATCACAACGACGACCGTAAAACATTCTCATAATTTTCATCAATCTGCATCTCTTGAAACCCTGTGTTACGAGTGCGTCTTTAAGTTGACGACTTCTTACTTGAATATCGTGATAATGGGAATATGCCTTGAATATGTTAACCCATAGATTGGGGATGCATGGCTGTTGCTATCACGAAATGGGAAATTCACATTAGGGACAATGAGACCATGCAACTTTTGCGGAAAGCTGTCCATGTTAAATTCTTTGCTGGAAAAGAACGAGATAAGCGTAACATTTTTAAGGAAACAGGAAAAACAAGAAATTCAAATTTCTTTTGCTGTACTTATGTATACGATATAAAAGAATGTCTGCAATTTCTTTGTAAATTATGGAGTGGTAATTCCATACATTCTTGTAAGCTCGCCCTTGAACACTACCATTCACCCTCTGTTAAACATGCCTTCACATACTTGCAAGTGTCTAATGTCATTTATTCGTACCCCCTGCAAAAATGTACCCTCCAGATTAGAAGTTCAGATATGTGAAGTTTCAAATAGGTTTTCTGTGTGTTAATTGTTTGATAAAATTAGTATAATTGTGAATGTAAATATACCTACTTGAATTTGTAATATTGTAGATGTCCTTTTTGGTGCAGCTTTTTGGAAGGCACATACCCAATAGGAATTCGCTTTCATTGCCCTAAAACAATTTACAATGGAGTTAAGGAACTACAACCAATCACCGAAATTGTCGAGAGGATAAGAGACACGGAAAATACGTGTATGTAATATTTATATCAAAATTTGCTAATGACCTTGCACTAGGTTTCATTTCAACCGATGCAGTTCATCGCGTTAATACAAACTGGTGTTATGACCATATAAGATTTTTTCATATTAGTTAATTACAGAAATCACATTGTAGACATATGCCAAAACAGACACACACTGGAGACAGAAAACCAAAGAACATATATATACTGTAGACATAAAAAGAACAGATATACATTAAAGGTATATACCAGAGAACAGAAACACAATATAGACACATTGAAGGCATGACACAAATTGCAGCATGTAGCAAAGTACAGATCAAATCAGATACACAATGTAGACATGTTCCAAAGTACAGACACTCATTGTAGACATACAACAAAGTACAGACACACATTGTAGACATACACCAAACACGAGAGACACATTGTAAACATATACCAAAGACCAGATACATATTGTAGACAGTCAACCAAAGTACAAATACATATTGTAGACAGTCAACCAAAGTACAGATACATATTGTACACAGACAACCAAAGTACAAATACATATTGTAGACAGTCAACCAAAGTACAGATACATATTTTACACAGACAACCAAAGTACCGATACATATTGAAGACAAACAATGAAATAACAGATACACAATGTAGACACATACCAAAGTACAGACACAAATGTCTATATATACTTCTAAGTCATATTTATTTTATTATTTTCATTCAAACTCAAAATAATTTAATTGTTTATGTCTATTCCAGTGATCATACTTACAGCGATACAATAGTTGGGTTGAAATGCAATTTCTGTCTCGGGCTGCACGGATAGGCACTGGTCGTATGAACCAAGCCACTGTTTGTTTCCGTCTAAAATACCAGTTTGTGGTCTTCCCCAGGAATCAAGCACTTACAAACAAACGCAATTTTTAAATCTGTTCAAAGTCACCATTTTGTAATCAGAATTTTCTGTTTTGTAGTCACCATTGTGGTAATATAATTTCGATTCAATTGTTTTTGTCAAAATAAATTAGACAGCAATCTTTAAGGTGAAACTAGAACCGACAAGCAGTCTTTAGACGAGGGTCTAGTTTAGATTGCAAAAGTTGACAAGAAAGTGTCAAAAGAGTAAAGTGTATTGAATGAAGACTCAAAACGTTATAATAAAACTATAAAACAGACCAACTAAAATCTTGAGAACTTGAGATGTATGTGCAACAAGAGAAGTCTGAACAAGTCAGATACTTGACAATAAAAAAAATCTGAAAATGTCACGAAAATGACTTGAGAACGTGACAATACTCATTTAGATTGATTAATATGCCGGGTGAAGCAGAAGACGCTTACTCTACCCAAACATCTGGTCTTGTTCTACTTGGATTCGCATTACGTTTACATGGATTGTCTTGGGTTTTTCATACAGTACATCATTGTATTCCATATTCCATTTAGGAAATAAGTCAATGTCTAGATTTTATTTTCTTTGAACAATTATGAACATATCAAAACAAACTAGAACAATGAAAAAAAAATGTTTCTGTTCAAGGAAATCAGATATTTTGAATGCATGAATGACAAAATTTCTCTTCGATTTATGAAATATTTTCTCAGTTTGAATTAATCATGTGGACGAATTCAATTTCACTCAGGCCATTCTGTTTTCGTTGTTTAAGTACTCTTGACCCCATTCCCAGCCCCATCGGCTCTCATGTATATCGATATACCATCTTTTTCGGGTCAAATGTAAGGGGACGTAACACTGATAGATCAGAAAAACAACAGGAAAACATAAACAAGTCAACATAAGCAGTATCATCAGTCAAACTTAATTAAACTACGGCAAATTATGAACAAAAGAATGATTGACACGGAGATTCCTGTAATAAGACCAGTAAGCGTCTTTTGCTTAATCGACGACATCCGCCAGGTAAACCTGTCACAACAAGTAAGTAATGTCACGTTCTCAAAGGATAACAGGTATACAACAACAGAGCCCATAGGCAAACTAACGAGCATCAATGACGTCCAGCTTCATATCGCACTAAGAAATAGATTGTTATGACAACCGTAAGATTTCTTCATTAATTTCATCAGCCTATATCTTCTGACACCTTCTAAATCTACGAACTCTTATGTCCACCCATCCATTCATAGTTAGAACTGTCACTAATAGCTGTTTTCCAATAGTATCGATGGCTTCTTAAATCTAAGTTAAAAAACGAAAATTATCTCAACTAAAATATCTGATTGTTAATCAGAAACTTCAGAGGAAAACCAATACTAAATCTAAAG